GTTCTTTACTACTCAAAGTAATAAAACACCTCAACAAACGGCTTTGGCGCAAGGGCATACCCTATTTAATTTTTGGTAATTAATGTATAATTCTACGAAGAATATTCTCAAGATTAATAAAAGTGATGCACAATTCCTATGCACTTTCTCATTTGATAAGAATTTGAGGAAACTAACACTGGACTGTGAATTTTTACCCCGTTTGAACTCAAAACTTTACAAATAGTAACTAAGCAATTGATTGGTCAACATTTGTGCAGCAATATCACAAATCCTTGGAATATTCTGCTTCTAATTAGACCCTGTTTCTGTAAAAATAAATAGGGTATGCCCTTGTGCCGAAGTTGTTTTGTTGATATTCTTTATATCTTTGTGTAGTAGAGAGCAATGACGTCATAATATGATGTCATAATGTGCACAGGCTATTACTTGTCACGGGTACCAAGTTTGCATTAGAAAATAAGTTTTAACCTTTTCTGTGTAATAAATATAGCCCTTATGCGTTTTAATTAGTTCATTTTTCATAGAAACGTCTATACTTAGCCTTAACTCACTTGCGTGGGCCAGGAAAGATGAAACTTATGTAGACACATCCTCAGGTAGTGTAGATTAAAGTTTGTTCAAATCATGGTCCCTGGGGGTAGGGCGGGGCCACAATGGACGATCAAAGATTTTCATACATGTAGGAATACATAGGGAAAATCTTCTTCTCAAGAACAGCAAAGCCATGATTGGTCATATTTATATGGAAGCAACCTCAGAAGGTGTAGATTTGAATTTGTTTAAATCATGACCTCCGGAGGTAGAGTGGGGCCACAATGGATGAACAAAGATTTATAGAATAAATAGGAAAAATTTTCTTCTCAAGAACAACAAAGCTATGATTGATCATATTTATATGGAAGCATCCTCAGGTAGTGTAGATTCAAGTTCAAATCATTACCCCAGAGGTAGGTGGGGCCACATTGAATGATCAAAGATTTACATAGGAATTCATAGGAAAAATATTTAAAAATTTTCTTATCAAGAACCACTAAGCCATGATTGGTCATATTTATATGGAAGCATCCTCAGGTAGTGTAGATTCAAGTTTGTTCAAGTTATGACCCCTGGGGGTAGGTGGGACCACCACAGAAGATAAGACTCTTTTAAGGTAAGAAGTTTTTTAAAAACTTCTTAAGCCATGAATTGTCCAAGAAATATGCTAGCATCCTCAGTTAGTGTAGATTCAAATTTGTTCAAATCATGCCCCCCTTCCATTTGAGATAGGTTGATAGCAGTCATAAAATACTGAACTCCTAGCCAAAGTGCTCAGGTGAGAGATGTGGCTTATGCGCCTCTTGTTTGAAAATCTTCTTTTCAAGAACAACAAAACCACAATTAGACCTATTGATATGAAAGCATCCTTAGGTAGTGTAGAATCAAATTTGTTCAAAATCATGACCCCCAGGGGTAGGATGGCGCCACTACTGGGAGTCAATGTTTTACATTGAAATATATAAGAAAACAATTTTAAAAATCTTCTTCTCAAGAACAACAAAGCTGTGGTTAGTCATATTGATATGGAAGCATCCTCAGATAGTGTAGAATCAAATTTGTTCAAATCATGACCCCTAGAGGTAGGGTGGGGCCACAATAGGGGATGAATGTTCTACATAGGAATATATAGGAAAAATTTTAAAAATCTTCTTTTCAAGAACAACAAAGCCACAATTAGTTATATTGATGTGGAAGCATCCTAAGGTAGTGTAAATTCAAGTTTGTTCAAATTATGACCCCAGGGGGTAAGTTGGGGCCACAATGGGGGTGAAAGTTTTACATAGGAATATTTAAATAGGAAAAATCTTTAAAACTCTTCTTCTCAAGAACAACAAAACCACCATAAGACATATTGATATGGAGGCATCCTCAGACAGTGTAGAATAAAATTTGTTCAAATCATGACCGGGGTGGGTGGGGGGGGGGGGCAAAATAGGGGATCAAAGTTTTACATAGGAATATATACATGATGTAGGAAAAATCTTTAAAAATATCATGAACAACAAAGCCACAATTAGACATATTGATATGGAGGCATCCTCAGGTAGTGTAGAATCAAATTTGTTCAAATCAATACCGGTGGGGCTGCAATGGCGGATCAAAGTTTTACATCGGAACATATATAGGAAAAAATCTTTCAATTTTTTTTTCTCATAAACAACAAAGCCATGATCATTTATATTGACATGGAAGCATCCCCAGGTAGTATAGATTTAAATTTGTTCAAATCATGCCCCCCTCCCCAGGGTAGGGTGGCAGACATCATTAAAATTCTGTTTTCAAGAACTGCAAAGACATGATTAGTCATATGAATATGGAAGTATCCTCAGATAGTGTAGATTCAATTTCGTTCAAAACATGACCCTGTGGGTAGGGTGTGGCTAGAACAGGCAACCAAAGCTTTACATGTGAATATGTAGGAGAAGAAGATAAAGGACATCAGGGCCATATTGATTCAGGTGAGCGATGTGGGCCATGAGCCTCTTGTATATTTACATTATTTTTATTCTATGAATATATATAAAATCTGCAGAATTTCTCTGTTTTGGATTACTTAACGATAACACGTTTAAAATAAAATTATACATCTGGCACATTTTCCCGTTTATCAACTTAAGGCCAAATGCTTTTTTGACCAGAAATTATTGTCTCTGAATTACAAGAAAAAATTTTCTAATAGAGATAGTGGGGTGTAATTTTTTTTACTTGATATTAGTGGGCTTTTGCGTTTTTGTGATAGTCTGTCCTTGGTCATCTTGAAAGTAAATAACCTGTTCTTCATTGACATGAAAATAAATAATCTAGCTGATACGAAACCCCCCCCCCCCTCTTCTCCACACAAAACTAAAACAAATGTCCGACTCGGAAAATGGGAGGGGAATGGTTGAAATAGGACAAGTCACTTCCTTAGTCAAATTTCTTCAGATAAATGGCTTTTTTACCTTGTTACAATGGTTCCGTGTTTCCTATGAGGAATCTAAGGTCATTTTATCGTTAATTTATATAGATATTTAAGAACTCTGAAAATTCCAGCGGGGATCAGGAGTGTGGGTGTGTGTGTGTTTGGGGGGGGGGGGTCTAACCTATCCGTGCATGGAAGCATTTATAAACAATAATATCAATAATATATGATAAACAGAGAGTTATCATCACTATAATAATATTTATAAATTCAAAGATTAACATGGACATATATGTAAAAAAAATTTATACAATAATTAAAGTGAATACTGTACTAGTATATATACTTGTATATATGTTGGACTCCAGAAACAGGTGACATACATATTGTTTATAAGTAAAATTTCCAATTAAATGTTCACTTGGCTTAATAAAACAGCAAAAGTGGGAACTTCACTAAAAAAATCGGGTATATACCAATAGGCATATGTTGTTGAGCAGTACTAAATTTGAACATGTATTCTATAGATCTTACCTAAAAACTCTTCTGTATAATTGTTATAAAGCTAACAATCTTAAGAAATGCACGTCATCCATGACTGTAGGAACCGTGAAGGAGGAGGGGCATGTCCTCACCCCCAATACTTTCCCCGTTCAGTGAGCTCAGGTGGTAGTTATACAGGCGCGGATCCAGGATTTTTTCCAGGGGGAATCTACCCCAGTCGGAATGAAACTAAACTCCATAGTAGTTTGGTTATCTCATTGTCATAAAAGATAACAAACCGGTGAATATATATAACCCTGGTTTATCAAGCCAGGTTAATGTTTTGTTCAAAAAGCTCAGCCTAATCAGAGAACTCTATTTTCATCTGAAGTGCATTACACAAAGTAAATTTTTTTTTAAAGATTTACTTACGCAGTTAGGGTTATCTACTCTTAAAAATTAAAATAATAAATTGAAATTTAGAGTGTTTTGCTAAATTTGTTATCAATTTAAGCAATCAACATTCTATTAGGCCAGTTGAATGAATGAATAAAAAATGATTTCAACTCTAAGACTAAACATACATGCATGGTTTTGTAAATATTTAACAATATGTACGTGTATGAAGTTAGAGTTTTGACATAAACATAAATATATAATGTATCATTAAAAAAAAAAAAAAAAAAAAAAAAAACACCTATTCCACTGCAAATTTTAATGTCGCTCCACTCATTATAACTTTAATTACTTGTATAGAGTATTAAAGAAAAGTTTTTCCCCATGAATAACCTCTTATCTCAAAGAAATACATCAGTGGATCTTGTTTCATACAATATCAAAGCTTGTCGCAGAAAGTAAAGTTAATTTACTTTCTGTAAAGTTATTGCTTTCCATTGCACACAAACATTTGCATGCAGATCTGATAGTGAACTGAAACTAACCTGAAAGTGACCATGGAACCTACCAAAAGTTTTATTATTTTGTCAGCGAAATACTTTTGATGAACATCTTAAAACAAAGTAACCTTATTTATATCTCAAATTTTATTGCTGAAAATTAACTTCCGTAACGATTACCAGAGTTGTACCAGACTAAAATACACAACACCAGAAACCGAAAACCCTGATTAACTTCCATAACATTGCCCTATGGCCGCCAGTATATCAAAATTTTTGTAAAAAATTATTTATTTATTTATTTTCATACTATTACTTGAAAAGGTATATACATTGTTGATCTAGATATCAGGGTACAAGATATATTTACCCCTGTCCACAAAGTATTTATGACCAACAAATATTTTTGATGGCAACTGTTGTGCCAGCTCATGCAATGTCCTTTTTAGGAACCTTTATCGTAAATGTTACCCTTTATATCATTTGACTGAAAAAAAACTATCCTAAAGCCATCAAACTTGTTCCATCTTGATAGTCCCATCTTATATGAATAAAAATTAGTTTCAAGACTATTTCATTCTAATCATATTTATTTCTTGTGATTGATGAAACATTTTATGAACAATTTATCAATACTCGAAATCGAAAATGAAAAGCGCCACCTGTTGTGAAACCGAAAATTAGATGCACGGAAGTAAATACTTGGAAATGGCAGAACTGGGAGACAACTGTCTGCTGAACATTAACATTGATTGAAAATGTGAAAATAGAGAAATAGAGGTAGTGATTTAAGATGCTTGTGCTATTAATCGTGTAATTTCAGCAAGAAAATACTGATCCAATTATGAAAAAGTGTTTATGCAAGCCAAATATGATAATTCCATCTATTGATTTTCTGACTGAAAGCAGATGAAGTTGTGGGGAGTGAACCAATGTATAATTCTTCTAGATTTCTCAATATTTACAGTTCGATATAATTTTACACGTAAATTAGAATTTGCTCACTTGTCTATATAGCTATATTTTTCTGCCTGTAAATATTGTACCAGTTTCTGTTTATCTTTACTAAGATCTTCATTAATGCTAATTGCTAATAATTAGATATTTAGATCACATGATTTTAAAAAAAGTCAAAAGTAGAAAATTGCTCTTCAGCTTTCTAACTATTTAAAAGGAAATATTTATCATGGATGCCGGGGACTGATTTTACAGTGATTATTCATCACTGTGAAGATGTGTGCTTCACATGATGATCAGATAACAGAAGTATAGGAAATGATATATAATTATGAAGAACTTTCTCTTCCTATACTTCTTAGCTGTTATTTATTTATAGATATGTTATTAATTCCTTAATGACAAAAAAAATTTTACAGTAATGTTTCATCAGTTAAATTGCCATTGTACAGGTTAATTTTTTTTAAACCTTAAATTTATTTTCTCTCTCTGAACTTTTAGACCTTACATTTGCTGTTGATATCATGTGATTACCAAGATCATGAGGATGCACTGGTATCCACACTGAAATTTTGAAGGTAATCTTTTATCACATTTTTATAAAGCTTAACTCCTTACAATTCTTTTAATATATCATGTAAATTTGCTGAATCAGTTATATCAGCATTGCATTGATACATGAAACTTCTGCAGAAATAAAAAAAAAAGTCTTCCTACTTTTCTTCACTCTATAGATGAATTACATAAAGAAAATAGGAGCTGGGATGCGCCCTTCAGCTGACCAAAAAGACCGTGTACTGGGACTAACACATCTCAGGAAGTTGTTTGCAGAATTCAGACACCCAACAAGGAAAGCCACTCAGGAAGAACAGGAGTACAAGCTGTATAATATGATTCCTCTATTTGTCAAAGTATGGAGGCTTCACAGAATATACATTATATAGAAAAACATGTCAATGATAGCTGTAAAATTAAATAGGATGATGCTTTAAATGTATCATTTACTGCTTCTTGATTTAGCAGTCTACTGTACTTTGTTTTAAACAACTTCTACTGTAAAATCACATATTTTCATGGGGTCAGACTTTCGAGGTTTGAAAAAAAATATTGATGTTTGGGGATTTGATTTTGTGGGATTGGAGATTGTTGAGAAGTAATGCATGTGAAATTTTACATTTTGTGGTGGTCATAAAGTTGTGGGTCTCTCCATACCTCAAAAACTATGAGAATTAAACTCCAACAAAATTAGTGATTTCACAGTATTCTAATGTGTTGAGACACACAACACCTGATTATAAAGTGTAGGTTTTGTATAAAAAAAAATTGCCACAGGCCCTAATTTTTCTTTTATATATTGGGATTTTCCAGAATGTAATGCAAAATACACTATTTACATCGGTGAATGGCGAATGTATACACATACGTGCTTAAAATGAATATCAGAAGATATTGAAAGAAAATTGTTTTAGATATGAAGTTATTGGTACTTCAGAGGGAATGTTGGTTTCTGAAATGATTAAAAATAATTTGTTTTCTAGGTGTTTGGAGAAGTTCATTCCAGTGAAATGACAGAGAAGTTTGGTGATGTTCTGCAATTCTGTAGTCATCTGTCCAAACTGATGGTCACAGAAATACGAAGAAGAGCATCTAATCAAAGCACAGGTATGTGGCAAAGAGTAATTATGCGTGTATATGCAGTTAGTTTTGAAACACTGTTTACATTTATGCAGTTATTTATATTCATACTTTGCCATATATTAATTGAATCTTTTATAGGGAAATCTTTAAATTTGATCTACAAATATTTGAGAAGTTTTTTTCAAAAAGATTTTTTTCCAATTATTTGTTTAATTTTCCATCAGCCACCTAAAACCACTTAGAATTGATCATTTTAAGGAAGTTTACCCTAATCTTAGTGAATTTGTGAGCCAATTTTTTTTTTCATGGATTAAAAAAGAATAATACATTTTAAGATAAATAATTTTTATAGAGGCAGCCAGTTGTGCTATTGTCACTTTTCTGGAGATGGAGTCCTCTGAGACAACAGGAAATGGTTGGATGCTATTGACTGCCTTAAATCTTCTTTCCTGTGGGAACCAGGCCCTGATTGATTGTATGACTGCTGCGTCCCTCCCCTCCACTCTTGTTAAGTGTCTTTATCTCTTCTTTGATCTGCCGGAAATTGAGGAACCAGACAAATGTAATCCCAACTCTGAATTCACTGCTGAAGAAAGAAGGATTTTGTTGCAAAAAGTTTTTGTCCAGGTATTCTTTTCTTTCCATACTTGCCTGTTGCACTTTCAGTAGGGTAAAGTGTGTTTTTATCAGAAATAATGTGATGATCAGCTACATGTATTTGTCTGATTAGTTAAAATATAACTCTGCATATTGAGTTGACCTGGATTATAAGATTGAGAATGCATAGAGCATTAAAATGAAAAGTTAAATTAGCAACTATTGTTCAATGTCATTAAAGTTTTGTCCATTCAAATACTTCTTTTCATTTTTAAAAATTTCAGATTTTGGTACACTTATGCAAACACACCTCCCCAGCTGAAGAACTGGCCCGAAGAGATGACCTGAGTCTGCTGTTTAGTGCTATTACCAGCTGGTGTCCGCCCCATAATGCTATCTGGAGGAAGTGTGCTGCAGAAGTTCTGATGACACTTTCCAGACATGGACTGACACAGAATGTTGTCAGATATATTCATGGTAATATCTGTCAAAGAATGGAGGCACACAAGGCGAGAACAATCCCCCTTTCTATGATAATATATTTCTCAATTCGAAAAGCTCATGGAAAGTGTGTTAACCACTACGCTACCAAGTCTTCGTATTGTAGAAGTGCATCAGTATGGTTAACATCAACAATTTGTTGAAGCATTAAATTTTTTCAGCATTGTTCAATTTTCATATAGAATAGGTTCAGACTCCATTTTATTGAAACATAAAATAAATTTAATATTCAATTTCTGGTCATTTAAACATTTATGTAGAATGGAGCATTAATCCATTCATATTCACAGGCACTTGGGGTATGGACCCCCCCCCCCCCTTTCCATTTTTTTCTTTTTAAATCTGGGGTCGAGTCACCTTTTTCCTATTTTTGTATTCTAATATGCACTGTATGTTATCAATAATGTAACTCTTTTGTCTCTATAAGCTGTTTTTAAATATATCGTTTTCGACTGATACATAAAAAGAGAGAAGGCTTGCAACTCTTTTCTCATCGTCTGCCTCACCTCGCTTAAACTTCGCCTGATTATTTATCGAAAGCATAAGAAAACATGGAAAGCATAAGAAAACATGGAATATGCATACATCAATAAATTCGTAATACATTCTTCTTCCTTTTCATATTTTCATTTAATTTTTATGTGCCCCCGATTTGTAAATATTTCGATTAAATGACCCACGTCTAGGGTAAATTTTGTTGATGTGCACCAGCTTACCCAAAGTGCCTGTGTTCATATTCAAAAATCATTTTATATGGCTCCAATAAACCCATATTCCATTAAATATGCTTAATTTTCAAATTGTGAGAAATTATCAATCAGTAAGTTGTTCAATAAAAAAAATGAATCAAGTTGACATTACTGACAGCATAATTTTTGAAAAATATAACTTTTCCATGAACTTTGAAAATCGAGAAATTCAATCAGTGCGGACTCGTTATTACAGTGACGGTTTTATAAGATAGAACGCTTATTACATTGTAAATTCAAAGCACAGAATCATTTCTTAACAAATCTATACAAAATAGAACTGTTTATTATGATGTCCTTAAATGCCGGGACTCGGTATTGCGATGAAAAAATTCTGTCCAAAATTTTTTTCACTCCGTGTTTATTCAGTGTTGATCGACGGTAGACACTTAAGGAGACGCTAAATAAACACTGAAACACCTGTGCTCTGACAGGGTGTTAACTTGCAGGGCCGTTAGGTGATTAGTGATGCTTGACTGCACACACCTTGACTGTTCTAGCGAGGTCAGCAGAATTGGAGACGTGTCAAAGCCATTGTTAAACAATTAAACTGTTTATTTATAATGTAGTCTCTAGCTTATCTATCTCTGTTAAGTTTATTTTATTTATTTTTTTTTACTATGGTTAATAAGTAAAATTAATTTATTAAATAAAAGGTTACATTTAATCGTATGCATGTATGTTAAATACATAATGTGTAATTTCGTTTGCAGTTAAACTGCGGAATGGACAGCTTGGGTATCAAACATAATTTTGGCAAAATTTGAACTCCAATAACATTTTAACAGCTTGGATAGTGGCTCGGACTACCTCACAGGTGTCAGCAGAAATGCAAATCGATAATTGCTGAACTGCTAATTGAACTCTGTTCAGTAATTTAAAAATTCAAATTTATTTTGACATTTAGATTGTGTGTTTTCAAATCCTGTCCATGAATATGCCTATCACACTGCCCACTTTCATCAGTTGTTCACTGCAGCTCTAAGCTCATTGAACACCCAAAACTGCCCAGTGATGTATTGTTGTTTATGTAGTAACGATACGAAGACATTGAAAATTTTACGAACGCATTATCTAGACAGAAACGAAAGTAAAAGTAAACGGAAATGGCGGCAGATAAATGAAGATTGCCGAAATTTTTATAAAAAATATCCACATTTCTTTTAAAATGAAGGAAATAGAAGAAATAGCATCATGAAGATATCTATTCAAGATAAGTTATTAATAAATTATATGTATATAGCATTTTTATGAAGAATTTGAACAGAAGAAGGAAACAAAAGGAGAAAAATACATCTCCTAATACAACAACAAGCTTTCAAAACGATGTTTTACTGGATTTTATTGGGAACTTTTATTACGTTGCCCTCGGTATTACGATATTTTACCGTGACAAAATGAACATCGTAATAACGAGTCCGCACTGTATATTGTCTCAGTGCGGGGGATTTTTCTTGCCTTGTACGCCCTTATTCTTTATTTGACTTCCTGGGTGAATGTTTTAAAAACAAGTCATTAAGTTCAAAACATTTTCAGATGAAAAGTGAAAAAAAAAAAGAATTTGAATGAATACAACAGAGAATAGACAAAAATCACATTCATGTTTCTGCAGTGTTGATCACCATTGTTTATCTTCTGTAGACAAGGGATGCCTGAGACACTGTATAGAGAACATGCAGAGAATACAGGAGTTATCCCCCTTGGAACTGGTGGACATGTTTGTGACTGTATTTTGTTTCCTGAAGGACTCTAGTGAAGTCTCTCATGTTCTACTGGATGACTTCAGATCGTGTCAAGGTTATGTGTTCCTATCAGAGTTTTTACTGAGGTGAGGTCAAATAATGAGTACCCTTTAAATCTGCTTCATATTCTGATAATGCACAATAGCTTTGTTTAATACTAACATTGAGAATCTTATTTTGTCAATTAAGATAAAGTTCATGTACTGTATTTAAAAATTCAGACAATTGGTCTCAATGAAAAGTGTCTGATATACAATATGTAAATAAGTTAGTGACAGTAGAACTTTTCAACATATTTTTTGTTGTTATCTTGAGAACAATTAATTTTCTTTCCTTGGAATTTGGCCTCTTCTATTATTATATTTGTCATGGTGTTTAGGTTAGAGAAGGATGATGGGGAGGAATCACAGCAGGCCCTGAGGAACCTCGTCCTGTTAATGGGAACCCTGACCACCTCAGGCCACTCAGAAATCAAACCAAGTCAGGCCTGCTCAGGGTCACTCTTCAAAATGCCAGGTTTCTCTGTCCCACAACCAGTGGGCAAAGGTACATTGTAAATAGAATTACACTAAACATACAAATATAAACAAAAATTCTTTTTCTTCCTTTCCATGCTCTGTTGGTTATCCAGGGTGTATGATTATTTATTCCTGTATACTAGAGATTACATTCAAACCTCAAAATATTTTTTAATTGAGATATAACATTTACAACACCTTGAATACAACATATAAGACTTTGAATTGGTATTATATTCAGGTTTGTAAATGATTGATATTTTCTCCCATTACAGTGATAGCTTGAATATGCATACAATAAATCTGAGCTTGAATATGCAAACAATAAATCTGTGTTTATATTTTCTTCAGAAATTCAAGTAAATGCAAGCCCTAGTTCCAGTTGAGTTTACGTTTTTTAAGTATTTTGGTGCCAGGGTTGCCAGTAAATATAGATACATGTAACTGCATGATGTACCGGTACATTGTAAGCGTTAGCAGCAGTCCTTGCTTTTACATATTGTAACCAGAGATTAGAAAATTACCATGTTTATATAGTATGCCTTGTTTTGCCAGTCTTCTGAGAAAAATATGTAAATTCCCATTATCCAATATGCAGAACTTTCAGTTCCATGCTTAAACTTCCAATGGAATATGTTTACAGCAAAGTTTAGGTATATGTACTTCAGGATCTGGTTGGGGGAAAGAAATCTGTTCTGTAAATTTACATTTCAAACTTGAATTATGTGGTACATGGTATTTAAAACTCAAAATCATTTTACATGTATGTTTCAAAGAATTGCAGTTATTTAAAACATGAAGAAGGGTAGTAGGAGAAGGTCAAAGGTCATATGTGAAGTAATTGTTATACATGTAACATGATAACTTGTACCTGTGTTAGCATTAAACTGTAAAGTTTGGTAATAGTGGTACAAATACGCTTAAAATGATATATGGAGGAGTCGGATAAAAATGTACATGTATGCATGGCTTATATGTTTGCATCCGAGTGTTTATGAGTTCTAAATTTAGTAAAATTATCATTGTCTATTACATGTAATAGAGTGATCAATTTGTTTTCAGGTGTGAGTGTCCGGAACATCCAGGCATTTCAAGTATTACAGTCGGTCTTTCTTAAGGTATTGTTATATCCCTATGTAGTTGTATAAATTGACTTACTTAAAGTACATGTATATAGCTACATTTATCTTGTGAGCTTACCCTTTACAGTCATCTGTTTCTACTATCAATCATCAGAGAGTGATATAGAGGACAAGTAAACATCTATTGATTGTTTACCTTTATTCTTATGTTTAACAGCTGTCAGCTAGCACAATTTATATTGAATATTCCTTAAAAACACTGATAATTGTCAAAATATTTTGATGTTTTTTGTTCATTTAGGCCAATAGCAGTGTACTGTGCACTGTTATACTGGACGTGATCAATAGTATCTACCACCAAGACAACGCAAACTACTTTATTCTGGAACCTCAGCACACTTTGTCACAATTCTCTGAAAAAATCTACACAAAACCAAAAGATGTACAGGTAACTAAGGCAAAGGGTATAGGGAATATAAGCTACACAATAATCTGAAAGCCCCTATGGATTGAAATTTATGAATATAATTATAAGCCTGATGACTTAGAAAGAAGTACATGCAGTTGAATTCTCTCTGTAAAATTTCTAGGTCTTACACAAATTTTCACTTGAATAGTACATTTAATTTAATGGTGGTTCTTGCAGGATATGCTTATATTTTATTTGTATGGTTATATTTTCAGGAAAAGTTTTTTGAACTGTTGGAGTTTATCATATTTGATCTGAATTTTGTTCCATGCAAAGAGTTGATAAGCATAAGCATTCTCATTAAATCTAACCAGTAAGTTTATAATTAAAAATATGTTACTAGATTACACAAATTTCTGTCTTATGATAAAATAAACTTTTTATACATCTTGAACATAAGACTTTTTTTAAAGGGTACCTTAATTTATTGTGATATACATGTAAAGTCAAGATCCTTACATCCACATGTTATCCACCAATTGAGTTAAAAGTAACACAGTACATGACGAAATAAGTTTGACATTGTCAACTGTTTTTAGATCAGGTTCCTGTACTGATCTGTGTTTTAAGACCCTCCAGCGAATTCTTCAGTTTCATGCATTGTTCAAAGATGTATTCCGGGAAGTTGGAATGCTAGAGGTCATGGTAACTTGTCTTCGTAGATATGCAGCTCTGTTTGAAGCAGGAGAAGGTAAAAAAAACCAAAATCAATCCACACTAAGAAGAGAAGTTGGATATTTTTTGTTTTCAGATTTAAAAAAGATCTACATATAAAAGTAATTCTTCATATGAAATTATGCATGTGCATATTTCAGGACAAAATCGGGAGCCCATTTCAAAAGAACAAAAGGAAGTTGGCTGTTTAGTGATGGATTGTCTAACCTTACTTCTCTCATCCAACCAAAGCAATGCCAGTAAGAATATTTCTACCTTCTACAACGAAACCTTTTAAAGTAATGTTTACAATGAAATATTATTAAATCAATGTGGTATATTCAGGACTATTTTTAGCTACTCCGAGACATAGGTTTAGTTGGATTTTCTTAGCAAAGTTTGTCTTACATATGGATGGCTGTCTGTATGTGTGGGGTAACTTTTCATATTTTTTATTCCAAGATCCACTAGACCATTATAATTTGTCAAAATACATGAAATAAAATAATAAAAAGAAAGAAAATAACTTGAAAAGGTAGAAGTACAATTTTATGACAGCAAAACCAGGTCTTTTAGATACATGTAGGTGTAACATGCAATCATCTTTGTAGTAAAAGATTTCATATTGTTCAAATCTTGTATCCTGTAGTAAGAAGGAGGTAAGATAGGGGTCAAAGTTTTACTTAAGATTTGTATACAAAAAAGTCTTTAAAAATAATTTTCTTTAAAACTTTTTGTAACTGTTCAATTGATATTCAAGCATTTCCAGGTAGTGTAGTCTTTAATTTGGTTAGGTTTTGGTCATATTGGTCATGCATGTACCAAACAGAGGTTTTAATTTTTACATGAAGGATACATGTACGTGTATATGAGAACTATATGTATTACTGGTATTTCAAAATCTTTTTCTAAGAACCAACCAAGATCTAGTCTGTCATGTTAATTTACAAGCATCCTAAGGTCTAGAAGAAAAATGTTTCTACTTTCCCTACCACCCTTTTTTTAAATGTTTTTTTTTCCTAGTGAATATCTGGATTTTCAGTTTTTCCTTTGTATAAAAATTTCTACAATAAATTTAAGTCACAGAAATGCTTTAAAAGCACTATTTCTTTTGTCATCAGTGTGATTAAGATGTTTTTGAAAGACATCCTGGGAAAAAAGTTGCCTATCTTCACTATTTTTTCAGTCTGAAAGCAGAATGAAATTTTTTTTTTCTAGGCCTAATATAGTGAATATATGTAAAAAAAAAAAAAAAGAGAAGTTTTTGTCTGTCTTATTGAGTCATGATAGAGCAAAGCAGCATAACAATGTTTTACAAAGGAATATATAGCCTTTTTTTGAGAATAGTAATGCTATAATTTAAAATATGATACTTAATATCAATATGGTGTAGAGTAAAATAATTGAATTAGAGGTTTTGTTTATGTATTAACTCAGTTAAGCTCTTTGGTCTGTGGACCTTTAGTCAATCTTTTTATCATACTAATTAAGCTATATATCTACGGTAATCTCTTAACCTTAGATGTGTTCCGTGAGTGTGGAGGGGCACGCTGTGTCCATGGAATGGTACAGTATGAGGAATGTCGACAGCAGGCCCTTAACATTATACAACAGCTGATCCTGTCCCCTCAAGGGGACGATGACATGGCCACACTGCTTGGACTCATGCACACCTCCCCTGTACTCTCACTACAACTCAAAACTCATATACTCAAGGTAAATCTTAAGCTTTTATACTCAAGATAAGGCTCATAACACACAAGGTAATGTTCATGACTACACAGGGTAAAGGTAAAAACATCTTAGTAGACACATTATACATGTATCAAGGTACACTGAAGGTCCATATGCTGATGGTAGAAATTCCAACCAATGTTCAACATCCTTATCTTAAAGACTTGCATATACATATACCTGTATACATATATTCAAGTGAATTCCTTTGATTTACATTCACACAGTAAGGGGGGAACTCTGATAAGGAACTTGAAAGCAAGAAAAAGTACCCCCCAAAAAATGAACTCAAATGAGAAATGATAAATTGAAAAATGTGCCATAATCAGTAGTCTTTAATTAATTTTTTAGATAACATTTCAATTATCTTGTAGGCCCTGCTGACTGTACTAAGAGAGAGCCACCGATCAAGAACTGTGTTCAGAAAAGTGAATGGATTTGTGTATGTTATGTCTCTCCTGCTGTCCATGGAGGGCTGCCTACTGGACCCTCCCAAAGCACCATGGGATTCAGGTAATTGTAGAAGAGTAAAGGTTCTGCTAATAGTTGAAAATAGCCAGTTAATTAAATGTGCACCTGTAGAATACAGAAACTAGATCATTTGTTTCTCTTTGGCCAGTGCTTGACTAACTGTCTGGTTATTCTTTTCAGTGGAGAGAACAAGTGTTCTAAGTATACTCAAAACCGTGTTCAGCACTCTTACAGTGGCCATGAGATATGAACCAGCAAATGCCAAATTCTTTGAGACACAGGTAAGTTACAATGTATAAAGATACTAATATTCAAATGTATCCATATACAAGTTAAAAATATAAGTAAGAAAAATACCTGGGGTATTTCAGGATTGTTGTTTGCATTAAAAAGAAATCAGATTATGCCTTAATTTCTTTTCATTAGGTGCAATATGACAGTCTAACTGAAGCTGTGCGACTGCTTGGATGTTTTTCTGAGGCTGTAGATGTACAACCTCTCTTTGATACCAACACCCAGGACGATGAGGTCAAAGGCAAAGAAGAATCATTAGATGCAGAGGTGGATCAAAGCAGAGCTGTGTGGGAGGATTTCTTCTGGAAAAGTCATGATAATCAGTAAGCAGTCCAACAACATACATTTATTTTCAAAGAGTAGGAGCAGTTATATTCAATGCACCAATAAAGAGCAACTGCATGGACTAGATATAAACAATTTTACAAGAATTGTTTTTAAAGAGATGATTTCTTTTACAAAATAAGGAGATAATTCTTACTCAGAAATTACAGACCCATTTCTATTTTACCAAACTTTCTTAACTCAGTGAAAAGCATGCTGCACGTTAAATCAATAGGTTTATGACTACATGTGATTTTACTGATTAATCTCAATCAGGTTTTAGACAGTTTTTTTTTTCATATCAAATACCATTTAATAAATTGACAGGTAACTGGCTAAGGGTTATGGATCTAACAGCCTGGGTATAACATTTTTGGACTTAAATTTTTCACTGAGATAGTTTTGAAATTCTTCTTTCTAAACTCAAATTGTGTAATTTTGATATAAAAGCAATAAAATGGTTTAGCTTTTACTTGAATGAAAATGTTCATAATGTTCAAATTGGCTCATACACTTCAGCTGCTTTAGCTGGACTGCCACAAGGGTCTATCCTGAGACCACCTCTGTTTTATTTTTTATCAATGTTCTCCCACTGTGGGTAGAAAATTCAATCGTTGATCTTTATGCTTGTGATTCTGCCTTACATTATCGTTATAACAATGTTTAATTCATTGATCAATCTTTAATTTCTGATATTAGAAACATTAAACATTGGTCTCTTAGTAATCAAATGGTTTTAAATTCTTGTGAAACTGATTGCATGCTAATGGGAAAATCATCAGCAAAAAATCTGAAATAAGTAATAATCTTAATTTGCATGTTTCTGGTCAGCAAATTCAATGTGTTGAACTTCTTGGTATGCATATTGATTCCTCACCTCAGAAGTTCAGTTCAACACCAATGTACAAATGTACATGTAGCTTTTGTTTGTAAATCACTGCCTAGTGAACTATTTCTTGATCACAAGAAAGCTTTTTATACTTTACATATGTTGCTTTGTACCAGCTATTGTATTTCAATCTTGGGAAATACTCCAAAGTCTTGCATGTTCATGAACCAGTTTACAGGTCCCAAAAGTGATGCTATTATTACTCAACACATATTTTTCTACATTTTTTTTCCCAATAAGAGTTTAAACTGTCTAACTGTTTGAATTTTCTCTGTAGGATTGATGATAAAACCCCAGTCCTATTACAATCTGCTGCTATTATGATCAAGTTCTTGTACAACATGGTACTGGATACATTTGACAGGTTAGAACAGTCTTGTTTGTATTACTGTTACCTCTGCCAAGGAAATGTATAAGTGTACTCAAAACAACTTCACCAACACAATTATTTCTTAAATCTACAGTGTTTGGTTTTCTCTGTAGATTTTATTTTCTGGACAACTTTTAACATTTCTACATAAATTTTTGTTGAAACTTTATTTTCCTTTTCTTTTTTTTTTTTACTCAGACCCTCAGCTTGTCTTCAAGTGCAAACAGACTCACCTGCCTTAAAGAGACTCACTATGGTACAGGAGGAGGAAAAATCTCACACAGCTTCCCCCAAACGAGCAAGCACTGGGAGCATCACTTTCTCTGTAAACATCCAGTGTGACCTTATTATTGTACACCCTGGGGCTGTGATTTCTATTCTTCATTTGTTGCCATCTGTGGAGTTTGAAGGACAATTAACAGTGAGCTATACATGTATATGATAGATACTCACAAAGCAATGTTACTTGCAATGCTACATGCATCCATTTTAAGAGGTGGTTTTAGTATCAATAAAAATACATGAAATATGAAAAGCTAATACAGTTGCTAAGTGTATAGGAAGTTGGTTTCTTTAATATTTGGATACATTCAGTCTTGATCATTGACCATGCTGTACCTTAGGTTTATGCATGAACGGATTTATATTATGGATTTTTTTTTTTGCAGACATCATTAGGCCTACAGAGCTATATAGCTGAGTTGCTGAAGGGAGTCCTGTATACAGAGAGGAACCAGCAAATCATGTGTGATGCGGGGATGCCTCACCAGCTCCTGACCCTGGGATATGTGGCTCTAGCAGATGACTCTCACCCTCTACACCCTCCATTTCGAGCCATGTTTGAAAGGCTGGCAGCTCAGGCATTGACACCTAGAGATCTTAGGTTACTGATCAGTTACTGATTACTAATTCTATTTTCTTTTGTTTTAGTTATTTTTTACCTAGAGACTTATGAAAAAATGCTTGGGGTACTTGAAATTAATTTTCCACTATTGACAAAAGTAATTACATGTACTACCATTTAGTGAAAACTCTTTATCTTACAGTTTTTCTCCCATGGAATTCACAGTAATTTTGCAGTGTATAAATATTTATACTCAGTCTGACAGTTATTAAACATTTGATTTTGTTATTATAGAGATTTTTTGAGACTTGGATCACCATTGAATTGTCGATCTGTGGATGAAATGTTTGATAGTCCCAAGATGATGGAAAACTCCTGGAGTCAAAACTGGCCAGTCAGTCGAGCATCAAGTATTGATGAAAGAAGGACACCAATTCAGGTGGAAAACAAACTGAAAACAGCTGGTGAAGCTGTTCCACTGACTCGAGTAAAATGTTTAGTTTCCATGACAACACCAAAGGATGCCAGGATCAATGGTTCTGCTGTGACTCCAGCTTTTGTGGAGTTTGATATGACAACAGAGGGCTTTGGCTGTTTGTACCTCCCAAGTATTGCCCCTCAAGGTCCACCCACCCCCTCTGTTGTTAGTGGTGTTGTTGGGGTGGATTCCACAGTCATCGGAGGGATAGGAACAGGTAATATAAACCTGAATCAAACTTAGATAAATCTGAATTTGTTTTTATTTTGTTGTGGAATTTTATATCCTTGACTGCTAAATCAGTCAAATGAACAGGTACATGTACATGTATATGAAATTTAGATAACAGTTTTATTTTCCCATTGATCTGAAAAGAAGCTTATAAATGAAAAGGTTTTTATAAAATTGTGAACAGTTGATTACATGTTCATGCATTTCATGAGATGAGGTTGCCATCGTTTTGCAGGAGAGCGGATATTTCCACCTCAGGCTGGTATGACATTTTCCTCATGGTTTTGTGTGGATAAATTCAGTGTGATTGCTGATGCTCATCCAGTGCGCCTGCTGACCATTGTCCGAAATCTGCAAGGAAGAGATGAAAACCTAGTCTGTTTGTCTGTCACCCTGTCCTCTAGAGAAAGATCTCTTATTGTCTCAACTCAAGAAACTCATCTACCAAGCTCAGGTAATAATGTACTTCTACAAATTATACCCTTAATTAGTGTTCATATGCTAATTTTACATGTACATACAGCCTTCAGAGATGAAAGATCTAGCTGATTACATTAGTATTCAAAGCCAGTGTCAATTTTTAGTTTACAGTATTAACTCAAACTGTCTTCTTTTTGATACACATAGTGACTGGTCTTGAACAAGAACCTGAACCTGTGTTGAATGACAATTGTGTTCGATTCTGGTGCCCTGAGTTGACACAGGAAGGACAGTGGCACCACCTAGTGTTAATTTTCCACAGGGCAGGAATAATGAAAAACAGCAGTGTTAGTCTGTATGTGGATTCTGAGTTAGTTAGTACTCAAAAGGTAAATTACTTTTTAATGTTTTGAACTTTTTCCATTTAAAAAAAAAAATCATTTTTTCTTACTGTTTACACATACAATGTAAATGTTATGGAGTTGAGAATTGTTCACTAGTAAATGGAATCATGATTATTAGTGCTCTTGGATGTGCAGGTGGTGATATATTTGTTGTATTGTCATTGTACATGTACGTCAGTTCTATTTTTCTGAGTTTTCTGTATTGGAATCTAAGGAGTTTCATACTTAAACATCAGTGTCATATCAGTGACTCAGTTAATTCTAGCTGGCTCTGATAAACCAGGGTAGAAAACTACATTAAAATCAGAGGGGTTACCTGGACCTGTATGGGGAGCAAAACATTTGGGATAACATTGCCATAGAACCAGGTGGTCATGGTATAATGACCTGGTTGTTTGATGCACTGGTTATTATATCACATGATGGGTGTTTCAACTTTAGTTTATTTATTTATTTATTTTTTTTGAAGAAAGGTACATGTAGATAACGTCGTAGAAATATGATTATCAATTATTTTTATTTTACATTTGAACAGAATTTATTTAGTACATGTAGTTCAGGTTTTGGTATTTTGTCACTGTAGTGAGTAGTGTACTTGTTTTTCCTAGCTGCATTACATTTCTCCCAACCTTGGTGGAGGGGGCACAGCCAGTCCTACAGCTTTTACATCGGTGTATGCCTATATTGGCAGCCCTCCACAGCTACGAAGAAATTCTCGCCTTACATGGAGACAGGGACCCTGCCATCTAATGGAAGACATTATATCTAGTTCTGTGATTAGCTGCATATACAAACTAGGACCAACTTATGTTGGAAGTTTTCAGTCCACATGCATAGGTGAGATTGTGTTTTGAAAATAAAATATTTACCAACTACTAGTATTATTTGCTTCAGCTTTTCTTTGCTATTCTTAAGTGTGAAATCTGTCCATGATTATTAATTGGAATATTCTACATAAATACACAATTAAATGAATGGTTGTGGCATAAATGTGAGTTAAAGGAGGTCGTGAAACTCACTTATGTTTCTTGCATGCCAATAAAAATTGGTTTACAGTAGTTTTTAACCAGTCAGTATATTCTTGAATGAAGTCATTGTCACTTTAATCTGTTGCAGATGATATAGAGATGTCAGGTGCTCTAGTGTCTGAGGAGAAGCTAGTATTTGGTGTTCATGCACATGCTGTCTCCCAAATGACTATTCTGCTTATCAGGAAAAACTACAGCAAAGTGGATAGCAAGTCCATAGCAAGACAGGTCAGTGTGCTTTTGTTAGGTTTGAATTGATTAATATCAAACTCAGGGTCTTGTATTGTTAAAATAGGGTAGGGGGTTTGTTTTGATGATCTATGGTATTTTCAGATAGTTACATGTAAATGTAATTACTAGTACATGTATATGTATAGTTGTTCAATCTTATTTTTGAAATTACATCTTCTTACTTTGTAACAAGGTATAATGTACTGTATGTTCATTACTTTAACAGTTGGCTATGTCTGCTCATGACAATGCTACACCAATTCGGATCATCCACAACTCTGCAGGTCATCTGAATGGACCAGCCAGGAGTCTTGGTGCAATACTCATAGGATACCTTGGTAGACACTCACAAAATACTCATAATTCCTTCAGTTTACAGATTATGCTGTATATTTACAGTCCTTGAAACGTTCTACTTTCCCACTTGAACGGTGAGCGAACGCTGAACGAACGGTGAACGAACGCTGAACGAACGCAGAGCGAACGGTGAGTGAACGATGTGTGAACGCTGAACGCAACTTGGTGAACGATGTGTGAACGGTGAACGGTGAGTGAACGCTGAACGCGAACGGAGCGCAAACGCGAACGCAAAGTGAACGGTGAACGAACGGTGAACGCAAGATGAACGATATATTCGGAATGCCTCTGATCTTTTCCTTGCATTGAAACTATTTTATTGTATTATATTTTCAGGTGCCAGATAAATAAATAAATAAATAATAGATAAGTAAACCAATAAATGAATGAATATTTAAGTCAATAAAATAAATTCTCCAAAATTGTCCTAAGAAAGACGATGCATGCACATAAAGTTTTTAATCACACGATTTTTATCGCATTAAAACATTGCAATTGTTATCGAACGCTGAAGTATAAAAGATATTTTTTTAGTCGGAAAATAAAAATGTTTATTCTTATTTGATAACAAATCAGAGAAAACTTCTGACTTATAGAATGAATTAAAGCGGTTGTTACATCCATTCATATATCTCCGTGTCAAGGCGATTTCGTTTAATTAATGAAAAAAAAATTATTAGAAAGGTCAGTGGACGTTTTGCATTTATACGCTCGTATTTTAAATTTTTAATATAATAATATATTATGTGTCATTTCTATTTTTCATGATGATTTATTGAGCAGACTTCTACATGTATATGTAGATGGCCGTGGTTATATTCGGACAAGATAATACAAAGATACATATTCATATTATTTGTTATAAATTCAATTTTCAGAACTTGATGTTTAAGTAATATTCTGTTATAGTTTTTATTAAACAGACAAATGAGAGAGAGAGAGAGAGAGAGATATTCCGTTTTAGCCCCCCCTCCTTTCAGGCTTCACTAAATGTTTGTACCTATATCAAACAAAAACTCTGATTTTTTTCCTAAATATATCAGACAGTGAAAGTAACTTTTTTTAATCAACAAATCATATCCATTTGTTTGACAGTCATACTCGTTTTTATGTTCCTGCTTCGATTTCACACGAAGTCCACGTGCTTGTCCTATCAATCAAAATCATTCGACACTGTGCATGTGTGAAAGTTTCGTCACATCGAAGACGGAGTGCGAGTATTTCCAACAAGTTATAACATTTATTTTTATCATTTCTAGATTTGATTCCAACATTTGAATAATAAATGAATAAAATACATTGGGCATTAACACTTGAATTTGATACATACTCTCTGCCAATTTCAAATACCACCGCCGACACGTGTACATTTTGAACTACACTAACTATTGTTTTGTGACTTTTTTAGATGCATGTTTGTTTTGAGACTGAAATTTTTGTTCTAAAAAAGACCTTAACTTTCTTTAAAAAATGTTAATTAAAATATTCTGGAAATGCAGTACTGACTAAGTAACCGATTTAGGGGGAAAGGTGGGGGGGGGGGGGGGGTATTAATCATATCGAATGGCAAACATATAAAGTTACGGTGAAGAGAGAATTTTTTTCTCTATAACTATAGACTTTACATATTATAGTTGAGAAAATTCTGTAGTGCAGTACATTTTAAATAAATATTTCCTTTAACCACACTATCAATTTAATTCGCTCCAAAGATAATAAACTGGACATCTGCAGTACTATGTATAACTCTCAGAACTAGTTCTATCATATTTTCTGTAGCAATTAAAAAAACGTGTTAGAAATAAATATTTTCGTAATTTTGCTGCGAAATCATTTGACTTGGATAATTATATCACCATTAACGATTTGTCGTCTTTAACAAAACAACGAAATGTTGCAGTGTTTGAAGTATTTGCACATTGCCCTTAGTTAAATTTAATATTTCAGCATCGTTCTACATAGGTACAGAATGTGCTTATAACAACATTTATTTTCCAGTAATTTAATAAAAAACCTAACAGCTAAGTTAGAATAATAAAAATATATATCGTAGATATTTTCCCCATGAAATAATGATTCTTCAAACACGATATGTTAGTTATTAAATTAAAAAACCTGTAACTCCTTCCCTACAAAAAGATAAGTCTTTTCACTTCGGAGTTCCGAATGACAATGAAAACTGAACGATAGATGAACGCTGAACGCAAGGTGAACGCAAAGTGAACGGAACGAAGAGCGAACGCTGAACGCTTTGTGAACGGTGAACGCGAGCGCACGGTGAACGGTGAACGCAAAACTGTGAACGGAGAGCGAACGGTGAACGCACGGTGAACGAACGGTGAACGCACGCTGAACGAACGTTGAACGAACAGTGAGCGAACGGAAAAATGGGAAAGTAGAACGTTTCAGGGACTGTAGTACCACACAAAATTTCTTTCTTAGCATATATGCAGTCCTCTTGAAACATTATTTGCAGTATGCACAGCATTATGTTTGATGTTTTCCTGTTTCCACAGGTGTTCGAACTTTCTGTCCACGACCCGTTGCCAAAATGCTAGAAAACATTGGAGGTGCTTCAGCTTTGTTAGGGTTGGTTGCCATGGCGTCTGATGTGGAGGAGTTGTATGCTGCTGTTAAGGCTTTAGTTTGTGTTGTCAAGAGTAACAAATCCACCTTGAAGGACATGGAAAGGATAAGTGGTTATCAGGTACAAAGAATGGACACTGTTAGGTTTGGATAATTAAATATAAAGTTTCTGAATGAGTAAACATGTAACTTTAAAATTCCTGAAATGGGGATAAAAATTGTGTTAATTAGTTAGTACTGGCTTATTCTTGTCATAGGGTCAATTTTATGTGTACACAATCTTTAACTAATATTTTAGCTGTTATCCATGCTGTACAAGAAGAAACAGAATCTCTTAAACAGCCACATTTTACACCTGACATTTTCACTGATTGGGACTGTAGACAGTGGTCGTGAAAGCTCTGTCATCCCAAACAAGAAGGCTTTCCAGGACCTACTGTGTGAACTCGAGGTAATATTTAAAAAGCATACTATCTTAAATCCTTTTCCTACCCAGGGAAACGTGTTATGATGAACAAGATACCTTATATTTTATATTTCCAATGTGTATTACAGGTCTGGCATCATGCTCCCTTTGATCTTCAGAGATCATTATATGAACACTTCTTTGAACTTCTCACAGACTCCAGGTAACTTTAAATGAAAATTCAGTTGTATGGAATTATTTTAAAAGTCGTAGGAGCATTTATTCCTGTAAATTTTGTAGATACACATATATGTATATATGATGAAGTAAAATATAGTCCCACATGATATTACAAATGAACATGTATATTTCTACATCTTGTGATGAATTCTGGTTTGATCCTAGCTATCATGCTTTGTAGATTATCACAGTATCCACTGAATATTCTGTAGTCAAGGCAACTGAAAAATCCTTTCTATATTCCTGTCTACTTAATGATGTTCTTTTTTCATAGTGAACAGAGCAGCAATTTCCAGTTGATGCGTGACCTTGGAATGGTGGGCCGTTTACTTCACATTTTAAAGGACAATCAGTTGACCCCCGCCACAATCAAAGCTATCTCTAGTGATATTACTGTTCTCCTGCAGGGAGCCCCTGATTATGCCGCACTTCTAAAGTAAGTCTACCGTATTTGACAAGGGAGGTACAATATAGTTGACATTGTTTAAAAATTTCATATTGACTGCAATATTGCAATATAGTGTATTTGATTTTTTTTTTATTGTCCTCAATTCAAATTTGCTTATTTTATTTGTGAATGAGTTGAATTTATTGACATTGTTTACAGACTGGGACAATTTACTGTGTCAACTCTTCCCTCCATGTCAGCCTCTGAGAAGCAGATAGTGATTAATGGGATCAGCCCTACAGATGATACTGGTAATGTCCCTTTTCTATCCCCACAAATTTGAATGTTAAAAGGATTTGCATATTTCTTATTTGCCCAGACTTTTTAATTTATGTCCATAACCTTTAAACTATACAAGAAAGTGTATGCAGTACAAGTACAGCATGCATGTACAGTACAAGTAACATTGCTGTACAGATCTTGATTATATATTTGTGCATGTATACATTGTAGGGCAATGCTTCATAATGCTGTACATTTTTTCACCTTCGTTTAGTTTATGAAATTAATTGATGTTTAAATGTTTGACAGCACAGATATGTATAACTCTTATTTTATATTTAACAAATGATTAAATAGTTTATGACAAATTTTGGCTACTGACGCTGAAGGTAAACTGAAAGCGAGGCTGTCTGAAAATAACAGAATACAAAGAGAGGTACCAAAGGGGAAATTACAAAAAGCCTAACCTATATGTAGTAATACAATTTATATACATGTATATAAACAATGATTATTAACATAATCAACAATTTTATGAAAAAGTTGTCAACTAAGGACTTGCAATGATTATGTTTCAGATGGTGATGTTGGTACATCTATGTACAAAATCAAGATGAGAAACAATTGTTTGGAAATTATACTGGAGTTATTGCAGGATCCATCTTCTGGAAATAATGTGTAGGTACATTTGTTGTGCAGATCTGCTGTGTATAGACATGTAAAAGCCCCCCCCCCCCAAAATAATGAAATCTCAAATACAGTAAACATGCTTTTTCCCACAGGGTCATAATTCTGCAGAATCTTAATTCTTGGTCTATTCACAGACAGAAAATTATGTGGATTGCCATTGTTTGTCTTAAATTCAATTTAAGTATGCATTGACAAATTTCTGCATCAAATCTTTGATTTTCAAAATTAAAAAAAATGAAACGACACAATAATTATAAAATTTACAAAATTTCCTGTTAGTTCTCTAAATTTGTGTAGTCAAAGTTTCGTTCCTTGTATTTTACCTGAGAATTTTTTTTTCCTTTTTCAGTGTACCAGAAGAAATTCAGAAGGTTCTTGGATTTGATTGGTTGCTTCTCTTTGTCCAGCCACATGTCCATCATAGCACAGTCATCACTGCTCTTAGGGTGCTTCTAACGATTTTACAGAATCCAGCTTCATTGTTGAAATTCCGAGAGGGGACACCAGGTGGAGGCTGGCTTAGTAATACAGAACCAGTTCTGAAGCAGCATGTAGGAGTCATGTTAGGTAAGCCTCTTTAGATGTGAAAATACTCTATCCATAAACTTTGAAAAGAAACATCTAGGAAGAGATTAGATGAAATGTTCATGATTTCAGGTCTGAATATAAGCACCAAGAACACAGGGCAAAAACGTGAACTAAACCAGGAGGTCTGTAAGGTCCCTGGGTTCACAGCATTACAATGGCTACTCCCCAAGCACAGTAACATACCAGAAGTATACTTCCTAATGATGGCACTGTTACTAGGACAACATGTAAACAAATTACCAACTGATGTAGAGGTACTTATGTCTTCATATACATATACATGTACATTTATTAAACTTAGAAAAGATAATGTCTAAATCATGTTATTTGGAAAAAAGAAAAAATCAACCTAAAAAAGATTTCCCAGAGTTGTTTTTGTTTGAAAGATTGAAGGTGATATATGTATAAGAAACATATACAGTATATGTTTATAGTATATTTCAATAAGTACTTTGTTTTTATCAGCTGAATATAGACAAAGTATGGACTGTGATATTTGGGGTACCAGCCAGTAAACCAGTCTCCATAGCTGCCAAGGAGAAGCATGCTGACCTATGTCCAGAGGCAGCCTTTGTCATTCTGAGCATGATCAGGAGCATGCTCAATCAGGTCAGTAGGTTACACACAGGTAGATCAGATCAGTGGGTCACATACATTTAGATATAAAAAAGGTATCTACATGTATATGTCAGCTGGCTCTTGAAAATGCACAAAGATTTCATTTGCATTGCTGTTTGTTTAAGTCACAGAATTAAAAAGTTTCATAGTTTTTTTTTTTTTAAATTTTAGGACCAGGAGGAATTAAGTGGGGCATGGATACAGGAATACCCTGTTACACTGATGCAGTTCTTTTTGTTTCTGTACCACAACCAGTCAGACTTCATCCACCTAGCATCCAGCCCTGAGTTCATCAGCAACCTTGCTGCCACTTTATTCCCTTACAACATCGTGGACCATGATGTTACTACACCAACAGAAGAATTTAAAGTGAGTGCATGTAATTACATGATCTAGCCCTTTTGTCTTGTTATTTGGCCTCTTTTTTAAAAAAAATAATTGAATTAAATTAGGTTGATTTTTCTTCTTATATAAATGCAGCATAATTTGTAAATGTACATGTGTATATACATGTACATGTATCCATCCATTTGACTAAAATTCAGCTTTTATCAGAACATTAAAAAAAATATATAGAAAAAGATGCTAAAGTTTAATACAGTCAAACCTTGTTATCTTGAACTCAACAGGACCAAGATTAAACCAAGATATTTGAGGATTCAAGATAACTTTAAAAAAAGTGATTGGGACTGCCAGATCACTTTGACATATCCCTGTCTAGGGATATCGGTTTTCGTGATAAAGTTCAACTGTACTTCCTTAGTACACTACCATTACTCTCTGACTTCAATGCTGATGTATTGTATATGTATTAGGCCACTGCAAATATCACTTCTGCTTTGTAATGAATATTTTTGTGCTTAATTTATATTAAAAAATTCAGCTACATACTAACAGCATGCATGGTTTTTAATGAATTAATATCTGTATGTATAACCATGCTTTATTCTAATTCAGCCATTCCCAGACACAGAGAGCTTTGTTAGAGTCCGCACCCCAGAAAAAGACATGCCAAGTGAGTTAATACATGTACATTGTATTGCTTTGAAAATACAAACTAATATTGCTTTACAATAGTAAAAATTCTGAGAAGTTAAAGGTAGTAAGTAGATGTTATAAAGATGCACTCTTGATGATAGGTCTTTTAACAAGTCACCCTGCTCGTAAGTTTGTGGTGGACTTCCTGAGGACCATTGTGGTGGACAGCTTCTCTCAGCAAGTCTCCTCCAAATCGGGCATCATCCTGGACATTGTCTTAGATGTGAGTCACAGGAAATTGTATTTAATATAATTCAGTAAACACTGTAAATTATAGGGTTAGAAGTTCAATTTATAGGTCAGTAATCAACAATGTCATTCAAAGAAGAACTAAAAAATTGTCTCTTGATTTCAAAAAAGTACAATGTACCATAACACATTCATAATCTCTGAATTTCTAAACTCCTGGGACTGCCACAAAAACAGATATAATATTAACAATAATGTGTATTTAAATATTCCTACCTGTATGTAGGCATCTCCTGAGACTGCCACCAGGTCCCAGAGACGTGAGTACCAGACAGAGATCCTTACTGTCATCATGGAGCACCTGCTGGCTGCTGATGTGTTGCTCGGAGATCAGGCTGCTCTCCCACTCTCATCAGGAGGAAGTTACTCCAACATGACTAACAATGTCTTCTACTTTGCTAGTCGCCTTGTGGACAAAGTTTGGCAAGGTATAAATCTTTATTTATTAAAATTTTCTGATGCACTGTTACAGATATTCTAAATTTTAAAAAGAAGGGCACAATACTACATGTAATTTAAAATTTGGTTATCTGATGATTGTAGGTGTTTTTACAAGAGAAACAAAGGAGGTTTTTGAATTCATCAGTAAACTTATTGCACAAGCCAAAAGAAAATGTGAGTATGCATACATTGTACATACATTGAAACCAAATTGGGGTTCTGTATGATGTATAAAAGTTTGTTTTGGAACTATATGCAAAGTGAAAAATGAATAATCCTGCATCAAAAAAAAAATTCATGTAGTTTATCACACTGTGATCATAAACTTTTAGATACATCAAAGCAGGTAATAATCATGAAGTTTTTTCCTTGTGAAATAGTGACTTTTGTAAATGTATTGACAGGAATATTATCATACAATACTTGTTCATAGTGGAATATATAGCAAGTTTTAATGACATGAAAAGTTCAAAAAAGTAATAGCAGTAATTGGGATGAATACAGTATTAATTACTAAGTATAGCTTATCACACTTGAGACTTTATGTATACAAGGCTTTCTGTTTTAAAACTGTTTTGCTTCATGATTTGCAGCTTCGGGTGTGTCCATGGATTTGATCTACAAGTCACTCAACAGGACAATTCTGTATCAGCTGTCTCGGCCCATTAATATAGTCTCTTCACAAACAACAGTATTAGAGTCTCTACACAAGCTAACCTCAAACAGGACACTTATATTTGGCCCTAAGAACTATGATACGGAGTTTTTAGTTTGTCTGTGTTACTGCTTACTCCAGTTGACTGATGATGATCCAGAAAAAGGGTAGGATATTGAGAATTTCAAGTACATACAGTGTACGTGTACCTGAATTCCTCGTGCAGGCTCTCCAACCACCTTTTCGTTAAAGGGGTTTGGACTGTTAACATTTGGAAAAATGGCAATGCTGTCAAGAAAATTAAGAAAATCATCGTATATAAAAGCAAATAACATTTTGGCTTTCTGGTGTTTTGTTTTTCAACTTTATCATGCTAGTGACAAGTGGGAAAACAGCACTATTTATTCAGTTGGGGAAAAAAGGTACCTATTTGGAATTTGGAAAAGGGTCATTCAGCAGCCCTATTTATACACAGTTGAGGGCCATGTCTTGATGTAGCACTTATAGCTAGTATTATGAATCAATTCATTTAAAGGTTTTGGGTGAATTATAAAAACAGATTTTTTTTTAATGCAGTATTGTTGAATTTTTTAAAATGACACTTTAAGAATGGATAACTTGATTTAATTGAAATAAATGAAAAATATTTTTCTTGTGCTATTCAGCATGGAAAATTTGCATGGAGGAAAGGCCTTAAGGACTACCTGGCATCTTAACATGGATAAAGATGAAGCAAATGGAGATCTGGAGGCTAATTTCAGCCATTTTCTGAAGGGGTCAGGGGTCATGGAAGGTCATCATAATTTGGTAAAAGCTGCCAAGCGAGTATGGGAGGAGCTATATGCCTGTAAAAAACCAGTAAGCATACATGTATATCAGCATTATGTAATAGACTCATGTAAAGTCATGATTTAAAATGCAGGATTTCATGTGAAATACAGTTTGTATACTGCACAATTTGGCCTTTATATAGCAAAACTTGTATTTTAGTGCTCTGTGTCACTACAGTGTATCTGTGTGGCACTACATGTATTTCATAATCATGGCCAAAATGTGAATGCACTTTATATACCATATTCAAATAGTAAACAATGATAGCATTAATTTATTTATCATTGTGCTACCCAGTCCAAGACCCACACATGCACCAAGTTTTAAATACATAGAAGGAAGTATACAGCCTTACAGTTAGTTTATATATACATACACATGTATATATTTGTTTTCAGGCTTTGGAAGAGATCTTTAAAACACAGCTGAATAACATTGATGTGACCCATTCTACCTCTGTATCCTCTCCAGACATAAATAGTGTCAGGTAGGGTTTATAAAGTATCCCATACCTTGTATTGTGGTCTTAAATATTTCGAACAATTAGTCAATTAACAGTTATTCTGTGTCAGTACAGTGCTTGTCTTTTCCTTTTCCAGAGGTTTGATACAAGAGTATGCCTCTAAGGTGTGGGTAACGTATGCAGAGAGTGAAAGAAAATGTCATGCATCATATGCAGAGAGGCTTCCTACTCAGATACAATCAGTGAGTAGTGTATCTTAGATTGCTGATCTATCTGTCTGTCTGTATATATACTGACTTCATCCATATAATAATACAATTCTGTGGAATCATCAATGTTCATGGAGGACCAGTGTTAGTAGATTTCATGAGTCACCATTAGCCAGAATTTACATCCACAATAACAATTATTTTAAGAACATATAGGTCCGTTGAATTATGTGCTTATTCGAGTTACACCCAATATTATGTCCACCCCCCAACCCCCTTTTCCAATCCTGAATCAGTGAAATCTAGTGTCAGGGGCTGACAAATAGATTTTTTAAGTACTTGCCTATGGGCGAGTACATGGTCAAAATTCACTTGCCCTACCTGAATTTTTACTTGCCCCACCATAAACTATGAAAATAGGAAGACAAAAAATGATTATTACAAGTGCTCATTTCCACTTAAAACTAAAACTTGTTATTTTTTTTCATGAAAAAGTCACTTGCCCTCGGGCAAGTGGTTAATAAAAATTCACTTGCCCATCCCTAAAATTCACTAGTCCCGGGCGTCGGGCAATGGAATTTGTCTGCCCCTGAGTGTGTCCACAAACATCGAACCCCACAAATTAAAATGATTCCACAGTATTATCTGACATGATGATTTTAATTGATATTTGGTAAAAAAATTTTAACTAAAAAATTTACTATCTTCTAACTATTTTCAGACTCTCCAGAAAGTGGGCAGTGGTGTCCTGAGATTGGCCACAAGAAAAGGAAAGAAGGAAATGCCTTTGAAAGTGTCCCCATGTTCTAATGTCCACATGACAGTAAGTGTGCTCATTTAATAACAACACAATCAACTTTTTAACTCATGTATTATAGAGTGAAAATGTGATAGAAAAAGAAAATGATCTGCCTTTAATTTTTTATGTCTAATTGTAAAAAAAAATATTTAAAAAATCCATGATACATGTATAAGTTAATATATATTACATTTATAATGTATATTTTTTAATCAATAGGATTTCATATCTTGGACTTTGTCCCACATTTCTATTGTGAAGGATCTTGTTGAGTTACAGTATCAGCAATATCTCAAGGTAACTATTTTGATTCTTTAGATTAAGTAACACAGGATAACTTCTAGTTCTTTTAATGCCATTGCTGGTGTGTCACTTCTCAGTAAAAATAGGTTTAGCTGAATATCTGCAGCTGACTGGTTTAATTTCTAAAATGATCATTGTGTGGGGTACATGTCATTTGAGGGGCTGGTGTAAATGAGGATTGGCTTTGGAAACATGGTTTGTTGAAAGGATGCATTGGCCTACTTAGCTCTCAAGTTTAGGGAATATACATTGTATTACCTCTTAATTGAATGTTGTATCAGTGAATGAGGCACTCATAATGTGACTGTGTTTTAGGCCCAGGAGCATATGGAGCGCTACCTTCTGGAGGAGTGGACACAGAGAGAGGTGGATCTACTGAGGGAGAGGGGCCTCTGGGGCCCAACAGTGGGGTCAAGGCTCAGGAAGTGGATGCTTGACATGACAGAGGGTATAAATTTCAGAAGAACAGTAAAAAAAACCCCAAAATTCTATATAGAACATGATTTATTCAAATCATTACTCAGCATTTGTCTCTTTTACAGAAATGAAAAATATTTTTCAGGTCCTAGTCGCATGTTGAAAAAGATGATTCCAAATGATTGGTTTTATGCCCACTACCCATACAGGCCAGATATGGAAAATAGTGTAAGTACAACTACTGTAGATATGTGTGGTATATTTACATATGTACCTGAATTGTACACTTACATGTACATCTACATTATATAGTGTAATAATAGCACAATTTGGGATGTATATGGATTGTCGTTGAATATCTTACTGTTTCATCACACAGCCGCTGAAGTACAAAATTGCAATGAGCTATGACAGTAAGGAGTACTTTGAGAGATTCCGGTCCCAAACCCTTGTAGAACCTGATGTCCTCCCCATTATGAGAGGAGTAGAGGACACCAGTGAAACGGAGAGTGTGGATGAGAAGATACCAGATGGTAACTATAGTTTCTGAAAAAAGTACTTCAACATTTGATCAATTAGTAGATTTTGATGAGAAATTTATTTACCATAAATTCATAATGAAGGCACCCTTTTCACTGTACAGATGTACAGTTTACTTGTAAATTACACAATTATATAGTTTTGCTGTTGTAAAAAAGACCTCCACATTGAATAGTTTCAGATATAACCAGAATGACAAAGCTCCTTGGACGTCCCTCCAAACAAAGGCAAGTGGATGTGGATGAGGAATCTGAGGATCCATCTTGTGTGGAGAATCTAACAGAGATGGAAAAAGAAAACCAGGGGGAGGAGTTACGTGGAGAAGAGGGTAGGGAAGGACCCACAGAGTCCTCAGGGACCAAAACAGACAATAATCAAACCATACTCAGAATATTAGGGGAAGGGGAAAAGGTAACTTCTTTTAAATAATTTATCTGCTGTTTTTCATTCACATGTAACTTTATTTGCCTGTTTTATAATTCTTAATGTTTTCTTCGTAGATAACAAATATATTTCGTTGTGCGAGGATACAAGGACTGGACACTGCAGAAGGTCTGTTGTTGTTTGGAAGGGAACATTTCTATGTGATTGATGGATTCACTATGCTAAGGACTCGAGAGATTCGGGATATTGACAGTCTGCCTCCTGAGTAACTTTTTTTTATGTTTATTTTTTTTTTAATGTTTCATAACCCATTATGTGAATAGCTAGGACATATAGTGTTTGTCATGTCCCATTATGCATTTAGCTAAGTTTAAAACAATTGTTCAAGAAATTTTCATCCTAAAATACTTAGATACATGTACATACATGTAATTGTGAGAAAAGTTCGACTGTGTCATCATTGTTTGCTTTTTGACATTACATTATGACCTTAACCTGGATTTTATTGGTATTCTAGTTAGCTTATATTTTTTGAGGAATATAATTTGAGGAATTCCTTAAGTCTGAACACAGTTTGAACACAGTTATATTTAAGCCCACAGTGCAAAAATTGTTGACTTGACTGCTATTAACGACCAATTTCTGCATCACTTTATTTTTGCGAGACAGTTATTTCATATTATAGGCAAAATAAAATTTTCACAACTTTTGGTAAATATTGCTTATATACGCAAGAATAAAATTTTTCATGAAAAAACATTCTTGCGTAATTACACCAAAATATATGGGCTTGCAAATAAATAATGATTTACAGTATGTAATCACATATCATATCACTATGCACTAAGCTCAGTTATTTGTATTATCTTGATTCAACTTCCTACAAAAATATACCTTGGTGAGAGCTTTTCAACTTTGGTTGCATGAATCCAGTGATTTCATTCATACCTTGACTTCACATTCATTATTTTTGTTGAAAGCATTGGGACATTCTTGTATCTGTTCGTAAAAGGTTAATTTTAATCTTGGTCAGAACTTTTGATTGAGAGAAGATAAGGCTTTCATATTTCACATGTGTGTTACCTATGAAAAGACCCTTCTTGTTTTTGACCTCATTTCCTTGACCTTGAAGTTCAACCTATTTTCAAAAATTTTAACATTGGTAATAATTTTTTAATGAGAGAAGATACGGTTTTCGTATTTCTCATGTACTTTTCCTGTGATAACACCTTTCAAGGACTGAAGAATTACTTTCTTTGGCTTACACACAGTCAGGTGCATCAAAGTGGAAGGAATTATGGTCCTAAAAATGTTACCTTGACCTTTGTTCTGATCTTGACCTTCATGTCCTGTTTTGTATTTAGCAGATTTTTCACTACCGTGAAGATTTTACACCAAATAACTTCTTACAAACAGATGTATCTTGGAAGTTCTTTATACTTAGTAGAGGTGTAACTCTAATTTTTGATCTTCTATTTCATAGTTTACATGACCCAATCATTCCAAAGGCATCCAAAGGAAGTGGAACTCAGAAACGCTTGTATGTATAGTGTACTACACAAAATTTAAACTTACTTAAATGGGTTGAATTCTTATTTCTATCACTTGAAATAAGTTATAAGATTACAAGAACACTTTTAAAATTTCATACAGATGCAGTAAGTTTGCTTATGAGGATATTCGTGAAGTCCACAAGAGACGGTACTTGCTTCAACCAATAGCTGTAGAGGTTTTCTCTGCAGACGGGAGGAACTATCTCCTGTCCTTCCCAAGGAAACTGAGAAACAAAGTGTTCGCAAAGTAAGAAGAATATACATTGGGTACATGTATATAGTTTTATTAGTAGTATATACTGATAAAAAGCCCAAGCTTTCTTGCCATCTTTGTAACGTGCTTAAATTTATGTTACTTTTTTCAGGTTCATGTCTGTTGCCACAGCAATGACAGATAGTGCCCTGCAGTCAGTATCAGGGCAAAAACAGGGGGCCAAGATAGAAGCTGGGTATGTTTTTGTGCAGTTAAGCAAATGTTATATACAGTGTACGTTTGAATCAAACTTTGAAAATGTTAGATAATGATTCTTTCTACTTCTACACTTTGCAATGTTTGAGTGATTTGCCATGTTTCAGTGTTTTGTTTGACCTTTTATAGATCTGGTATTATTAGTTCTCTGATGGGTGAAAAATCTGTCACACAAAGGTGGGAGGTAAGACCAATTTTTTTTACACAAAAAAAATCTAATTCAAAGATTTCAGTCAAATACATGTATAACCCATTTAACTTTTGTAAGTCATCATACAAGACAATAATTATTAATTAGTATTGAATGTTATTGACATACATGCAGTATAGATTAAAGGCCATGTATATGTTTCAGCGAGGAGAAATTAATAACTTCCAGTACTTGATGCATCTGAACACTCTGGCTGGACGATCTTACAACGATCTGATGCAGTATCCGGTGTTTCCATGGATTGTTGGTGATTATGATTCTGAGGAACTAGATCTGTATGATGAAAAGACTTTCAGGGACCTTAGTAAACCTATGGGTGCTCAAACACCTGGAAGACTACAGCAATTTAAAAAACGTTATCAAGACTGGGATGATCCTCAAGGTGGGGTGAAAAATCTCATAGACTTTGCTGATATCTGAATATTTTAGTACCAGTGGATATCTAGCACATGTAGTTTGTTACACAATATTTCTTGATTCAGTTTGGTGGATTATTATTTGAAGACAGTGTATTATGTTTCAGGGGAGACTCCACCCTACCATTATGGCACCCATTACTCATCTGCCATGATTGTAGCTTCTTATCTAGTCAGAATGGAACCATTTACTCAGCACTTCCTCTCCCTTCAGGTAATAAATGCTGGTAAAGAAACAAGGATTGTAAATTATTGGAAAGTCTCAGATTTTTCTACTCTTCAATGTTTACAAACAGCATTAATTCCCATTTCCTGCACATGTTGTACATGTTAAGTATCTCCAATATGAAACAAACTACATTGTATTTAAAGTATGTTTATGTATATACAGTACTTTATATGTATATATTTACAGTTGGGTAAAACATATTTGCAAAATCTGTGGTCCTTACAATGCGGATGTTGGATGTCTTTTGTTATGGATGTACTTATTGTCACATGTGTCAGGAAAATTCACTCAGTATCCATTTTTAGCTCTTCTGAGTTAGCTCTTCTGAGCCAAAGGCTCAAAGAGCTAATGCTATGGCCATTTGTGCAGTGTGCGTAAACTTTTTAGCTCACCTGAGCTGAAAGCTCAAGTGAGCTTTTCTGATCACCCATTGTCCGTCGTCCGTCTAGCTGTCTGTCCGTCCGTCTGTAAACTTTTCACATTTTCAACTTCTTCTCAAGAACCACTGGGCCAATTTTAACCAAACTTGGTACAAAGTATCCTTGGGTAAAGGGGAGTTTAAATTGTTAAAATGAAGGGCCAAGCCCCCTTCCAAGGGGAGATAATCAAGAAAAGTCAAAAATAGGGTGGGGTCATTAAAAAATCTTCTACTGAAGAACCACTGGGCCAGAAAAGCTGAAACTTATGTGGAAGCATCCTGGGGTAGTGTAGATTCTATTGTTCAAATAACGACCCCCGGGAGTAGGGCGGGGCCACAATAGGGGATCCAAGTTTTACATTGAAATATGTAGAAAAAATCTTTTAAAATCTTCTGAAGAAGAACCACTGGGCCAGAAAATCTGATACTTATGTGGAAGCATCCTTGGGTAGTGTAGATTCTAAATTGTTCAAATCATGACCTCCGGGGGTAGGGCGGGGCCACAGTAGGGAATCCAAGTTTTACATTGAAATATGTAGAAAAAATCTTTAAAAATCTTCTTCTCAAGAACCACTGGGCCAGAAAATCTGAAACTTATGTGGAAGCATCATGGGATAGTGTAGATTCTAAATTGTTCAAATCATGACCCCCCAGGGGTAGGGCGGGGCTACAATAGGGAATCCAATTTTAACATTGAAATATATAGGAAAACTCTTTAAAAATCTTCTTCTCATGAACCACTGGGCCAGAAAAGCTGAAACTTAAGTGGAAGCATCTTGGGGTAGTGCATATTCTAAATTATTCATAAAATAATGACCCCTGGGAAAGTGCGGGGCCACAATAAATATTACAAGGGGGAAATCGTGTGAAAAACAGCAATGCCAAAGTTACTCAGGTGAGTGTTGTGGCCCATGGGCCTCTTGTTAGAATATGGGCCATAACTTAAGAACCCCTTGGCCAATTATTGTCAAATTTGTCACAAGGTATCCCTGGCCCAAGGGCTCCCTTTTATACTAAATCTAGGGTTGTGACCCTTAAACAAGGGGAGATAATTAGGAAAATAGAAACAAAAGTACTGGTTGCTAAAAAATCTTCTTCTCAAGAACCACTGGGCAGATTATCACCAAACTTACACAAAATGATTAGGATGTGTTGTAGATTAAAAATTGTTCAAGGCATCACCCTGGGGCAAAGGGCGTGGTCTCAAGTCACTTCAAAGTTGACCAAAAATTACATTTTATTAAAATGTTGATATTTTGCTTACTATAAGGACTAGGATCATCAAATCTTGTCAGTTGATGCATCTAAGGACCTCATATCACGTTGACTCAAAAGTAGGTCACAGTGACCTACTTTTTAAATTTTGCGGCCATTCTTTTTCAAAATGATTTAGAGGCATATTTTGAACAATTTAAGGCCTATGATCATCAAACTTTGTCAGTTGATGTATCTTGGGTCCTCGAAATACGTCAACTAAAAAGTAGGTCACATTGACCTACTTTTTAAACTTTATGGCTAATCTTTTTGAAAATTTATGGCTTTGATTAAATATTTTCGGGTACTAATTGGCTTAGAATCATCAAACTTTGTCAGTTGATGCATCTTGGGTCTTCGGAGTAGGTCAACTAAAAAGTAGGTCACCGTGACCTACTTTTGAAAAATTATGGGTTTAATTTAATATTTCGGGTACTAATTGGCTTAGAATCATCAAACTTTGTCAGTTGATGCATCTTGGGTCCTCGGAGTACAACAGCTGAAAAGTAGGTCAACGTTACCTACTTTTGAAAGTTTATGGCTTTAATTAAATATTTCGGGTACTAATTGGCTTAGAATCATCAAAACTTTGTCAGTTGATGCATCTTGGGTCTTCAGAGTAGGTTGACTAAAAAATAGGTCACCGTGACCTACTTTTGAAAATTTATGGCTTTAATTTAATATTTTGGGTACTTATTGGCTTAGAATCATCAAACTTTGTCAGTTGATGCATCTTGGGTCCTTGGAGTACAACAACTGAAAAGTACGTCATGGTGACCTACTTTTGAAATTTTATTGCTGTATTTAATATTTCCGGGTACTATTTGGCTTAGAATCATCAAAATTTTTCAGTTGATGCATCTTGGGTCCTGGGAGTAGGTTGACTGAAAAGTAGGTCACTGTGACTTACTTTTGAAAATTTATGGCTTTAATTAAATATTTTGGGTACTAATTGGCTTAGAATCATCAAACTTTGTCAGTCGATGCATCTTGGGTCCTTGGAGTACAACAACTGAAAAGTAGGTCACTTTGACCTACTTATAAAATTTTATGGTTATAATTTTAAAAAATATTTTAGGTATTAATTGGCTTAGAATCATCAAACTTAGTGGATGGGTCCTCAGAGAATGACAAGTGATAAGTAGGTCACCATGACCAACTCTCAGGTACTAGTTGGCTTAGAATCATCTTGGGTTCTCAGAGTGTGAATTGGAAATTCAAGGGTCTATCTAAATATACAGGATACTTAGAGGCTTCAAATAGAAGTGATAGGTTGTACAGTTTATCAGAAGAGCGATTCAAGGCCCTTGGGCCTCTTGTTACTTCTCAAATAGTAATTCTGCTGACTGGATATAAAACCTTTTATGATCAGTTCTCCTATTATTAATATTTATAGGGAGGACATTTTGATCTGGCTGACAGGATGTTTCACAGTATACGAGAAAACTGGTACTCAGCCGCCAAGAACAATATGGCTGACGTCAAGGAACTTATCCCAGAGTTCTTTTATCTGCCTGAGTTCCTGAGAAACTCCAATAATTTTGATTTAGGTATGAGTTTTTAGCTCACCTGAGCCGAAGGCTCAAGTGAGCTTTTCTGATCACATTTTGTCTGTAGTCCGTCTGTCCATCTGTCCGTCTGTCTGTCTGTCTATCCGTCTGTAAACTTTTCACATTTTCGACTTCTTCTCAAGAACCACTGGGCCAATTTCAACCAAACTTGCCACAAAGTATCCTTGGGTAAAGGGGATTCAAGTTTGTTCAAATGAAGGGCCACACCTTCTTCCAAGGGGAGATAATTAAGAATTCGTGAAAAATTAATGGCATCATTAAAAAATCTTCTTCTCAAGAACCACTGTGCTTGAAAACATGAAACTTATGTGGAAGCATCCTCAGGTAGTGTAGATTCAAGTTTGTTCAAATCATGACCCCCGGGGGTAGGGTGGGGCCGCAATGGGCGATCAAAGTTTTACATAGGAAATATACAGGAAAAATCTTTAAAAATCTTCTTCTCAAGAACAGCAAAACCATAATTGGTCATATTTATATGGTAGCATCCTCAGATAGTGTAGATTCAAGTTTGCTCAAATCATGACCCCCGGGGGTCGGGTGGGGCCACAATGGGCGATCTAAGTTTTATATAGGAATATATAGGAAAAATCTTCAAAAATCTTCTTCTCAAGAACAGCAAAGCCATGATTGGTCATATTTACTTGGAAGCATCCTCAGGTAGTGTAGATTCAAGTTTGTTCAAATCATGACCCCCGGGGGTGGGATGGGGCCACAATGGGCGATCAAAGTTTTGCATAGGAATATATAGGAAAAATCTTTAAAAATCTTCTTCTCAAGAACAACAAAGCCATCATTGGTCATATTTATATGGTAGCATCCTCAGGTAGTGTAGATTCAAGTTTGTTCAACTCATGACCCCCGGGGGTCGGGTGGGGCCACAATGGGCGATCAAAGTTTTACATAGGAACACATAGTAAAAATCTTCTTCTCAAGAACAACAAAGCCATGATTGGTCATATTTATATGGTAGCATCCTCAGGTAGTGTAGATTCAAGTTTGTTCAACTCATGACCCCCGGGGGTCGGGTGGGACCACAATGGGCGATCAAAGTTTTACATAGGAATATATAGGAAAAATCTTTAAAAATCTTCTTCTCAAGAACAGCAAAGCCATGATTGGTCATATTTACATGGAAGTATCCTCAGATAGTGTACATTCAAATTTATTCAACTCATGACCCCCGGGGGTCGGATGGGGCCACAATGGGCGATCAAAGTTTTACATAGGAACACATAGTAAAAATCTTCTTCTCAAGAACAGCAAAGCCATGATTGGTCATATTTATATGGTAGCATCCTCAGATAGTGTACATTCAAATTTGTTCAAATCATGACCCGCGGGGGTCGGGTGGGGCCACAATGGGCGATCAAAGTTTTATATAGGAACACATAGTAAAAATTCTAAAAAAAAAACAATTTGTTAAGAATAGCAAAGCCATGTTTGGTCATATTTATATGGTAGCATCCTCAGATAGTGTACATACAAATTTGTTCGAATCATGACCCCCGGGGGTCGGGTGGGGCCACAATGGGCAATCAAAGTTTTACATTGGAACACATAGTAAAAATCTTTAAAAAAAAACAATTTGTTAAGAATAGCAAAGCCATGATTGGTCATATTTATATGGAAGCATTCTTAGATAGTGTACATTCAAGTTTGTTCAAACATGACCCCTGGGGGTCGGGTGGGGCCACAATGGGTGATCAAAGTTTTACATAGGAATACATAGGTTAAATCTTTAAAAATCTTCTACTCAAGAACAGCAAAGCCATGATTGGTCATATTTAAATGGAAGCATCCTCAGATAATGTAGATTCAAATTTGTTCAATTCATGACACCCCCCCCCCCCCCAACCACTTTTATATTTAAACTTTTCAACCTTTCAAGATTGAAGTGATTTCTGCTTTTTCCTAGTCATAGTGCTCAGGTGAGCGATGTGGCCCCTGGGCCTCTTGTTCCCCTTAATATAGATGGATTCTACTAAATTTATTAACAATAATTTTTTTTTGGAGTATAAATCATCAATGTTGAAGTAAACAAATAATGACTGTATAAAAAACTTACATTTAGGTATCAAAGAGAAAAAATATCAAATCCTAATATTTTTTCTTTTGTTATTGTAGGAGTCAAACAGAGTGGTGTTGCATTACATGATGTAGTACTTCCTCCATGGGCCAAGGGGGATCCCAGGGAGTTCATCAGGGCACACAGAGAGGTTTGTCAGAAATGGGAATCAGTTTCCATGGAAACTGCCATTAAATGTCATTTATACATGTATATAGTGTACAAACAAGAAAAGGTCATAAGGACTATTAACAGGAAATAGTAAAGAACAGTCGTACTTTCACATTGACATCAGTTATGTTTTTAAATACTGAGGCCAGACATAAAATAGTATTGCTGTTTTCATATCCTATTCTTCTAGGCCCTTGAAAGTGACTTTGTGAGTGCACATCTTCATGAGTGGATAGATCTGATATTTGGATACAAACAACAGGGACCGGCAGCTGTGGAGGCGGTCAATGTCTTCCATCACTTGTTTTACGAAGGAAATGTAGATATATACAGCATAGACGACCCACTGAAGAAAAATGCAACCATTGGGTTCATCAATAATTTTGGTCAGATTCCTAAACAGGTGCATTGTTAATAACTTTTTCAAGGGGTTTTGTAAAAAGTACTATGTTTGTGTCTAAGTATTGTAAATAGCATTTTATTCACAAGAATTTTATTTTTTTTGTTATTGCATGAGACCTACTGTGTGTAAAAATGTCATCCTCTCATATATTTATATTATATTTATATTATTAAAGATTGTATACATGTATACAACAATAAACAAAATGATTGAAAAAATTTTCTCACTCATAAATACCAGTAAACTTTTTTGTGAATAAGGTGTCATGAAAATTTGGTGATTTACAGTATGAGAAAAAAATATTTACAAAGTATTTCTGTTTTTAAAAAACTGAAATAAATAGAGTTTCTGAATAGGAAAATTTTAAAGGTGTAAGGTATCAAATATTGTATGTTTGATCAATTTAGATTTGAGACTTTTCCACTGCTTGTTTAAAAAACAGATTAATATGCTTTGCATACATATGTAATAAAAGCTAGAGTGAATGCTGCATTGTGAACATCTAATAAGATTGTTATGTTTGCTTTGTTAACAGTGGACAAAAATAATAACTAGTGAATATATTATGTTGTAGCTGTTTAAAAAACCCCACCCCCAGAAAAAACTGGCTCTGCGGCTAAATGAGGCATTACCCATGGGTGTTGTTCCCAGTCAAGACAGATTGTTTTTCCACAATGTGGATAATCTAAGACCAGCAAAACAGGCCATCAAAGGTACAGATTTAATTTTCTATTGGTCAAGTTCCTAGTAATATCCTCCTCATACATGTAATTTACCATAATTTGTTTTCATTTTATGAAAAAAAAATTAAAGGGCATTTACATCAACTGATAATTTTCATGTAAAAATAACATTGTACTAACACTTAACTTGGTTACCTTAGCTTTTTATATTTTTCAAGTAAAGATGTTAATTTTCAAATGCTTAGAAATTTGAATTAATAGTTGCAGGGTGTTGTATACTGTGGAATCATTTTAATTGGGGTGAGGGGGTCAATATTCTTGGGTAACCAAAAATTAAACTGGTAGTTGGGATGTAATTTCGTGGTTATGTTGTATATAAGGAGGATTCAATCACCTGATACATTGACAAAGCTATCGTTTATGGGGATGTAAGTTTGTTGGTAAGGTTCACCCACAAAATCCAATGATGATTCCACAGTAGTACATTGTATTACTATGAATTTGTATCAACTTGTGTCATGAAATTTAAGGTACATCATCCCTCTATTCACTCTCGTACAATTTTGCTTTGATGCTAATGATTTTCCTAAAGAAATCTAATCTATAATGAAAATGCACACAACTTCAGAATACCTTTGGTAAAATTTGACAGAAATTACCCTCAACCTTGATAATAAGGAATAATGAACATTTTATCACAGTGAGAGTTATCTCTCTTTTCAGAGGGTTGGTGAACCTTAATGCTTAGAATATTTTTGATTTTTAATATTCTTGAAATTAGTTCATAAGAATTCTGGGCTTCATGAGAAATAATTTAGAAAAATAAGGTAGATAGCTTAGTTACATTTTCTCTTCTAAATTAATTGTAAATTTGTATACTGCACACTAAAACAACATTAACAAATGATTTTTAATCCTGTAGACCATATGCTTTACATGAGTAAGAAATTCATTTTTATATGCTGATGCATGATTTTTTTTTTTTACATCTAGATAATGATTAGGTCACCTGAGTCATATCTGTTTCATCTGTCATTGTCCATTATTGCATAAACTCTCACATTTTTTACTTCTCCAGAATGAGCAAATTGAACCAAACTTGTCACAGATCATTCTTGGGTGCAGGGTATTCAATTTTTTAATTCAGTGACCAAGCAATCTAGAAATAGTGAAAATATGGTAGGTCATTTAAAAATTTTCATTTCTAGAACCAATGAGTCAGAAATGATGAAATTATGTGGAAGCTAATTCAAGTTTGCTCCAACCATTATCTCTTAGGCTAGTATGGAGCCACAGAAGGGTTCTAGAATTTTAAATAAACATATTTAGGGAAAACTTTTTTGCTCAAGAAAAATAAAGCTATAGTACAAATATTATCAAACTTATAAAGAAGCATCTATGTGTAAGTCTTGTCATGGTCTCCCAGGGGGCAGGGATGGGAGGTTACAGGTGTATTTACTATTAGGGCTCAAGTTTTAAAAAAGCAATGAATGGAAAAAAGAGATCAAAAGGTGATTCAGAAAAAAAAAAATTGCCTAATGATACTCAGGTGACCTTTAAGACTTGTGGGCCTCTTGTTTCTGTATGAAAACAATCTTTAAATCTGACACTATAGATGATTTTTTTTTTTTTGAAGACAACAGCAGATAATTCAAATGAAATTTAATAGTCAACTTCTAGGTAGCACTTATTGATGTTAAGGGCTTCTTTTAATTGGTTTTGTTTTATTTCTTGTTAAGATTCACTCTTAATGAAATTACACAATGCAAAGGGCACCTGTCTTACTATAAGACTATAGTTTAGTTTATCAAATTAAGATTTTGAAGATTTTTTTAAATTCCAAGTTTAAATTTTTCTTGCTAACCATAATCAAATGCATCTTATTTTCTTATCGCACTTGAAACTAACAAATAATGTTAACGTGTCTGCAAATTATTGAATTTTGTTGATATTGAAGTTTAATTATGAGCCATTTATTATCATGAAAGAAATGAAAATTATTTTATGAATCTATGAATAAGATATAAGAATAGAGGACTTGTTATGAGAGGTATCTTCCTGTTGCAGAAGTAAAAAGTGCCGTAGGACAAATCCTTGTCACAGATCGAGTTGTCATGGCAGTAGAACAAAACAAAGTCATCATTCCAAACACATACCAGAAATACCTGTCTTGGGGATTCTCAGACCGTAGTGTTCGCATAGGGACGTACGACTCTGAAAAGGTCAGTTCAATGAAATTTGTGTCTTTTTTCATTTTTTCCTATGAAATACAATGTATATAAAATTGTTAAAGAAAAGTTTATAAATTGTTAAATGTTTTAAAGGTTCTTTGGCATTAAAATATAAATATTCATCAATTAACATTTTTTAGATTATCTGAGTCACTCTTGCAATCTATTTTTATGATTCTGAAATTTACAAACATTTCCGGTTTATCCTTTGAACAAGTAGTACATGTAATCAATTTTGGAAAACAAACAATGAGAATTTCATGGTCCCTTACTCCCTTGACCTTGGGCACATAACTCCAAAATGCATTAAAAATCTTGAACATGTATCAGACAAACTGTTTACATAACAACAATGAGCAATAACTTTGATACCAAAATAATTTCCTCTAGTATGTTTCATTTTAGTCCGAAATATCTGACGCTTTCCAGGCTTTTTTCACGATTTTGATATTTTACGTGCCAGGAAAACGTCAGAACTGGCGCCATTGCGAAAACTGGAAATTTCACTGTCTCCAACTGGAGCTGATTTTCGATGCTTGCGAACTGAATTAAATGCCGAACTAACTATTTATCAGTACCAAAATGCTTCTAGTACTCACCAATATCGATGAAAAGAAAATATCACTCCACATTTCGATTTGGTCTTGCAAGATTTTAATATGCAGGAAATGAAAAGAAAACTCGACCATCTGATAAAATGTTTTCACCAGATTGTATATTTCATAAACAAACCCATATAAACGATGTTGGTGAGTACTAAAGGCATTGTACTATTGATAAGTTGTGAATTCAGCATTTAATTTGGTTTGCAAGTATTGAAAATCAACCCGAGAATGCTGCCTCCAGTTGGAGGTGGTGAATTTCCAGTTTTTGTAATGGCGCCAGTTCTGACATTTTCCTGGCATGTAAAATATCAAAATAGTGAAAAAAGCCTGGAAAACGTCAGATATTTCGGACTAGTTTCATTTGTTCATTACCCCCCACGACCACCACCAAGTATGAGGTTTCAGGCCCCAAGGTCAGGATAAATTGATCCTATGATGAAAATGCAATACATTTTTAAAAATCCTTAATACTCCTAGACATCTCACAAATGAACCCTTTATGCAATTACATTGAACAACTAAACTATACTGCTTTGTACTCTGATGATCCAGATGATGCTAATGATTCTCTTGTATTATTTCTGCAGGTGTCACAAGTGTTTGAATGCCTGGACAATGGAGAAATTCTGTGTGCTACTTGTCCCAATGCTAGAACCTATATTACTGGAGGAACTAGCTGTGTAAGACACCATTACATACTCACCCTTAATTAAGAGTACATGTATATATATCTGTAAGAATTTTAACTATATTTATATAAACTTTTTTGCATCATTCAGGAAAGAATTCATGATAAAAAAAAAAGCATGTAAATTTGAGATTTTCAGTATGTTCAGAGTATACTGTGTTCTCATGTTAGCCAGTCCCTTATATTGACTATATTCTGATATGAATAAGCTTTGCATTTGCTCCTCAGTAATCAAATGTTTATTATCTGTGAAGATGCACATCTGTAAAGTGAAAACCATCAACATTTTTGAAAGATTCTACCTCTGAAAAACTGAGAGAACACTGACAAAATGTTTTTAACTGCAAATTTTCCACCTGATTTGTAGGTGGTCAATGTATGGGAGAGCAGACAGAAGCGCCTGACCCTGAAGCAGCCTCTTTATGGACACATAGAGGCGGTCACCTGTTTGGCATCATGCCAGGGCTATAACATGGTGGTCAGTGGATCCAGGGATAAGACCTGTATCATATGGGATCTAAGCCGCTTGCAGTTTGTCCGGCAGTTAAGGGGTCATTCTGGTCCTGTAGCTGCTGTTTGTATCAATGAACTCACTGTAAGTTTCAGGAACTATAAAGCAGCCTTTCATTATGTTACTTTTTTATACCCTGCTCTGAAGGAGAAGGGTACACTATTTTGCCCTTGTGTGTCTGTCTGTCCGTGTGTCTGTTTGTAACAGATTTTGATCGCAGTTTGCTCAGCAACAGTGACTACTCATTGCAGATGCTTGAAAAATTACCACACTCTTTGTTTAGGCATGCCATATGGTGGGATTCATTTTTGTATGAATCAGATGTCGATTCCTGTTTATCCGTGCGTCTGTCCGTACCAATCATAACAAATTTTGGTTACAGTTTTGTCAGCAGCTACTCATAACAGATGCTTGAAAGTTTAGCACACTCTATGTTTAGGCATGCCATATGGTGGGAATCATTTTTGTACAAATCTGATGTCAACTTCCTGTTTATCTGCACATCCGTCCGTACCATACAAAACAATTTTTTGTCACAGTTTCCTCAGCAACTACTCATCGCTGATGCTTGAAATTTTAGCACACTCTTTGTTTAGGCATGCCATATGGTGGGATTCATTTCTGTACAAATCTGATGTAGACTTCCTGTTTATCCCTGTGTCTGTCCATAACTGAACTTGTGTATTCACATCAGAGTGGGGGTATTACTAATGAGCATTGGCTCAGAGACTTCTTGTTATCCCTCCCATAACACAGACAGAGTATGTAATGGGGATACTTTGGAACAGTCTTATATCTGCCAGTCGTTCCAACTGAAAGTACAGACTGTGCACAGATTTTAAAACATGGAAACATTGGAAGCTTACATTTGACAAAAGGTTACTTATCACCTAAGAATTTTGCATAACATATACCCATGTTTGTTTAGCAAGTTCAAGCTTACTGGCAGATCAAAAGTAAACCTAGTGTCTATATTTGAATATTGTAATGGACAACATATGGAAGCTCATCTCTGACACAAAGATTAATTGTGATCTGAGAGTCTGCAGTCACCCTAATTAAAGGTTATTTTAGCAAGTTCAGAATGACAGAGAGTGTGAGCTTTGATACAAAGATACATTGGTAATTGATGCCTGGCATTAATATTGTTTATACATGTTCTCTGAAAATACCCCCCCCCCCAAAAAGTCATGAACCTGACCATAGATATTTACACAAGTCAAGGGGAGGATAATGTGGTCAGTGGGTGAGGGTTTCTTTTCTCTCATCATGAAATTTGAAATTTTGGTTTATCATGGTCATTACATAATATTCTTATCCAAATCTACTTTATTTCCTTTTAAAGGGGGATATTGCTTCCTGCTCTGGCACATACCTGTATTTGTGGTCCATTAATGGGGAGGAGATAGCCTGTGTCAACACTGCTCCTCCACAGAACAATCAGCAGATCCTGTGTCTGGCTATGTCACAGGTGGGCTTACACCAAATTACATCTCTTTATGATACACTTCTCTCTATTTATTTTAAAAAATATTTCATTAAAAGTGATGTTTCTTTCTATCAGTGTAAGAAATAGTATATGATTTCAGATGTATGAGTGGGACAGCAAAAATGTAATTTTAACAGGAAGTAAGGATGGTGTAGTCAGGGTATGTATAAAGTGTTTTCTTGCCTTTGGAAATTTCTCTTACTTTTTATCTGATAGTTTAAAAATTAATTAAATATATTTTGTTTATTTGCTTAAAATATCAGAGCTGTACATGTACAAGAAAATAAATATGAACTCTTTCCTTCTTAAATACATGTATGTGTCTTTTGTATGTTTGTTTTCCTTGATTGTATTCTTGAGCATATAAACTAATAGATAGATTCTTGATTGGATCTTTTGTAAATGGGTTAAGTAAATTGTAGATGTGGTCAGTGGAATATGTTCAAGTGCCAAAAGAGGAGAAAAAGAATCTCAAAGTTGAGGAGAAAAGCCCAACTGAAAAACAAAAATCACCAAATCAACATGATGCTTTCAAGGACATTCAGACAGCTGCAGATCGATTGAAAGCTCTCAAAGATCTGAAGATGGAGAGTAAAGATGTGGAGTTAAGCTCCTCCGTGGATAGTGAGAGTCACATGGGTTTACATGCTCCAACACATGCTGCTATGTTGGAGCATGAGGACAGTATAGTCAGCAGTGTCAGTAATGCGACTCCTCAGAATGATGATGCAGTCAGTGTAGACAGTGAGGACCAATTGTCAGTCAAGTCCTCGGATCCCTCTTTAGAAACAGCCCTCGAGGCAGAGGAGTACCTAAGTAATTCTTCCACAGATTTTGTTAAAGGGGGATTGAGTGATCGCAGTCAGAGTCAGCCAGACTTCAAGGACACCCTGAAAGAAGCAGACATCATGGTCAAGTCTGTGTCAACAGACTTTGAGGTGATATCAGACTCTGAAGTGCAAGGAACACCCAAAACAATGGAAGACTTGCTGAAGAAATACAAAGGAAATCCCAGAAATTACCTGAGAGAAGGTTTTTCCTTTATTTTCTTCTTTCAAGCTAAATAATAAAATATTCTCATGAATTTTTTGGTATAAAATGCTGTTAAAAGTAGCTGAAAAAAGTGGCATTGAAATCAGAATTTTTGCTGTGACATACAGTCATTTCTTATCAGGGTTGAAAAATAGTTGAAAGGGAACTTGAAAATGTACCTATCCAATATAATTGATAAATTTCCCAAGTTAATGAATTTTCCCCAATGAGTACACATATCAAAATCTTTTAAAAAAATTATTTGAATTATTCTTCTTGCTTGTAGGCTTTAAATGGCAGAGACAGCTGATGTTTAGAAGCAAACTGACCATGCACACTGCTTTTGAAAGAGATGACAACAAGGAGCCAGCTGTCATCACAGCAATAGCAGTGTCCAAGTAAGGAGTGTAATAAATTGTATTATACCTATCAACTCGCAAAGATAAAATATCAGGACCTGGGGGGGGGGGGGGGGGGGGGCTTTTCTTAAACAACTCTAACAGAGATTGTGATCTTTGTTTCATACAGTTCTGTATTAATTTGCTATTGAAATTAAATACATAAACCATAATTCTGAAAAGGTTAATGTAATATCCAGCAGACTGACTACAAAATGAGGAAAATGCTAGGTAGTGAAGACTTTTCCATACTTTCAATTTTTCTGTAGAGATCACCGTACTGTGTATGTTGGAGAGGACAAAGGTCGAGTGTACAGCTGGACTGTGACGGATCAGCCAGGTCGAGTGGTCGCGGATCACTGGATAAAGGATGATGGAGTTGAAAAGTGTCATTCCTGTTCTGTCAGATTCTCTTTCTCAGAACGCAAGCATCACTGTCGCAATTGTGGGAAGGTATTCTGTTCAAGGTTAGTCTTATGCTTTTTTTCTGTTCTTAGAAAGTAAGTGCAAGTTATATGGGGTTATGTATTCTCTTAAAACAAATATGAAATGTATGTATTGAAAATTACTGAAAGGGAATTGTCCAGCATTACATACTGGTAAATGTACATGTATTTTTAGTGCTGATACAGATTTAGAAAGATTATAATATAGGCTTCTAATGTCCTTGGTTTACTTGTAATCTGGGTATCTTTTCTATGTATGTCTTTGTTCATTTCATATGTGAATGTTTTTTTCTATTAATGACTCGATATGCAAGATTATTTTATCAGTGAAAACACACATGTTATTAATATTGCAGTATTCCATATAGATGTACTATATTCTTTACTTCATTTTTAGATGCAGTCGGTATGAAACAGAAATTCGTCGCCTGCGTATCTTGAAGCCTGTTCGTGTATGTCAAGCTTGCTACAATATATTGCGGGCCCAGCAAGCTGCAGATGCAGTTTCACAAAATAAGATTTGACGATCAGTATTCTTGGCATCTGAGATTATGATCTAAAAATTTGTCAATTGTAGAGCAGCATTCTGTAGAATTCCTTCAACCATAACTCGAGGGTTCTGTAAACTGTAAAGCAACTTTATACATGTACCATTTCTACGTGGTGTTCAATATATGAGAGGTTATGTTCTTTGTCATTTATTCATGTTTTAGTATTTATTGTTCCAGAGAGCTATACTAAGGAGTTGTCGGATATTAATACTATGTTCTAGTCCCATTATGTATTGAACTTTGTACTTTGTATGAAGGTAGATATTGATCCTTAAGAGTGTAGCTTTAAGCTTACTTAGTAAACATATGCTTCACCTTGTAGCTGGGTGCTTTATGCATTGTTATTTAGGTCATGCTTGTTTTTAGGTTGTTAACAAAACAAAACTATGTGAACAATGTGCAGCATAAAGATGACTGCAACAAATTTTATTCCAAATGCTGACTGTGATATTTTTAAGTTGTTGTAGCAGGTTTAGTGCACCCTTCAATGCTTTCAGGAAAAAAAAACCTTGTTTAATGATATTTGAAACCATGCAATATACAAGAGTGCAATATAAGAACAAAATAGCTATTTTAAAGAAAACCTTTTCTCCCATTCACCCCTTCATTGAATTAACAATATACATGTACCCGTATCAAATATGATATTGATTAAATTAGTTTTAGTGAGAGAGCAAACCATTGTCTTCAGGTTTACAGAATTGTGTTTCCATGCTTCAGTATGGTATGCTTTTGGCTTTATTCAGATTATCAGAATCCTGTTGTACATTTACATCAGTACAGATTAATTAAGGTTATCCATTTTTCATCAGGCCATTACTGTAATTATAGCATATTGTTATTGAAATTGATACATCCATCTCTGTTTTCAAGAATATTTTACCATTTTCATGCTGATAATTATAGACAATTGTAAGACAGGTGAACTAGGAATTATATCAAAATGTGCATCATTAGCAAGCAATCTAGTTAGTTACTAATTACTTTGCTATTTTATGTAGACTGTTAGTGAATCAATGAATGTTTGTAACAGAATTTGTCACAAGTAGGAATTGTTAACAAAGAAGTGATGGTAAAGGGGGACAACTCTTGTACACAATGATATAAACTTTAAAAAAGTTTAACTTCAAGTCTCTTGTTTTCTGTCTAACTTTGTGTGTTTTGTGCTGAGGTCATTTCAGTCAATAAAACAGAAAATTCAGTGTTCACTTGTCTAATTTTTAGAACATACTTGAGAGTGAATTACATAATAATGAAGGTCAAGGTCAATCAGTGATCTTTATGTTAAATCCTCAACTACATGCCGTGTTTCATTTTAACTTAGCTGTATATACGGTAGTATAATGCCAAGCATCATGCATCTCTTAGCATGTATTAAGTGAAAAACTATTAATTTTTTTTCTACAATTAAATTTATACCTATCTTTGACCTTTTTACCATGAAATCAATGGGCTTCTGACCAGTATGTGACATTTGATTCAGGAATGAGACTGGAATTCAAGTGAACTCTGTAAACTGGGTACGTTATAAATACATGTACGCGTTTATTTGCGAAAGTTACGCGTTAAAACGCAATTTTTTTTTAACCTACGAAAATGAGCTAAACTGACTTTCCTAGAAATGTTAAGTCCTATTTTATGTTCATTTCGTACGGAAACTCATTGAGGACGAATATTTTTAAATTCAATAGATCAAATTGTGGAATTCGTTAAAAACGAATTTGACTTGCTATTACATTTTTCATTCTATTATAATAATGAATTTAAGCAACCAAAATATTAGTGATAATAAGGAGCGGACTGAGGATTTGAATAAACGAATTTCGGAATTCTTAATTCCAAAATGTTCCATTCGTTTTTTACAGATTTCTAAAATCTGTTAAAAGAAATCGACTTCTCTCACAATAATGACTTACTATCTCGTAAAATAAAGACTTTTAAAATTAATTATCAATTTATTTTTTACCCTCCTAATTTGGTCGTTCAAGGCTTTCGTAAGTTGGGTAACGTTTCATAAAAAATACCCTTTTTTTTCTTTTTAAGAAAAAAAATATATATAATTTTTAATTGCCTGTTGTTATTCAGGTTTCGGGTTGGTCTTTAGGAAGGACTGCTTTCAGCCTAGATTATGCTTCAATAATCATTTAGTTGGATTACACTGAAAAAAGTCCTGTTTTGCAAAAACTTGGTGTCCTACTACAATTATTAGTCAATTACATCTTCAACATGTAAAGATGAAAAATTTGAAGAATTTGATTCTTTGGACACTAACACGATAAATAAACTCGAAAATTTAAATACTCTCATGTCATTTTCCCAGATTTTTAATGTTTTTGTACAGTTTTTAGACTGTTGTTTCCCCATAGAAATACTTTTTATCCGGTAAAAATCCATTCGCCATTATTAAGATTGTGTTCGGATCAAGGATTTTCCTTGGGTCCGCCCTGCTAAAAAAAAAAAGCCCAACTCAGAATTTTTTGGACAAAATGAAAATTTAAAAACTGAAAATTTCGGACGGGGGGGGGGGGGGTTGTTTCTGATCCCATCCCCTATAGATCCGCGCTTAAGTCACTAGAGTTCTAAACAACATATTTTTAAGGTGGTCAACCTGGGTTTTCATTGCGCAGTATAGTGAAATACAGCGTATTTACATTTAAAAAATATTTTTAAAATATCATATATCAAATCTAATAGGATTAAGTTTTTTTTTTGTTTGTTGTTTAACGTCCCTTAACGATTTTTTCACTCATATGGAGACTCCACCACTTGCCGGTGGACGGCTGCAAATTTTGTCCTATACTCGGCACTTAGGGTCATTGAGCAGTGAGGGATCTTTTTCGTGCCAGCCTACTGCAACATGGGACCTCGGTTTATACGGTCTCATCCGAAGGACCGGTCTCCACGTCTCGCAGTGGGATTCGAACCCGAAGATCAGCTCCTTACACCGCGACTCTAGAGCAAACACTCAAACCACTGCGCCATGCGGGCGACTGAATGACACATTAAAAAAAAAATTTAAAGAAAAAAAAACTTTAAACTATTTTCCAATTGATACGTAGGTGGACGAGGTTTTGTCAAACTGAGGCTTTTTAGGTGGGGGTCACAAAAATTGACATAAAAGACAATTTTTAAATATGTGCTTTTGAGTATACGTAACACATGGAATGAAAATAAAGAGTTTTCCTTTTGTAGTTTTTACACACAAAAAACCCCAAGTCGGTCCCTTTAAGTCTAATGATGTTTTGCTACAGTACAGGTTCATGTATATAAAAATATCTTTAATGATACTCAACTACATCAAATTATTTGAACATGACAGTGCATTCTCACTTATTTTAATTATGAGGTGTTATTAATGAAGTGTTAGCACTTTAAAACTTCAAGAAAAACATGTTTAAAGTCCAAGAGTAGTTTTATTTAGACTAAATAATTGAGTAAGTTCAAGTTCAAACCAGTGGAGCTACAGTCTCTGCATGGACTTCTGGTTGACAATTTTATAGCAGAATAGGTCAGATCTTCACTAGATCTAATCATATAATTTATACCTGCCAAAGTACAGATTTCTGAGAACTGTAATTCCTTTTTCCATATTTTATGATCTGTGACACATACTTTTGCGTCACATAAATTACTGCCTTATCTGCTTGCTTGAAAAGTGGATGCAATTTTTATTGCCATCAAGTGTGTACATTTCTGTATTTCCAAGTACAAACTTTTTATAGAAAAAAGAAAGTATTTTTAAAAAAACTTGAACTGCTTTCCAAATGAATACAAAGAAGTGGGCACTTGTTATATTGAGTCAGTGGCCTATTCAGGTGTTCATACATGTATTTACACTGACAGAAAAAAACTTAAGAGTGCCCAAGATCTTTTCCACTGCTTTCTTATTATATTTGCATAGACTTGGAGGCATGTAAAAAATTATACTGGCATTTCTATCTAGAATAATGTTTTAAACAACTACTTAACATAATTTCATTTGTAAAACAACCACGTTCCTTCTTGTTTCAATCGGAGTTCGTTATAGAAAAGAAAAGAAAAGAAAAACTGTAAAACTCTCCTGTATGGATTTATTTTTCATATAATGGTAATAAAAGAAAAAGTAACTTAACTGCCTAAAAATTATTTTACATAAAGAATTTTATCCTGTCATGTTTTAAACACAACATTCGTTTTGCACCAATGAAAAAGGTCATGTCTTTTGCTTTTGTGCATTTTTGTTTTGAGCCAGTAGAGATTTCCTTCTATTTTTATGAGCCTTTCGCAGTTGATCGTATCTCTCAAGTTCTTTGTAAAAGGGAACTAACTCCGGAGCGACACTAGGGGGCACATAAATCTCCTGCTCTTCCTCGTCAATCAACTTAGGCGGATTCAAAACTTTGTCAATTTCCGTCAAAATGTCTTGTCGTCTGATTTTCTTGAGAGTCTCAAGAAGGTCATCAAGTTTAGCACGTGTGTGATGACGTCTCCATCTCGTCAGGGCTTCCATTGCCCTCCCTTCTTTTGGCCCCCTCGCGCTTTCCACGTTCACAGACGCGATGTCCTTTTCTATTGTTTCAGAACCTCGTTTTGGATAGAATGGCAACGTCCTGTACAGAAGCATCCAATCCTGATCTATTTCGCGGCATACGACTCCAATTGCTTTTGTCATTTTATCTAAAAGGAGAGAAATAATATTCAATAATGGTGATGGGCCAGACCACGATACCCTTCGCTATAAACCCAGATATCTGACATAGAGATACCCACCCATTTTATGTATATCTTGTGAAAATAGTTTTAAATGTTATTTTTCTGGATGCTCCCCTTATATGGTCATTTTTCCTATCTATTACCGATTGAAAACTTGACCTCATATAGGCCCTGTGAAATCAAGTTTCTAATCTATTTATTAAAGAAGCTTTTCCCACAAAAAACATATTTGGGGAGTATCCATGCTGCAGGTGCCTGTAGCTATGATTTTGATTGGTATATGCTTCTTTAAAGTTTGTTATTTTAATTTTATTTACCATCTAATGATCCAAGATGTTGTGACTGCTTTGGTCCCATGGGAAGACAGAAATATATTTTTTCGGCTGCGTCCGTGCTTGTCTTGAAGCGATGAATTCGTCTTGCCACTTCAAGGGCATTTTCTAGTTCCGTAAATTCGTTCTCTCTTTGTTGACGTTCAACCTTTGCTTGCTTTAGCTCCAGTTTGAACTGCTTCACTTCCTTTTCAATCTTTCTATATGCATGCCTTTTATCAGCCATCCATTCTAGTTTGTGCTCCGCTGCTGTCAGCTGTCGCTTAACAAGGGGCATCCGATCTCGAACATAACGAATTTCTTCCGTGAGCATGTCGTATGTTTCGTTATAGTCGTCTGGACTAAAGTCAGCTTTGTTTTTCGCAAGTTCGTCGCGTCGAAATTCTTTAAAGTCACATTCTTGTTGCAACTCACTTTGAAGATTAAAAAGGTAGTCTTTTTCAACCCGCAGAGCCTCCTCCTTCTCTTTCCATCCTTCGATTTCCGCCTTCGCGGCGTCAAGTTCGATTTCAGCATGATTGAGTTTGTACGTAACAGAATGAAAACGAGTCTTGGCGTCACGCATGCACCGAATCTTGTCCTCCTTATTTCGTTCCATATCATCAATATCATTGCGTAAAAAGATGGGATAGTTTTCGTCTGCTTGCAGCCATGTCGTCATGATCGCCATGGCAGCACGAATGTTTGTACACGCGTCTGCGAAAAGGAAAAGAAAAGGAACCTGTTCACATTCGTTTTTCTTACAAAATGTGATAACAGGTGTTGTGAACATCGTATAGTGAATGATTCTTTCATGGAAGTCTTTCTGTAGCTTTTTAACATTTTCAAGATTGTTCCTTATTGTGCTCTTCCAAGTGTTAATCTGTTGTTGGTAGTGAGCGGCGGTCTCCAAGTATTCGTCCTTTTCCGGGTCATAAAAACTCACACAATATTTCTCTATGGTAGACAATAATCTGAGACAGTAGTCCGATATTTCCGTGAACTTTTCCGGCACGTATTGTTTGATCTTTGTGTACACGTCCTTCAGTAGCGTTATATTGTTCGGATCCCCTTTATATTTTTTGGGATCCAAACCAGCCTTAATGGCATCCTCTATCACTCTTCCTGAAGAAAAATCGAAAATGGTCAACATTCGCATCACAACTTTAATTGGACCGACAAATCTGTTGACCTCGTCTTGTATACTGTTTCCCACTCCATAGTAAGCTCTCTCCAGGCGGGAAAGCTTCTTTGTGACCTGCTTAAGTTCGGCTGCGATGATGTTTCGGAGGTCCTTCAGACTACGTGGAGGATTGGCTTCTAACATTTGTAACCCCAGCGCCTGACGTTTGTGATGTTTTGGCATCTCGTCAATCGGCATAAGAAACGCTGGTTTGGTCACCAACGTGGGCATCCGACACTCCAACACAGGTCTTGTCTGTAAATGAAACAGAGGCTGTGTAAATGAAACAGAGGCTGTAAATTTAAAACTACATCAACATCAGTTCTCCAAGGTACAGTAGATCGGACTTATATCCAACACTCACCTAGATGTCCGATGATATTATGATGGTATTGAAAGCATACCAGGACAGTTCAATCATTTTTTTTTTTAAACATATCTTTTGTCCTTCAGAACACAATCAAAGGATTAGATGTTAATGTGAATTGCAATATAATCCTCCCCGAATATTCACAACAATGTGCGAGTTCTTAAATATTTATTCAGCGGTTTATAATGCAGAGTTTTAAGTGAATGAGGCTATTTGTTTAGAGTAGACTTCGTGTGATATAGTGGTTTAGTTTATAAGGACAGGGTTTTCTCTGAGATCCTCGTCACTTTAGCGGTATTAAACGACAACCATTTCTAGAATTGCCTAGTGACATTTCTACTGTGATTAAGCAGTTTCAACAATATATGTTTTTTTTTTCCTTTGAGTAGATAAAAAGACTTAATGAAAGAAATCGTTTACCAATATAGCGTAGCAGGCATGTCTCTGGAAGTAGAACCCTACTGCTTTCGTGTTTTACAACTGCATAGTGTATAACTAATGAATGCTGGTGTTCGTACATACAGTTAATGTAGATTGACCAATTGGTAGATGATAAAATAATTAAAACAAGTTTTCCCCTTTTTTTGTCCCCCGCTTTCGCGAAAGCGAGGGGACATTAAATCTCATTCGTCTGTCAGCTTGTCTGTCTGTCACAAAAACTTTAACCTTGGGCATAACTTTTAAATGAGATAGGGCTTTCATATTCCACACGTACATTACCTTAGCATGCTATGATTTTTTACCCCTTGACCTTCATGTTTTACCTAATTTTCAAAAATTTTAACTTTGGTGATACTTTTCAATGACATACGATAGGGCGTTCATTTTTGACAAGTGCATTACCTATGTCAAAATGTTTTCGAATGTGCTATGATATTTGACCCCATGACCTTGACCTTCAAGTTTGACCTAATTTTCAAATATTTCATCGGTGTTGCTAACGTTTGAAGGAGCGAAGATAGGACATTCATGTTTGACACGTGAATTACCTGTGACAAGCATTCCAAATGTATAATGATTTTAATCCCATGGCCTTTGCCTTGAAGTTTGACATAATTGTCAACAATTTTAACACTGCTAATAACTCTTGATTGAGAGAAGATATGGCATTTACATTTGACATGTGCATTACCTATTTCAAGACCTTTCCGACTGTATACTCTGGTTTTTGATATTTTTTCACATGTGCATTACTTGTGACAAGACCTTTCGGATTTTATTATGATATTTGACCTCATGACCTTGATCTTGAAGTTTAACGTAGTTTTGAGAAGCTATAATCTTTGCCATAACTGTTATTAATTCAATATATAATTTTTGGCTTTTTTGTCCAATGCACAGACAAGACACACAAACAAGACAGTTATAATATGCCATATATAATGGCATCCCATCCACTAAGACACCAAAAGTGGTGAACCAAAATTCTTTGAATTTGCTTGTTTTAATAAAATGTTATGCCTGCATGTATACGTACAGTACAGTGTCAAATATTTTCACTTAAAGATGTGCATCCTTCAGCAAAGATGCGAACTCGAGAAATTAGCCGTTCAAATTAATTAAGCTATAACATGCAATTTAGAATTAACTTTTTTAAAGGCAACAAAATCTTTTTCATGTTTGTTAATGATTCATGATATTTTATCGACTGTTTAAAGCGAATTATATACAAATAATATATTCCCCTCGGAAAAGGATTTGAAATTTATTAGACTTATGTTAAATGTCTTTAATATCGATGTTTATTAATATGATATTTATTTGTAAGTAATATGCAAAGATGTTAAATACTTTTCACACCAAAACTTAATTTTGAACACAAGGAACTAAATATCGAAACATATACATCCTCTTGCTTCTATTACATGGATACGTATCAATTTTTTCCGTGAGAGATTTTTTGATTGATTTTTAACAAGAATATTCGAAATTTCTGAGTCTATTCATAATACTGAGGCAAAATATTTTGGATTTCGTGATTTTTCCTGTATAATTTGATGACTTGTTTTGATCTATACACAGCTACAAATCAATCGAGAGTTTGTGGAATTAAATTCTAAAATGCTCATTGTTAGGCCGTCATTAACCTACTGGAATCAAATGTCTCTTAACCGGTGCTTTCTTTCTCTTGACAATATATTTGTAAAGATCCAGTGTCAGTCACCTTAAGGAAAGTCAGGGCATAAATTAGAAAGCAGTTCATTGTACTTATAAAGGATTTCTGTATGGAACGAAATAAATAGATTTTATAATTGTATTTTCTATACAGTACGTACGAGTGCTACTGACTGAAAGTCTGGCGTGATGCCATTGCAGAAATCTACATTCTATTGCAGTGGTTACAGTTTTCAAGAGATTTAAATGTAAGAGGCGACGTCGCGCTTCCGCAATCACTTGAAATCAGCTTCTCAATACAGTACAAGTATATGAAAAGTTTAACTTTTAAATTCCAATGAATGTCTTATCTGAGAGGTGGATTTGAATAGCCCATGGAAGCGTCCTTAGTGATGCTTTCATTGTCATTGCTGACAGATAGTCGGAATGTCAACTGTGGGGAATTATTCTATTGAGCATTTATTTGCTTTTTGATATAACCAATCCACAGGTATATCGACATTGTTTTCCTTGTTTAAATATGATGGCAGACTTCCCCACTTATCACTGTTTATTGATGTTAAATCGAATACAAACTGCCGGTCTCCAGTGCCAATATTTGCCACAGGAAACCAGAGTAAAGGAATTTTCTGTTACCAATGGTGTAGCGTTGATAGTAACGACTAATTAATTTAACGAATAAATTATTTTAAACTTGGAATTTTGCTTATCCATTTAAGTTGATTTCGAATTTCGTGGGATGTTTCGTAGATTTTATTAAATCAGCGAATGGTGTACGAATTTACCCCTTTTATGTAATTTTAACAAATTAGCGAGATCAGACGCTCTTAAAAACTTACTTGTACCGTAGATACATATATTGTGATATATGGGACATATTTGTATTTTGTATCATTATAATAATAAAATAAAAATACTTGTACTGGGACAGAATGATTTATTTTCTCTCGTCTAGAAAATTCCCTTTTTCTCTTGCAAGATTTAGATGAGCTTACCTTCATATCCATCTCGCTGCACACGCCGACTGAACGGAAAGTAATTTAAATTCCACTATCTATTTCATTTGCTTTTTTTGTGGGCATAAAGTACATATCACAAATAAATTTAAAAAACATGTCGGTCTTGGCAGTTCTTGATTGAACTGACGCAAAAGAAGGAGGTTTCCTTGAGTAGCTTGGGTCCCTACCCGAGGTTATCTCAATCACGTCCGTTTGCGGAAAGTCAACATTGGTACAAGAGATTGCGATAGAGCCCCTCAATCAATACGGTTACCAACAACTTCGCAGCTCTCGTCGATCAATTCTGTTTAATTGTTTCGCTGATGTTGTTAGTTTTAGTTACAGCATATGAATGCGACGAGACATCCCGCAATGACAACACAATACACCCTGTACGTCTCAATGGTGCAATCGGGATTTATATATCACTCAAAATTTCAATAATCATTCACAATCGCTAAGTAAGAGAATGAATCAAAGAGAATAAGACGATGATTTTAAATATGATCTTGGTAACGAATTGATATATAGAATAAGAAATAGACATCCCATCCCCTTTTTCATTTAAAAAAAATGTACCTTTCAATCCAAATAAAACGTTTTAATATACATATACAGCAGATCATTAGCAAGTGGTTAAAATGAAGGTATTAGAACAGAGGGAGGGGGGGGGGGGTTATACTGCACATGCATTTGAAAAAAACTGTGATTGGATAGTCATTCATCCAAATTCATCCAAATGTACTTTGAATTTATTTATATTTATTATATTTATTTTAGTTGGTAAGAAGGGCCGCTGCAGGCCCGTAGCAACGGTTTCAAAAGTGGGGGAAACTTTCCAAAATTATCTGACAAGCAAAAAAAAAAAAAAAAAAAAAAAAAGCTAATTTACTGTCCAAATCCTGAAATTTGCCAGTGCTCGACCTTACAACATCAAAAAGTTGGGGGCTAACCAGCATATAAAGGAAAATTTACTATTGCAAAAACTATACTCCGAAAAAAAGTGAGGAGGGAGGGGGAGCCCCCGCGTTCTACGGGCCTGCTCTTGATAAAATCAGCACAAAATCATTGTGCTCTTTACAGCATATATCTATTTGTCAAAGTTAATCAAAAGATATTTGGGACTATTTATAGATACAGAAAATGATACCGGGTGTAATTAATTTTATAAAGAAAGCAAAATTTTCTGGGTATAGTTAAAAGTGTGATTTTGAGGTCAAAAGCTCCTCAAGTTATACTGCTATTTATCGCTGATTAATATGAATGTTACAAACCCAACGATTTGATATGTATTTTCAATACATTTACCAGCATGTATATTAAAAGTTTTAAGTTGAAGCATTTTAAACTTATCTATAATGAAATATAGATTGTTAAGTTTAAAATTATTTATGTTAAACTTTAAATAAAACCTGTGCATTAAATGGAAGAGTAGAAGTTATGCAAACCAAATTGTTTTTAATTTAAGTCAGGTTTCAATCAATTAAAAGTAAACTAAGCCATCGATTATTAAGTAACCCTTTATAATCAATTTTATCATTTATAGTCTCTAAAACTTTGGATATCCCTTAAAGAAAAAGATCTTCATTTTATGGCAAGAAATTAAATACATGTATATGCTTATCCGCAGAATATAATATCATAAATAAACAATATACCAATATACATGTACAAATAAATACCTCTGCTGTCTTTCCTGGACGCATCTCCTTGTATTAATAAACAAATAGACTCACAGAATTGGAATTAACATTTCGAACAAAATAACGTCAATTTGATTGCCCAGAGAATTCTATACTAATTTAAAAGTGAAAGTGCAAAAAAAGACCAATTTAAAAACCAGTGATTTTATTGTTCGCTTCTCCTTCATTTCATGCATGGTTCACTTTTTTACCTGGTGTTTTTACCTGTCGATTGCTTCAATTATTGACGAGATTCAACTCAGTGCTTTTGATGGAATTATATTACCTCTTGAAAGAATTCCAGATACGTTTTACTAATATGAAGTTGTTCGATATGCTAAAGGTTAAACATATTTTATTCCACTAGAATACCCACAGTATTTTGTTGTTTATATGCGAATTAACGAAGTTATTAAGGACATTAACCAATCTACCCTTGAAGTCATAATAAAATGAATTAATATGATGAATTCTCCATTTAATGATTTGTAAAGCGTACTTCTTTCGTATCGATTATCAAATGGGTATAAGGTATACTTTAACGATTCAAAAAGCAAAGGGTTGTCCAATGGAAATTTTCACTCGATTAATAAGTGATACCTATTATATTATTATAACTTTGTGTGATATCACCATTGTGAAATGGGATGCTGATAAAATCAATACACGAAGTACATGCATGGGGTCACAAAGCTCGCCTGAGCCATCCTTCTCTCACTTTAAGGCGAAAAAGGATTATCTTAATTTTGCACTGCATGTTTCAATATGTAGTTGAAAATAGTGTTGTAATTCTTCATTGCATTTTTTCCTGACAAGTGTGCTGAATCACTACATTTCAAGGGTCATTACTGTAGCTAGGATTATTGCATATAGTTAGCCTTAATTAATTGGATTTTGTCTCAAAATGTTCCTCTACAAGATATTCGCACTTGTGATAGTCAATCCCTTGAACCCAGAGGCAATGATTTGTAGAATACGAATCTACACTTCAAAAATAAATAAATAAAAATGAAAATAAAAATCTATAGTTTCGATCTTGCTAAAGTGTATTGAATATATATAATATATAATTGAATTATAATACATGTACATGATTTGTTTTAGTTTATACCTGATGTATGATTAAAGCTAACCTAATTATCTCTCCTTGCTGGTCGTAGTAATATTTTTCAAAGGGGGTACCTCCTAATAAATGTAACCAAACAAAGGGGTGGGGGTTGGTGGGGTGAGTTGGACATTTTTCTTACTTTGCGGTATATTTTTTCTTTCGAATGTTGGAAACGTCCAAAGTTAAAAAGTGGGGGAGGCGGGAGCAGCATCCAAATCAAAATTTACATGCTAGACTATATTCTAAGAAAAGACCCATCCGTCCCCCACCCCCGCGTAAGTTACAGGCCTGTCTTGGAAGGAACATGATAAAGTTATTTATCGTCACAGAGAACAAATGAAGATTTACTTCTCATTCTAAAACGATGGTTAATCAACTAATTTATTTCATTCATAGAACGTTGTTTTATTAGACTGTTTTATCTCATCCATAGGACGTTGTTTTATTAGACTGTTTTATCTCATCCACAGGACGTTGTTTTATTAGACTGTTTTATCTCATCCACAGGACGTTGTTTTATTAGACTGTTTTATCTCATCCACAGGACGTTGTTTAATTAGATTTATTTATCTCATTCTTAGGCATCGTCTCAAACCACGGCCAAAATGAATGATCCTCTCCCATTCTGGGGAGAGGTATATGCGGACCCTGGCTTGAGACGATGTTTGATCAACTGAATTGTCTTATTCTTAGGAAAATGTAAATCAACTGATTTATCTCATTCTTACGACGATGTTTAATTGGACTGATTTATCTCATTCATAGGGCGATATTTATTCAACTCATTTATCTTATTATAGGACGATTTAAATCAACTGATTTATCTCATTCATAGGACGATGTTTAATTAGTCTGATTTATCTCATTCTTAGGACGATGTTTAATAAGACTGATTTATCTCATTCATAGGGCAATGTTTATTCAACACATTTATCTTATTATAGGACGATTTAAATCAACTGATTTATCTCATTCATAGGACGATGTTTAATTAGTCTGCTTTATCTCATTCTTAGGACGATGTTTAATTAGACTGATTTATCTCATTCTTAGGACGATGTTTAATTAGACTGATTTATCTCATTCTTAGGACGATTTTTAATAAGACTGATTTATCTCATTCTTAGGACGATGTTTAATAAGACTGATTTATCTCATTCTAGGACGATGTTTAATCAATTGATTTATCTCATTCTTAGGACGATTTTTAATCAACTGATTAATCGCATTTATAGGACGATGTTTAATCAACTGATTTATCTCATTTAAAGGACGTTGTTTAATTCGACTGATTTATCTCATTCTTAGGGTGATGTTTAATTAGACTTATTTACCTTATTCTTAGAACGATGTTTAATTAGACTGATTTATCTCATGTTTAGGGCTCAGGTGAGCTGAGACCCTTTAGTCATAAAACGTTTTTTTACTGTAATTATAAGAATTTCTCAACTGATGGTGAAGATAGAAATGCAATTCAAACAAATTAGCAGTACCAAAATGAAATATGGCAAAATGTGTGACTTGTGAATAAACAAATCATTGCTGAAGTTAAAATTTTTATATAAGGGAAAAAGTGATAAATCATTTTTAGAATTATCCCCCTTTCATCATTCCTCCATTAGAGAATCAGAGAATCTGTATTCTAAAAAAAAAAAAACTACTTATACATCCTTACCCCTTTTCCGTCGACATTTTTTATTTTCCGCTTTTTCTTTGTTTTTTGTGATGTGCGGCCCTCGTCCATACTGAGGTATCCTGTATCTTCATGCCGAGGTTTCTTGTTATAAGTCTCGTCCAAACTCGCGTATCCTCGATCATCTCCATCAGTGTCGTAACAAGTTTCCGTGTCTGTTTCCAACTGGAACCAAAGGTACAAGGTTGTTTTTCATAGATGATAAAATATTTCATATATGAACGTATCAAATTAATTAAATGATACAATAGACTAGTTGGAAATTTAATCAGAGAGAGAGAGAGAGAAAGAGAGAGAGAGAAAGAGAGATTACCTGAGGACGCAGTATCTCCTTGAAAGCATTTTCCACTATTTCATTGTCCATCTTGGGTTTGACTGATATTAACCTTGCATATTACGTTGTTTTATTAGTTCCAAATTCAAAAATAGACTTAATATCTTTAATCCGATAATCTGTTCGTAAGGTCAATGCATACACCCTTATGAAAACAAGTTACTTTCATTTGTGCATATAAGGAGTTTAACTTTACTGCGTGGAACGTGTCAAAGGATTGTTGGCGACTGGCTGTTAACTGTCTTTCCCACACCCTCCACCCCCAGTTAATGTGAATTATCTGGGAAATAATAGCATAAATTTGATCCGGGAAGCTATCAATCTTGCCGTACGCCCAGTGCATGGCAAGACATGCAAAAAAAGTGCATCATACATGTATGATCAATGTATTTTTTGGCAAATCACCTAAAATACATTATACACCTCTTATTTTCAACAATGAACTTTTTCGGATAGAATAACTTCAAAAAACTGAATGGGCATTGAAATTCACATGAGGAAAAATTATTAATTTTGATGAAAACAATTATTTCAAAACTATTACAGTTTTCTTTCATATTCAGCTCTAAATTCCACGACTTGATAATTCATCAATGAAACATTGTTTTACATCCCTCATAAGTATTGGATTGTAAAGTATCACTCAAACAAGTCATCTGAGTATTATACAACACTGTAAAGCATCCATAGAACTATAAAATAAAACAAATAAACTGATAGCTGGAACCAAAAGCAAGAGAAATAGGATGATTAACAAATAAAATAGTCTAGTACATAGTAACAAATCTTAAAGTAGTTCTATTTACTTGTCTGTACTTGCCCCATTCATCACTATCACCACGCAACTAAATCAATTATAATGCTTGAGCACTATTTGCAAGCCCATCTTAGCCCATCTCACACTGGTCCCTCTTGCTCTTTGAATTTAATGTATTTAAGATATAATGGAACTCGTAAATTTACTTACCTTGTCATTGGTCTTTTGCAAAATTATTTTGTTAAAAAACATTCTGATTGTACACACAAGTACTCTGAAGTTGACATTAAAAATATGATTGAGTTTCTGATTGACAATATCTATGTGGTTTTTGGAGACCAAGTCTTCCAACAATCTATTGGAATTCCCATGGGTACCAATTGCGCCCTTTTATTAGCAGACCTTCTTTATATTCATATGAAGCAGAATTTGTCCAAAATCTTATACGTGAAAAGAAGAAAATACTTGCTGTGGCCTTCAACTCGACATTTAGATATATCGACGACGTATTGTCAATTAGCAATGGTTACTTCCATTCTTATGTCGATACGATATATCCCGGTGAGCCTGAGATAAAAGATATCACAGAGTCTGACACATCTGTTTCATATTTGGATATTTTACTTCAAAAAGACTTTAATGGTAATCTAACAACCAAGCTTTATGATAAACGTGATGACTTTAACTTTTCAATCGTCAACTTCCCGTACTTATGCAGCAATATACCTTCATCACCTGCATACGGGGTTTATATCTCTCAGTTGATTCGATACGCAAGAGCATGCTCTACGTATGTACAATTTCTAAAACGAGGTAAATTATTGACAAACAAGTTGATGAAACAAGAATATCAGCAGTCTCGTTTAAAGTCATCATTTCGTAAGTTCTATGGTCGATACTATGACCTTGTCAGCAAATACAATTTATCATTGAGTCAAATGCTGACTGACGTTTTTCATACTAATTGTTTGGCCATTAATCACACACTGAATTGTGGACGGATTTTCCCGTTATTTCCCGATCATGACAAGGAGCACACGGCGTGTGTGACCGGTCGGCAGGGGATTCTCACTCCTCCATGGCACCTGATCCCACCTGTGATGTTTTGGAGGTCCGTGTTTGCTCTGCTCCTATTTTGTAATGTTTAATGGACTTCTGAGCTTGAATACTGTTCGTTATCTCCATATATTTCATCGAAAAGTAACAAGTCTACCTGACCATTAAGAATTATGAAAGGACTTTTTGAATTATATATTATCAAATTTTTTGTATAAACACATGACAATGCTCATTTTCAAAGCAACAGCCCTAGAGCAAAGGGTTATGTTTTACTTAAAAAAAATAAACGTCTTCATTTCACTGGTCACTTCGGACTCGCTTTTACTAAACACCTTCATCATACATTCATGATCTCAGCATTGACATGCACAAACTGGCTTCCTTCCCAAAACTATTGTTGATGGACGGGGGAGCTAGGGGATCTTAAGGAACTCTCAAAGATAAATGATGGCAGGGTCTGTGCCAGCTATGAATGTTCTTTAATTCAAAAAGTTGAAAAGAAAAAAAATCATTTACAGCAGAAAAATGATCATTATATATTCATCATCTCTTTATACCCTGAAAACTATGAGTTCAGTCTTAAATATTTTAATAATTTTACTCGAAGGCTTTATCAAAAGGGGGAATCTTCCTTCCGTCTCTCTTTAACCTGCAGCCTACTCCTCTCGATGTCTTTCCTCTGCCTGATTGAAGAATTCCTTCCCTTCAGTTTTGCATCAAATAAGATAAATAAATATTTGATTATTTACATGTATTCAAATCCATGGGAGTTCGACATCGTCACAACAGAAATATTAACTCTCGGTACCAACATCAGCTTTATTGTATATAGGTACAAAACAACATGCAATTGATTGCAACAGACAAGATATAATACCTTTAATTCTCAACAATATGAATACTAAAGGTACACTACAATATCATTTGTAGAGTATGTATCTCAACAAAAAGGCAGTAAAAAATAACAAAAAAGAAATATACAAATAACAGTATGTTTTGTTAAATTAGTATATACAAAACACACACACATCCTATAACAAACACACAATTAAATTAATGCTGAACGTGTGTATATAAATTGAATATGTTCTAGATGTAATATGGCAGTTAGAAAATCCTAAAGTTGCTATATTTACATATAAACAGTAACTTCTACACGGGGTAGGAAATGGTTTAGAAGACTACCAATACAAGTCCAGAAATTGTATTCTAATGTACACATTATCACAACTTACAAGTGTACTTTTATCCGAAATTTGTTTACAGAAAAATTATCTTAAATTCATCCTTCATTCAAAGCATTTATAAACGTTTGTAAATCCTATTGTATGTGTATTTACACATCCATTAACATTGCATGCTTGTATTTGTTTTAATCTACCGATTACCCAATGGTAGAACTTTTGTTTCTAAATGATTTATGTTTACGTAAAAACAAAGGTATTTGTATTGGTATTTTTTTCTTGTTTTGTTTTAGTATTTGTACAATTTATACTATAATCTAACGAATATAAAACATGTTTTGATCCACCTAAAATACTGATTGACGAATGTGACTAGATTATCTAACAAAAAAGCGGTAAAAAAAAATCATGCGAGCGGTTTAGGCTCAGCGGAATGCGGACTTGTTGCGGGTTGTTCCGAGGACTCGTCAATTCTCGTTTGCTTTAGCGTAGCAAAGATATCCCGGAAAAGAGATTTATAGTGAGGAAGATTAGTTTCTTCTTCAGAAGACGACGCAGTGTCACACGTGGTCGTCGTCTTCTGCATCTTCAGAAGAGTCTGGACCTCCTTGTGGGACACCGCTAATTGTTTGTGAAGAGCTTCGTCAAAAGTCTCGCTCTCGTGGAAACTACCAGGTCGTCTGCTTTTATTTTGTACAAGGTCTTCGTATTTCTTAAACAAGTTTTTGTACTGTGTTTCCAGTTCGTCTAGAATAGAGACGCTACTAGCTTCATGGTCCTCTACCGGAGAAACTTCCTGAATATCGGGGACAATTTTGTTCAATGACTCTGTACTCCCGTACACACTTCCGCCGCTTTCCAATCGAACCAGTTTTCCTGCGCCGATCTGCGGTTCATCTGGTTCTATTTCCTTTTCAATAGCACTTTTCAACTCTACTAGGTCATTAGAACATTTTTTGCAGTATTTACCGAGATTCAGCTTTTGCCGCTGTATTTCAAACTTCAGATAGCTGTTTTCTTTCACGTCTTCTTCTAAAGACCTCACTTTCTTTTCCAAACCTGAATTTTCTTCCCACAGCAACGATACTTCCGTTTCCAGGTCTTCCTTTTTCCTTTTGTCTATTAGTGCCTGTGCTTTGAGCTGTTTGACAGCTTCCTGGAGATTTTTGATTTCCTGTTCGTAAGGATTAAGAGGTAGTTTCTTGAACTGATTGTTGTATGTCCAGTGGCAATCCTCATTGAGGATATCCTTTAGATACGGATTTCGTTCTTTTTCGCGGAGACTTGCCAAACTTACGGCCCGTCGATTGTCCTGCTTCTGTTGTTTCTGTTTTAAACGTTTTTCTTCTGCTTTCATGTCATCGACCTTTTTTTCTAAATCGTCACATTTTTCCTCTAACTGCAGAACGGTTTTCATCAATCTGTCCGAAAAAATACGCTTAATTTAGTAAAGCAAAGTCTCCATTAACTTATAAAGGGTTATTAAAAGAAAATTTATATCGGTTTGGGAATGTAAATATATAAGCACAACTTAATAATATTATTATAAGGCATTATACTTCTCTATCCTCTGTTTGTCGGTCTTGCCGTCTATAAGTAGCCTCTGGTTCGTCTTTTCTAGTTCCTGTGACGTTCTGTCCAGTTCCTCATAAATCCGCATACGTGACTCACTGCTATCTCTGACCGTTTCCAGCTGGCGTGTGATATACTATTGAAAAAAGGGAAAAAATAATTTATCAAAAAAAGGTGTTTTTCTTAATGACTACTTTTTTCTAGGGTGACATATATTCAGTGAAATATATCTCAAAGACACCTTTAATATTCATTTATTTTTACTCATATTTCCGCGACATCTGCCAATATATATATAAGAACCCTCGTTTAGAGGCTCTAAACACTGCACACTAGGCATAAAGAGTTCTAATTTTTTGGCAGTTAGAGTAATCTACCCTTTGAGCTAAACTAAAATAAATTGAAATGTAGTGTATTAACTCAATTTTTGTAATCTATTATAGATTAACTGAATATTTTATATGCATGCATTTCCCCACTTATAAGTAAACAAGAAGGATTTTTGTTCAGCAATACTTCGTTGTCTTTGAACATTTTTCCTAGGGGTAAATGCCAGGTATCCTATGATGAAATACAATATAGATTTAAAAGCTTAATATTTACACCGTTTACAATATAATTTTCTCAATGTCTTGTATATTAAAATAACTTGCAATAAGGCTTCAGAAACAAATATGTGATTATTTAATGTTGTACATATTATGGTTACTTTAATTCATTATTTTATGGTGAAGTTAACAATTATCAAGTTCCAAATGGGTGAATTACATATACAAACATGCCATATTTTCAGGAGTGGTCAGACAAATTCTCCATTTTCGAAGAAACCCGGTAATGATTATACGTATGTCCTTAATGGGTCAGTATAGAGAAAACGGTCTGTTTATAATTGTCTGTTTATACATGTAATTGCCTGCTTATATAATTATAGATAACAGAAATAATCGTGCATGTGTTCATATTGTACATTCCGTACACAATCGGCAAGTCTTGATAAGGGGGATCCTGAACTGGTTCAACAGAACATTACCTCAATTTCCATGTTTTGTTCATTGTTGATCTGTTGGAGTTGGATGACTTGAGCTTCTAATTCACGATTTCTCTCCAGTAGGGCCTTCCCTAATTCTGCTGCCAGCTGTAGATCTGCGAAAAAAAAAATCATTCTGCTTACTGGTCATCAGACAAGAATTATATATTTTTCTGATCTCCCAATGTAGGAAATCAAAATATATGTTAGATTATGGATAGCAGGATCCAGGAATTTTTTTTTTCCAGAGGGGGTTCACACCCAGCAAAATAAAATAAAATCCAAACCAGAAATTTGTTGACAAGCCAACTTCATTTAGAGGGGTCCGCGTTTTCTAGGGCGTCCAAGATCATTTTTTATACTTTTACTTTACTATGAACATTTAATAACTGAAAATTCTAGAAAGGGGGGGGGGCGGACCTAACCACCCCTCTAGATCCACGCATGGATAGTATACTTTATAATCAATTCCCGCCCCTAAATTTCTGTAGGGGCGGGAATTGTTTAGTTTTTTGTGCAGGTACCACAAAAGAAAGCAAGAATCTTTTCAAATACTTTTGCAGCACTCTCGGTTTTATCAGGAAAAATCAAATACCGCGGCTGAAAATGATACTTGACCCAGAATGTGGATTTTGTAGAATCAATAATGCAGACTAATAGAAGGAATTCATATGCTGTTGAAATAGTAGTCTGAAATGGAATGTTGATTCCCATATTTAGTTTATGATTTAAAAAATCTTTCTTTTCAATACAGATTTAATACTTTTATCGCTATTCATCTCCACTATGTGAGTATGTAATTATTTATCAAAGCTTATATTTGTACATACTATTCCGAGACAATGGCTATCATTTTTATCAAGATGTTCATAATTTTTGGCTGCTTTATTCATGCATCTGTTAATTCACCGCAGATGATTTGGCCATGACCGGAACCACGAAGTAATGGATTTTTTTTTACTAAAATTTGCGTTCCTCGATACTGATGGAGGGAGCGTGATTCATCGTTTATATTGATTTTTTCCAGTTATTCATACATTGACTGGTTCTATCCTGCATAAATTCTGAAACAGAATTTGATCAATAGAAGAAAATTCACAGATGACCTACTCATAAATTTACTACCCGTATCAGTATTAAGTAATGTTAGAAAGTATCATATGCCCTAAAATACCTGATAACATACACGTGCCATATTCTGTACATATTTACATTTGATATATTTTTGATGTGACCAAAGCCCACGCCCTAAGATCCCCCACCTACCGTTTTGGTACCAGTCCTCGTCTTGTTGGTCGTCCTGCACCTCTGAATCGTCCATCCTGTCTCGGGTGTCGTCTGTTTACAGTTGCCAGCTACATTGACTTGCCCCCTTCGCAAGGCCTCATTCTACTATGTGTGTTATGCACAATCCTACTACACTACATTATACGTGGCGAAACATCAATCTGACATGAGCGCTATGTCACATGACTCGTCACGTGGTTAAGAGGAGAATCTTCGACTATTTTAAAGAACACTACAAAGATAATGCTTTAATTTTATTAAGATATATTCCCACTAACAATACGTATGGTATGCCCGAATTCCAAACATATGATAAAATTAAAAAAAAATGTAATGGATTATAAATAAAATATAATCACAATTACATTCCGCTCCATCTTCGAAACTATGTTCGAATGAAGCAATAGAGGCGCTGATGCAAATTATGTAAAGCAACTTAGCCTTAAGGGAACTGCTTAAGATATATTCACCTGTGCAAATCGTACTTTTTACAGTGATAATTTGGTGCGAAAACGTGTTCTTCAGAAATTATCACACAGAAGCTATGATCCTGTTCGAGTAGTAAACTTTAATAATTATCATATATATTGACTTCAAATAGTTAGGCCTATAATAGATCACCTTGTAGCTGCAGAACTGTAGCATTCTGGTTTTATATTTTAGTCTTTGACCATAACGCTACAGATCCCGTAATGCAAATATGGTGCAATTTACGTCGCAAGATTTTCTGCGCACTTTGTATTTCGCCACTTTCCAGCATTGGTCAATCAACTACCTTTCATTCCCTAATTCTAGACATACCCTTTAACCAATCTGTATATTTTATCCATCTTTTTACCCTTTCTAGTCGTCTCTACAGACCAGTAAACTCGCTTGTTGTGAATTTTATGCTATCCGACAACAAATTCACAACAAGCAAGTTGACTGGTCTGTAGAGACGACTAGAAATGGTTAGAAAGGTGGATAAAACATACAGATTGGTTAAAGAATATGTTTAAAATTAGGGAATGAAAGGTCGCTGATTGACCAATGCTGGAAAATGGCGAAATACATCCCCAAAGTGCGCAGAAAATCTTGCACCGTAAATTGCACGATATTTGCATTACGGTATCTGTAGCGTTATGGTCAAAGACTAAAATATAAAACCATATACTACAGTTCTGCAGCTAGTTGTTAAATACACTAGTAGTTTCACTATTCTAGATGACTCAATGTTTTAACTCTAAAGGTTGTTAATTACATTGGAATTAAAGTAAACGTTTTAAAAAGATTTTTTAAAGTATTAATTCACTGGGTATTTCAATTTGACCGCAAAGTGGTTTGTATGTGTGTGTGTGTGTGTGCGGGGGGGGGGGGTATTATTGTATTTATTATTTTGGGAAAACTATACATTGTAATTTGAAATAAGGATTGATATTTTTCTTTCATAAAATATAGCAAATCAGTTTCTTAATTGGTTTAACTTGGGTTAGGGCCTAAATTATTTTACATATTCTAAAATCATCAATTGTCCCGTAAAATAGCTACCGATCATATTCTCTTCTTCTTTTTTTAACTGGTGCCTCAAAAGACCGATATTTTTTGTTTGGTTTTGTTTTGTTTGTTTGTTGTTATTTTTTTTTTGTGTGTGTGTGAAAAATTCGGTTTTTATCCTTTCGACTAATAGACATTTCAGTGGTCTTTTGTTTATTTTCCCCTGATACACAAGTGTTTGTTGATTGTTTCCAGTAAAACATTTTAGGAACTATTCAGCAACCAAGATTTCTTCATTAAGTTGATAAACTTGCATTAATTGCCTGGCAAGTCTACAACAAAACGTCCGTATTCTCCACAGTACCCATCACCATTCGTTTATCATATTTGCTTTCTCATACCTATTCCGACTTTTCTTGCGAAAAAAAGCATTTTCGATTAGACCAGCCATTTTATTTAGACTAAGTAAATAATATTTGTAAATTCTGCAATTAACATGCAAGCACATTTTGTAATCAATGAGCCTATATATCACAGAGTTTCTACATAAGTGTTTAAACACAGACTGAGGCTACACTGGAGTTCTGGTAAACAAGGTTTAAATGATTGTCTGGCACTAAGAGGTTCAGTCAGTGAACAAGGATAATTCTACTTGATATAAAAGGAGCACGCTTGGAATGGGATTTTTTTAATATTGAAAAATAAGAAACTGTAAATTTGATAAGCTTTAATTAACGAGTGGCATACATGCACAGATAATTTAGATCAATCTACAGCTACTCCTACATTTCAGCTGAACACTGGTCCAGTAATTCAAGTGATGCTTACAAAAACCTATGCTTTCAATAAAATAAATACACCCTTACTGTAGTAATATTAACAACATTAACAAATAACTGCACAGAGAACATAACAATTTAAATCTTCTGTTTTTAAGAGCCCAACACTAGACCTAAACTAACATGAGGGAACAAACAATCCCCTTACAAAATTGGATTATATGAAGTTAGTTTAAATATTCAGGTGATTGAAAAGAAATAAAATTATCTGAACATTTAAGCATGTCTAAAAAGTTATATTGGAATATTTTTTTAACATGAAAAAAGTTAATAAATATCATTACATTCTTACAGATCTGAAGCAAAATGAATCCTCCCATTCAAATTCACAGCAAGGTAAAAAAAAAAAAAAAAAACTGAATGCATACCCCCCTCCAAAGCTCCTCATCCTGTTTCTAAAGGATATGTCCTAAATTAAAATCCAAACACAAAAAAAACTTACAAAAACAAAACAAAAACATTTCAAGACATCAGATCAATTTTACTTTTTTTTTTGTTTTTAGTATTTCCATACAATGACACAAAGAAGCTAAACCATTAAAATATTTCTGAAGACAGCACTTTGAACATGATGAATGAATAGAAATAGTTCTCCTAGATCTGATGAAGTCCACTCTCACTGTTGAATGTCTGGGTTACATTTTACAAGTCAACAAAGTCACTCAAGTCACAACTCAAGCCTCAAAATCTAGTCCAAGTCCCAATTGGTGTCCTCCGGCATTGAAATTCTTACCATCAACAAGGGCAGACAATGTAAGCTTCACTCCTGAAAGAAGAATGCATTTTTGACATTTATAAATGACTTTTTTATAAGAATTTTGACACATTTATACTACTTTTTAAAAATATTTTAACAGAACACTTACCATCTCTAAGTTTTGTTGTATATCCTAGACCAACTCTGCTGTTGCTGTCAACTTTAGCCTGTTTGATAATGTAGGAAAGCATTATTTATTGAAATAAGAGGTAAATAAATCTTATCAAAATGTACAAAGGGTCTCATTTCTAAGCCAAAACCTTTAAACGTCTAAAATAATGAAAGATATTCTGAACAACTTACAGACACAGATGAGTCTCCATCAATCTTGTACTTAGTGCCCAGCTCTAGGGAGGTACTCTTGGCTGAGGACCAGGAGAGTTTGACACCTCCTTCCAGATCCTTCCTGATCTTGTGGTAGATAGAGCCACAGTATTCAGCTCCATCATTCCTAATGACAATATCAAGCAAGTATTAAATACAGTGTCAACTTTTTTTTCTGATATCAGAATTAGCAAGGTCAGTTAATTTAAAGATCAGACATTTATTTGAATACAGTATAGGGAAACACAATACACAAATTACTCAGAACAGTGGGAATTTCTTAACACAATGCATGGTATATTTACCAAAGAGGAAAAGAACTGCTCTACTACAAGTAGTGCTATGAGCCAAACAGATCCCAAGAAAGTGAATTTAGCTTTTCATCAGTATATGGTATGTACCCCCTTTTTAATCAATACTTTGTGCCCTGGCCCCCACTGTTCTGATAAAGCATCATATGACCTTCAGAAATTTCATGAAGGATGGTAATGAGATCATTACTTACACATTAGTGTGAATGGTGAAATCACTAGCTTCATAACCTACAGCAAAGTTATTTTTTGTCAGCTTAGATTTGGACGTATCAAAAGACATTTGGTAACCTCCTAGCCAGCCCTTATATCTAAATAATAAAACATCCATAGCATTAAAATAAACAAATGCTATTAAAGTCTCAATCTCTATTTTTTTTTTTAAACATTATCCTTGTCAAGATTACAAGTTTGCCATTTATTTCATGCACTGAATTCTCCATGTTAAATGACTAATTTTGCGAAACATTTATCAGCAATTCTAACAAATTTAAATAGGTACCCCAATACAGCTGCTGCGTTGATTGTTGGTCCAGCAAAAACAAAGTCCACATCACAACCAAGATTTAAATAATCCATTTTGTAACTGGTTTTGATTTTTCCACTCTTTGTTCTAAATGTAAATGTTTTGTTAAAATTTCACTGAATAGACAACAAATTAGAAAGTAGATCTTGACAAAACTTCAATTCTTCTCTCTTAAAACCATACTATATTAATGACTTCTGATATAATGACAAATCATTTACATACATACTAACCATCTCTGCATAGTTTATTGTATTTTTTTTTACTGATTATTTAAAAGAGATAACTTCTTTGTACATGCATTTAAATGGTGTTTCAGAATGATACCCAGTTTGAGGAGCAAAAGATGTGTTGAATTCAAGTTTCAGTCCTTTCACGAGCTGGTCCTCAATGGCAATTTCTGTGAACAGTACATTGCTGGTATTCCATTTCTCCTTGAATGTGAGACCTGCAACAATGAATAAAAGTTCTAACTGGCATGCAAATTTACAGTTAGAAACAGCATGTCATTCAAAACACTTATTTCTGAGGAGATGATTGGTACTCAGAAATATGCATTACAACGAGACTTATACAGATGAAACATACCTAAATCAGAGTATTTGTATTTAGTTTCTAGACTTCCGCTGATTATTCCCTTGTCACTGTGGCTGCCAGTAGTTGTGAATTCTACTCCACTATCTGTTTTAGTTTTTGCCTCCAATTTCCATTCTCCATAATCTGAAATTTTTTAAGTATGTCTTATGACTGGCATCTTCTAAAGGCTAGAATTTTTCAAAAACTTGAGTCTTGTAAATATCTGGTATCATGAAATGCACTCAAAAATTATTGTTACTTACTGTATCCTTTGCTGAAGATGTCCTTTGCAGACTTTCCAAGATCGGCATATGTTGGAGGAGCCATTTTTACTGCAAGAGCAAAATCAAATGTAAGTCTTCAGTTCACTTTAAATATTATACATTACCTAGATTTGGGGAGAGGGGATATATTTTTTATAATATAGGTATTAAAATAAAATAGTCTTTTTTGTTTGAAGAAATTTTTGAGTCCACATAAAAATTTATTATCACTCCAAAATCTTTTTGTACACAGAGCAACAAACATTGTTGCTAGAGCATAGCAATAACTTAATTGAAAAGATTTGCAAAATATAATTTTATCATTGTTTATGGAATCTTGACATCTCTCTGACACAAAACTGGCATATGCATCCTCAATAAACATGCCTTTGTCTAAGACGTCATCCTAGCAACTGCATAATCAAAAAAGTTTCAGGTTTTTTCCCATTTTTGTTGGAATTTTCTGAGAATTATCCAAGTTCAGGATCTCATACTAGGGATGTGAGATTTTATCAGTATACCAGTAAATCATGATTTTTGTTGCATGATACGTATCATGATTCAGAGACTAAAATACCAGTATTTGATACATAATTATAAATTCCAGAAATTATTCATTTATTTGTTCAAACTATTAAAATTACAATTAACAGAATTTACAGAAAGCATAAAAAATGTTGAAAACAGTAAATCAAAGGCATCCAAACATGTTTTTTTTTTTTTTTATATATATATATATATATAAATACAATGAAAAAAGTGAAGCTATTACAGGTATATCTGTAAAAAAAAATTATGAAAATTTATCTAATATTGTGGTAAACACTGCATGTAAAAATATTACGATATTATCGTGATATATCATGATACAAAATTTTTGGTGATACCCATCCCTATCTCATACCTTAAAATGAAAAAAAAGGTAAATATGAAAAAGAATTATCCAATGAAACTGATAATGATAGCTACAGAAGTTTAATGAAAATTTTGATGTCATAAGCAGTAAATGTAACTTAAATGGTGGATCCATCATTTGAAAGGTGTTTGAATTTCTTAGGGGATGAGTTGACCATTTTTGATTTGTGTGTGTGTGGAGGGGGGGGGGGTAGCAAATTTTTTTTAGGTCAGATTATTTTTCATACCAGACAAGGACTGATTATCCCCCCCCCCCCCCCCACGATCAAATAGTTGATCTCTTATTAATTAAAGCTTAATGCTCTTGTCCCAACAGCTTCATCACTTGCGTGATATACTAAAATCTTTGTCTGGTATCACCTGAAATAAATTATACTAAATAGAGTCGTCTGTACAAGTGAATTTCCATATATCTGTACATGAATCAAACCAAGGGATATTTTTAATCCTAGAATAAAGGCTTTCCATGTTCATCCACTAATTTTAGCTTTGACCTACAAAACAACTCCAATGACAAACTTTTTCTGTTAAAAATTACTTTTATTAATTTTAAAAAATAAGACCTTTTATTTCATTAACATTGCCTCCAATATCTCCCTTTATGCAACAAAGAGTCACTTAACATATTTTCTATCTAAGATCAGTGGTGACCTTAAGATATCCCTCTTTGAAATATATTCTGAACCGAAAGTAGGTAGTTGTATGTGCAAAATATTCAACACCCCAGTATTTGTCTCAAACCTGTGCAGATCTTTGCCAAACATATCCGGCTCTGATAGACACGTAGGGCGTGTCCATCCAGTTTGAAAGAAATATTGTTAAAGTAATCGAAAAATTGAATGAATTTACTTCACACGAAACAAAACCATTTTACAGACATTCTTAATGATGTAAGGACAGTGTGACATTCTCTCAGTGCCTTACGATTACATGTTTGAAGACAGATCTTTTCTCTTGAAAGTCACCCTTGTTCCTTTGAATAAAATTTAAATAGAAGAGGAATGATTAAAAGCATTAATTGCAGAACAATTCAATACAAACCCCTTTAAAGGCACTTACTTTGTATAGACTTGTAAAATGTAATGCAACCGTTCTTTACCGAGAACACACGCTGAAGGTCACAATCTTCTTTTCCGGTAGTCTCGCAGAAACATATAACGTTACATATAAAAATACATAAAAGTGGAAAGATTTTTAAAATAGTTAATTACGTTGATGAATTCTACGTAGATGACAATACTGTGAAACAGATTTTAAAAAAGCATTTTTTTTTTAATATATAACGTCATATTTTGTCCGTATTTTAATGGATTGACTAATTTCCGAAAGAAGTGAGAGACCTGAAAGACTGTGAACGTTATTGTTTCGCCGCCTACCTCCAGGTCATTTTTTTTTCAAAAAGCTATTATATTAGAATAATTTCTTAATAATTTATACAAATATTTAAATTAATTTTAAAACACTGAATTATTGGGAAAAGAAAGATAATCAATTGATTTTTTTATTTCCTCCACTGTGAAAATCCTCTTTACAGGTATTACAAATTGTTATTTTACAAAATTCATACCAAACCTTTTGTAGTTTCACGTGAGGGAGCATATGTTTAAGAAGATAGAAGGCACACAACTCTTGGATAACAATATTGACGAATAATGAGTGTTGAATACGGGGTGTATACAACTTGTTGGACCCAGGATGTATACCCCCTCTTTTTCTTACAAAATATTAGCGCGAAATATCATTGAAAATATTATACATACAAGTGTATAAGCGACAGAAAGTGTTTGAAAAAACTTTAATGCCGAACCAAGAATTAATTTAAAAAAAAAACATACTGAAGTACGAAATAAACAAGCTTAAAAAAATCAAAAGACTCAATTATAACAATTGCAAAAGGAGCGATCACCGACAGTCATTACATGTAACACAGTGGGCGCTAGATGGTTTGCAAAGAACGAACGTTATCTGCATGAATTGCCGCTATGTGGTGTACTGGTCTAAATCTACGCAATCATGGAATCGCCCCAAAGGAACCCCCCCCCCTCCCTTATATGCTTCTTCAGTTCAGCTCGTTTAAATCTAAAAAATTTGCCCTGTTAAACATGATACATTAAACACTGTATGAATTGTGTTTTATGAATAAATATTTTTTTCAGTAACATGTGTAAGTTATAGTTACATTATAGATATTACAATTAATATTTTTTGCCATTCATATTTCCAATCCGTTCAGTTTCAACAAGAGATGAACTCGTTAATTTCCCTCATTTGAAAAGATCTCATATTTTGCCAAATCATTATAAACATGTAAAGTCGATTATAATAATGAACATTTTTAAGGGGCGACCATTTTCTGCGGTTGTGGGGTGATGGTGGTACAATATAATGTTAGAGAAGACTGGCTACTCTCACTGTTTTGGATTCAATTAAAATTTCGCCCCTCCTGGAATTTTCAGAGTTATATAGCCAAAAAAATTATCTTGGACTACCACCCCCCACTCACCCCCGAAAACTTGGACTCCTGAAAACAATCCAATACAATGCTGCAATACCATACAAATGATTTATTGCCAAAAATGAGCTCCTGGGGGCATAGTACACAGCATATAAATGATACGAAAGAAAGCAACTTGTCCTAATATCCCCCCCCCCTTTAATAGACTAGGTGTTTCAGGAATTCAAACAAATTGTTTGCCTTATTTTTTAATTATTATTTTTTTTATACGTTTTAAATTTATTTTACTTGTCCAAAAATTTCTGAGTCTTTTCTTTTTCTTTTTTGTTTTATCTACGCATGTTTGATTATCATTATGCACTAAATTCATATTTATTACTGTTCAGCAGGCATGGCTATGAAAAAAGATGGGTAATCAATCAATCATTTATTTGAATTTCTTCACCGTTTTACAATAGTACTGTATATAGAGACTTGCAACATATGGGTGATTTAATAATACATAGAAATAGCATGCGTGAAAAATAAAGAACCAAAATTAGTACGGTGCTATAAATGTGAAGAAGATGGGCAAACAAGGCGAGCAAAGTGCCTATAGTGCGACAAACATGAAGGTGGAAAATGAAATTTCAATTATAACAAAATTTTCTTAGATATTTCATTAAATGATATTTTTAATAATTAATAATTTTGAAATATCATGTTTTAAATAATAATTGAATTAAGTAACTAATCCCTGTTAACAAACGCGGGGTCTGTTTACATTGTGCGATGTTAACAATTATGACATTACAAAAAGACCCAAAAAGTTATGTATTGAAAGTCATTTATAAAATTAATATAAATAAATATTTTAAGCAGTCATGAAAGACATAAATTTTATTTTTTTGAAATGATGCATAAAATTAAACATTCATTAGAAGAACATTTGGATGAGTTATATCTTTATTAATATAAATTGAAAAGAAGGGGGTGGTTTGTTGGTTATCATATTGGGTCTGATGATATTTTTTAAGCTGGTTTGTTTTGTATTTGGGTATGTTTTTGAAAATTAATCGTTCATTTTGAATTCAGGTCCTTTTTTATCCTTTCCGCCACACATTTGATACATGTTATCAAAAACTGCATAGTCAATCTCTACAATCTGCAAGCAAATTAGAATGATTAAAAAGGGCAATGAACATGTATCAGATTCGTCTTTTTAATCGATTTCATGTATCCTGAGTTACGCTATATTACAAATCATAATATAAATAATATAAAACATTAAATAGAACAATCACAACAATCTCTTGTATACGTTTTATTTTTAATGAAATTTCGAACCAGGATATTAGGAAAAATAGGGGATATACACCCCGGGTCCAACAGGTTGCATATACCCCGAGAACGACATTGATGATTCGTCAATATCTTTAAATACGATCTATTTTATTTACAGACAATTTATATATACATTTATATCAGTAACATGTGTTAAACAGTAATATAATTTAGTGATGATATAGCAAAGCTTTGTTCTGAACACAATGTAGCGTCAATCTTGATCTGATCCTCGGAATTGTGTTGAGGTGTTTGATGAAACTAGAAAGTGTACAATGAATTCATAGGTATCCATGTACTCCTAAAATAGTGCTTTCTTCCATAAGCATATGCTTTCTGGCGAAATATATCCATAAATTGAGAAAGTGGACAAAAAAACTTACCCCGACCTCATTTCTATTCCGTGCACAACACAGTATCACCCCGCATGTTGGGATACACACGGTGATATATCGTCACCCCGAGAAGATATCATAAGAAAAGATATCAATTAAAGAGTTCAGATATCAGCATTTAAATTGCATCATTTGAATTAATTCAATCGATGAACTCAACAATGCGGCGGAATTACTGCGGCGGAAAAAATTAATTTCAGAACCAATTTAATTATAATGGTGCAACAATTCATGTAAAGAAATTAAAAAAAAACAAGATGTGTTTGTGAAGCACTGATGTCCCCGTATGGCAGCTTATGGCGAAGGTTAAAGTTTCTCAAATGCAAGTCAAAATCCAGGCCAAAAGATAAAAAATGTTGGTACCCAAAGAAAGGTCTTAAATCTCGAGGAATATACCTGTGAAATTTGAAAGACCTAGCTGCAACTGTTCAAAAGTTATGGCGAAGGTTAAAGTTTGTTAAAAGTAAGTAAAATGTCAAGGTCAAGGTCAAAGTGGTTGGTATCCAAAGGAAGGTCTTGTCACAAGGATTACAAGGATGTGAAGTATGAAAGCCCTAGCACCAACCATTCAAAAGTTATGGCCATGGTTAAAGTTTTTCAAAAGTAGGTCAAACTCCTAAGTCAAGGTCAAAAGGTCAAAATGGTTGGTATCCAAAAAAAGGTCTTGTCACAAGGATTACATATGTGAAGTATTAAAGCCCTAGCTCCAACCATTCAAAAGTTATGGCCAAGGTTAAAGTTTTTCAAAAGTAGGTCAAACTCCTAGGTCAAGGTCAAAGGGTCAAAGAGGTTGATATCCAGAGGAAGGTCTTGTCACAAGGAATACACATGTGAAGTTTGAAACCCCAGGCACCAATTGTTCAAAAGTTATGGCCAAGGTTAAAGTTTTTCAAAAGTAGGTCAAACTCCAAGGTCAAAAGGTCAAAGTTGTTGGTATCCAAAGCAAGGCCTTGTCACAAAGAATACACATGTGAAGTTTGAAACCCCAAGCACCAACTGTTCAGAAGTTATGGCCAAGGTTAAAGTCTCATAAAATTTTGCAAAAGTGGGTCAAACTCCAAGGTCAAATGGTCAAATATGATGGTACCCAAAGAAAGGTCTTGTCACAAGGAATACACATGTGAAATATGAGAGTCATAGCTCCAACCAATCGAAAGTTATGGGCAAGGTTAAAGTTGACAACAGACAGACAAACAAACAGACAAACGGACAAACAGACAGACAGGACAAAAACAATATACCCCCGGGATCTTTCGATCCAGGGGCATAAAAATAAATTAAATATATAATTGTCAATGTGAAATAAAGATATCAATGATAAAATATAGTTGCTCTTTCTTAAAGTGACCAAATTAGAATCCTATCTTCAAGAGGAAATTGACAGCCTTGAATCAAACTCATACATAACATATGAAATAAGACTGCTACAAATCATTATTGATCCCTCCAACACCGCGTTTTAACAGAATGCATCCAGGAACACTAAAATTCAGGGATGTAGAGAACCTGACCCGCAATATGGTATTTGCTTTACATTGCCATAGAGCAAAAATTATTAAAAACTGTCCATATGTAGTATATCAGATTGTTGTTTATATTACTTTAAAATCATGTTTATTATTTTATTTTTTTGCACTTATAATTATGAAATATAGGTAGGTAAATAAACGTTTTATAAATATATCAAATGCCAAAGTTATTAAAAGTGTCTGTGTTAGTTTATTTTACAATTTTACAATTTTGTTGAATTTATTATTTTCCCGCCAAAACTCTGTTGAGCGATTGGTGCAGACCTAGGCCTATCACATGAATGGTGACCATGGGCAGGTTTTTTAATTTCTGTGGGGTTTTGGTCATTTTTGTCCCGTGCTGTGGTACCAGCAGGCTTTCCCGTTTTTAAAGTTAATTACTTTGGGATTTTCTCCTTTTATACTTTATTAAGTTCAGTTTGTTTATCACTCCTAATTTTATTTTTACTACACAACTTTAGATTAGGTTATACTAATTGTTTTTCATCGCTTTACTATTTTAAATTTTAATTTTACATGGTCTTTTTACGATATCACCGTCTCGGGTGCAACTGACATATTTTAGGATTTGGACAGTTAATTAGTTAGTTTGTTTGTTTGTTTGTTTTTTTGTTTTGTTTTTTGTTTTTTGTTTGCTTGTCAAATTTTTTGTCAAGTTTGCCCCCACCCTCACTTTTGAAACTGTTGCTACGGGCCTGAGTATTCCTATTAAGTTGTCGTTTAACTATGTAAACATACGGTATAACAACTCTTATTTCCTCTTCAACCCCCTCCGTCCTTTGAAAAATTTCTAGATCCGCGCCTGTAGCTGGACTCGCGTAATGGAAAGTTCTAAACGATTTAATTATAAAATTATGACGAAAAAGGGAATTATTTCATGGTGTTTTCACATACAGAATTGATACATTTAGTTCAGTTGTATTTGTAGCATGTAATTGGAAGTTATATGTAATGTCATAGGGAAGGTCAGGTTAAAAAATTAATTGCTCAGTGTATAATTTTGCATTACTGTAATAAAGTTGGTAATAATTTAAAATAAGGGGGGAAATTTTAAAAAATGGGGGGGGGGCTAGAAAAGCTCAAATTCAAAGTTGGAAAAGCCAAGATTAAAGTTGGAATTTCCAACTTTAAAGTTGAGTTGGAAAAGCCAACTTTAAAGTTGGAATTACCAACTTTAAAGTTGGAAAAGCCAAGATTAAAGTTGGAATTACCAACTTTAAAGTTGGAAAAGCCAACTTTAAAGTTAAATTGGAATTTCCAACTTTAAAGTTGGACTGAATTACCAACTAAAAAAAAAAAATTACGTGGCACTAATACGCTTCCGTAGCTTCTTATGCATAGGAGGGAATTCCTGAACTGAACTGTTGCGCACATTAATTTATTAAATGATATCATTAATTAAATTCACGGGCACTAAAAGTTAATGTAAATAGTGAGAATGTTTTTTATGCATGCAAATACTCAATATTTACATTAACTTCCAGTGCCCGCGATTAAATTGAAGCGAGAACAATGCAATTATCGCAAGCATCATATTGAACTGAGTGCGTGCATAATTTCCAGAGAGCAAAACATCATGGCTTTACGCGCATTAAATTGACATATATAGCGCTTGCTCTCTCCAAATTTGAATTATTGCGCGCATCAGTTCAACTGTTATCATCAATTGATTTGAAGTGAACAGCAATTCAATTATAGCGCACATCAATTCAGCAAATTGATTTATTAAATAAACAATTGATTTATTCAGAATTGGATGAAACCCTTATATTTGAAGAGAACATGAAATTGTTGAGTGCATTCAACATGTTCAATGGATTGATATGATATCTTCAAATGATTAAATATATTCAATGATTTAAGCTTATGTAAAACATACAAACTTGCTTCTGTAATAATAAGCTATCTGAATAAGTAGTTTGAGATTCAGTTGGTGACATCAATCGTTTTTTGTTTTATTTTTTTTTTCAAAGAAGGGGAGGGGAGACAATAAGAAAAAAATAAACAAACATAAAACTAAAAGTAAAACAAACAAACGTAAAATCAACAGAAAAGTCACAAAATGTTAGGGCCATGACCCCTTCCCTCTCTACCTTTCTTCTACGACGAGCTTTAACTTTAACTTACAGGAACTGCATTAATTCTCCTGGCCCTATCAGTTTAACCGGCATTTAGTTTTCTCATGTTCACTTCCTGTTGTTCATGGAGTCGGTGAGCTCACCGCGAAGCTCATGCGAATTACTGCACCCAGTACAAAGTCCGCGATCGCGGCTGTAAATTAGATGTTGTAAGCAATTTTCTCCACAAGTGAATCAAATTCATTTGAGAGAGAGAAAAAAAGGAAAATAATGTCAAAGGTAAGAGTTGGACAGAAAAAAATGCTCTGTTTGCATGTATGTAGATGAAATGTGTGGATAACGAACAGTATTCGAGTTCAAAAGTCCATTAATATGATTAAACATTACAAAATAGGAGCAGAGCAAACGCGGACCTCTAAAACATCAGAGGCACAGGTACTTGGGTCTTGGTTTATAAATATGTATGTACCTTATTGATACTTTTTTTACATATCAATAAGGTACATACATATTTATAAACCAAGACCCAAGTACCTGTGATCAGAGGTGGGATCAGGTGCCATGGAGGAGTGAGCATCCCCTGCCGACCTGTACCCAAGTGTACCCTCCGTAACCCCTGTACACTGTGCTTCAGCTTTGTTTTTATAATTTAGCTTACAAAAGCACTACACAATACCTACTTTCATTTTCAGTAGGAATATATAGTGTACCCTTTTTGTAACCTTTTGTCCATACATTTCATAAGGGTGTACCCTTGGGTACAAAAGTATAACCTAAAAACGCAGGACCAATTTCTTGCAATGTCTAAAACCAGGCCTCTTTTTCCTCAATGCATGCATAAGATCCTGTCACACAACCTTGGAAATGTAAGTTGCATTTACTGTCTGACCAGCAGGGACAGCATGTGTAGGAATCATGCTGTGTCTGTCCATAAACATGATGAACATGTGCTTACTGGTTGATTTCGAACCTTTGCCTTCTATGTGGTGGTGTTCCAGATGTTTCCATACACTAGAATATCTCTTTCCCTCGGGATCATAGTAATGAAGCCAGGTTTCATCTGTCGTTATCATTCTATCCCAAAAACTGTGTAGACCGGATCGGTGTCGCCATAGGTATTCCCGAGAACATGAAATTCTCTTTTGTTTTTCTTCATATTTAAGGATCCTTGGTACCCAGCGTGCACATACCCTCTGCATCCCTAATTTTTCCGAAAGTATTCAGTGAACAGATGATTTACTGATTCCTAGCATGTCTTCCATCTCTCTAACGGTCTGCTGTCTGTCCTGATGAATTGTGTCATTCAGATTTTCAACAATTTTTCACTAATTTCTTTCAGTTGGCCTCTCTTTTCTGTCTTGGTATCATCATATCTATCTGTCAATGAGTACCTCTTGTGCCATTTAAACGCCAAAGCATGAAACACATTTCTGTGTGTTTCTGTTAACTTTAGCTTCTTATGGGTCTTTGTACATGAATGTGTCAATCCCAGCTCTAAGCAGAATTTTATTACTTCCTGATATGCTGCCTCTGACGTTGGCATCGCCATTTCTTTTAAAAATGAACACACAGAACGGTCGCACAAAGCTTCATAAAATCTTCAAAAATTACATAAGACAGAAATTTTGTCGGAAAATAGCAGAACATTTTACACACATTCTTATATAATTATTTTTTCCTTGAAAATTAAGTTTGAAGCAAACTATTCTTTACTATTTTAAATTCTGTATAATTATTTTGTTGTTTCTGACATTTTTGAATATAAGATATCTTCACTTTGTCAATTCAACTCATGCAATATTTCATATTTTTAAAATTAATTTTTATTACAAATTATGTGTTCTTTGATTTATACAAATCTCATTTCTCAGTTATGTCAAATAGCCAAAACACGCCGCTTATCTTTGGAACTTTAGGACAACCCTTGTATAGGAAAAAATCTTTAAAAATCTTCTTCTCAAGAACCACTGGATTAGAAAAAATGAAATTTATATGAAGGCTTTCTGAGTAAGTGTAGATTTTAAATTTTTTTTAATCATGACTCGTTTTAATTGAAATATATAAGAAAAATCTTCTTCTAAAGAATAGCAAGGCCTCTATTATTCATATTTCTATGGAAGCATTCTCAGGTAGTGTAGATTCAGATATGTTCAAATCACGACCCCCTGTGGTACGGAAAGGCCACAATATGTGGTCAGAGTTTTACATAGGAATGAACAGCAGGGCCATCTTGACTCAGCTGAGCATTGTTGTCCATGGGCCTCTTGTTTGTTTTGATTTGAGAAATCAGCATACAGTTTTAATAAATGCAAAGTTACTGTTCTGTGTCTGGTTAAGAGTTCACAGCTCTTTGTTTAGAAATATCTTGTAGATGGCAAGACCGCTATCCCACAATTTCAGAAATAAAATCTGTGCTCCAAAAACAAAGGTTGCCTAGACCTGTTCATTGAACTTTGACTCGTCACTTGAATGTTAAATGAAAATAGCCAAACTATAATAGTTAAGTTAAAGAGTCTCTTTTATTAATGTTTATAGCTGTAACATTCTTTAATATTAGCACGAAAATCAGTGCACATGCATTTATTAGATATAATTACTAGACAGTTATAGTATCATTCAAAGGACGTCTTACTGAGTTGTTCATTTTTTTTTTTAGACAAATGATGATATACCTGCTACATGTAATTCACGAGAGAGAGAATTGAATATTGATTTTGTTACTATTTTTATAGAAATTGAAAAAGAAACCAGTTAAGACTTGGAACTGTGAGGAAGTAAAGGAATGGCTTGTTGGTGAAGGTTTTACCCAGTATTCTAAAACTCTCTGTGATACCCACAAAATAGATGGCCAGGTCCTGCTGTCCTTAACAGAAAATGATCTCAAACAACCCCCACTGCAGCTGTCTGTTCTCGGAGATATCAAACGGTTGATGATCCGTATTAATACTCTTCGTGGTAAGACTCCTGCATCAGAGAACCAACCGTCTTCCTGTCAGGACAATTCGAGTGAAGAAGACGTGTTCACAGGAACTCAGGACTTCATAACTCAAAAAAAGAATGTGCATCTTTCTCAATATTTAGATTCTGAGATCTGGAAAACTGTTCTAAGCTTTATATATGTATTTACTGTATTTTTGATCACTTCCTTTGTAATGGTGATTGTCCACGAACGAGTGCCAGATGTGGAGAAATATCCACCACTACCGGATATTTTTCTGGATAATGTGCCATTCATACCTTGGGCATTTCAAGCTACAGAAATAATTGGTATGGGTTTAGGTGCAACATGGTTCACAATCCTCTTCTTTCATAAACACAGGTGAATTAGTATATAGTATATATGCTTCATGTGTCTACCCGTTATTTTAATTTTTTAACTCGAACAACTTTATGTTTAAATCTGAAACATTACTTTTATCTTTTGTTGTTACTTGTAATTTACTTAACTATGAATGAGCTGAATACTTCAATTATGATTAGTGTCTAAGAGTACATATCAGTACTTTATAGGATAGTTAATATTTAGTATCTAAATTTGATGAATGACAACTAAATGCTTCCTCTTAGATTCATCTTGATGAGAAGAATGTTTTCGTTGCTGGGAACACTTTTCCTACTGCGCAGTGTCTGCATGCTTATTACCTCACTTTCTGTACCAAGTAAACATTTAGCTTGTGAGAAAAAGGTAAGAGCTATTAATACCGAGTGTATCAATACAGTACGTTATGACACAAGTGTTTTCAAGTTTAATATAATTATGCAACTGTCTCTGATTAAGATTTGCACTTGTAATAAGTTATAATAATTGTGATTTTCATCAGCAACCTAATATTGACAACTGTGGACTTGTTTCATGAGCCCTGTGCAGCCCTAGTAATAAATTTAGGTTTGATAATCCAGCAGAGAGCAATAGAGAAATTAGTGAGTGAAAATTTAGGCCAAAATTAAAAAGAAATCTTTGTTTGCCCTTTTCTGACCCATACCTTTAACATGGGTATGTATCACAATGTAGATAAAAATATTTTACTTGTTTCAAACCATTTATTTTGCTTTCAGTTTGTATTTGTAAAGAATATTTCCTCAGTCGCGAAAATTAATCGTCTCGGAGTGATTTCAAACTGACTGAAAAATGACGCAAATAATTGTTGGTTTACAGTAATTACCCAGTGAAAACAGACAAAAAAAATGAATCAAATAAAAATAAATTATAAATGAAAAGAGCATTATATTTTTAGAGGGACTCATTTCTGTGGGTCAGTTAGCTAATGGCAAAAAAACAATATCTTGATTTCGGCCTTAAGACAAAATTTTCTTTCTGCAGTCATATGGAGACATCTGGGCCAAGCTAGGGAGGGCATTTGAGATTTGGTCTGGCCTGGGAATGACCTCTACTGGTGTCAGGACCTGTGGGGACTACATGTTCAGTGGACATACAGTTGTCCTTACCATGCTTAACTTTTTCATCACAGAGTGTAAGTGGCATTTTTGAAAAGTTACTGATACAACTAACAAGTACAGAGATTGAAAGTTTACTGAAGAAAATTCCCCATGAAGTACTTTTCAGAGAAAATATTGTTCAAAAGTAATTAAACAGAGATTAATGTGTACACTTTTTCATATCACAATCTGTATCAACCTGAGGCACCAATAACAGCCCGATCGAGAACTGATATTGGTCGAGGCCTGATACAGCATATAATATGGAAAAGGGGGTATATTATTATATTTATTACATACTAAGTAAGAACATACAGAACACATCTATTTCAATTCAGTTAAATGATCACCAACTACTTTATTATATCAAGTAATACTTTTTAGCTCACCTGAGCCGAAGGCTCAAGTGAGCTTTTCTGATCACATTTTGTCTGTAGTCCGTCTGTCCGTCTGTCTGTCTGTCCGTCTGTAAACTTTTCACATTTTCGACTTCTTCTCAAGAACCACTGGGCCAATTTCAACCAAACTTGCCACAAAGTATCCTTGGGTGAAGGGGATTCAAGTTTGTTCAAATGAAGGGCCACACCCTCTTTCAAGGGGAGATAATAAAGAATTAGTGAAAAATTAATAGCATCTTTTAAAAATCTTCTTCTCAAGAACCACAAAGCCAGGGAAGATGAAACTCAAGTGGAAGCATCCTCAGGTAGTGTAGATTCAAGTTTGTTCAAATCATGACCTCCGGGGGTAGGGCGGGGCCACAGTGGAGGATCAAAGTTTGACATAGAAATATATAGGAAAAACCTTTAAAAATCTTCTTCTCAAAAACATCAAAGCCATGATGAGTCATATTTATATGGAAGCATCCTCAGGTAGTGTAGATTCAAGTTTGTTCAAATCATGACCCCGGGGGTAGGGCGGGGCCACAATGGAGGATCAAAGTTTTACATAGAAATATATAGGAAAAATCTTTAAAAATCTTCTTCTCAATAACAGCAAAACCCTAATTGGTCATATTTATATGAAAGCATCCTCAGGTAGTGTAGATTCAAGTTTGTTCAAATCCTGACCCGGGGTAGGGCGGGGCCACAATGGAGGATCAAAGTTTTATATAGAAATATATAGGAAAAATCTTTAAAAATCTTCTTCTCAGGAACAGCAAAGCCCTGATTGATCATATTTATGTGGCAGTATCCTCAGGTAGTGTAGATTCAAGTTTGTTCAAATCCTGACCCCCCGGGGGTAGGGCGGGGCCACAATGGAGGATCAAAGTTTTACATAGAAATATATAGGAAAAATCTTTAAAAATCTTCTTCTCAGGAACAGCAAAGCCCTGATTGATCATATTTATGTGGAAGTATCCTCAGGTAGTGTAGATTCAAGTTTGTTCAAATCATGACCCCCTGGGTTAGGGTGGGGCCATGATGGAGGATAAAAGTCTGAAATAGAAATGTATAGGAAGATATCTTCTGATGAAGAACTGCAAAGCCATGATTAGTCATTTTGATATGGAAGCATCTTCAGGTAGTGTAGATTCAAGTTTGTTAAAATGATGACCCCAGGGGATAGGGATGGGCTATAATGGGGGATCGAAAATTTTATATAGGAACATATAGGAAAATATCTTCTTCTCAAGAACTGAAAATCATGTTTAGTCATTTTGATATGGAAGCATCCTCAGGTAGTGTAAATTCAATTTTGTTCAAATGATGACCCCTGAGGGTAGGGTGGGGCCCAATAGGGGGATCGAAAGTTTTACATAAGAACATATAGAAAAAAATTTCTTCTCAAGAACAGAAAAGCTATGTTTAGTCATACTGATATGGAAGCATCCTCAGGTAGTGTAGATTCAAGTTTGTTCAAATGATGACCCCTGGGATAGGGAGGAGCCACAATGGGGGATCAAATTTTTACAAAGGAATATATGCGGAAATTTTTTAAAAATCATCTCAAGTACAACAAAGCCATTTGTTATACTGACATGGAAGTATCATCAGGTAGTTTAAAATTTAGGTTATGGGATTGATTGATTGATTGTATGTTGTATGTCTCATTCAAGAATTTTTCACTCATATAGAGATGTCACCATATACCGGTGAAGGGCTTCAAATTTAGACCTTTACTCGGTACTCAGATCCATTGAGCAGTGAGGGTTCTTTATCATGCCAATGCCTACTGTGACAAAGGGCCTCGTTTTTTAAGGTCTCATCTGAAAGACCTGCAACTTTCACTTTAAAGTGCCAAGCGCTTGTTGAAGGATCAGTTGCTAGCTATTTTTTATTGACTTAGTTCAGTCGCGGCCATGATTCAAACACACGACCTTCTGATCATGGAGCGAGCGATCTACCGACTGAGCTACCATGACGGCTAGGTTATGGAAATAAATGGATGAGTCAATTCATATATATCCATTTATTTGATGTTTTTCTCAGTTTGGTCTGTTGTAAACTTAATTTACTCAGGTGGAAAAACAAAGCAAAGTTCCAAAGGGAATAGAGGGGTACTGCAAGATGTGTATAAGATCTGTAATACATGGCTGAGGCATGCATTATGGATTCATAATGTGCTGATACAGCCACTGTGATGTCAGGCATATTGCATTTGCAAAAAACCTGTATTTATTACAGAAGTATGTAATAATTTTTTTAATGTAAATTTTTCATTGGTTGTTTTACAGATACTCCAAGAAAACTGTACTACCTGCATACTTGCAGCTGGATGGCCAACATGTTTGGAGTGTTTCTGATCCTAGCAGCACATGAACACTACTCCATTGATGTATTTGTGGCATTCTACCTCACCTCAAGGCTGTTTTTATATTACCACACACTGGCAAACAATCGGTCACTCATGGAACGTGACAAGGGAAGAAGACGATTTTGGTTCCCGCTCTTTTCATTCTTTGAGTCCAAATGTGATGGAGTGGTTCCAAACGAGTATGAATGGCCAATTCCTAGATTTATAGAAAGTGTAAAGAACACATTTGGCTACATAACTCCTCTGAAACCAAAACAAAGATGACTTAGTGCAGAAATACTCAGGCCTTGTTCATTCTTTCCTATGAAAAGTGTGTGAATTTGTTTTGTGTGTTATCCTTGCAGAGGATATGTAATGATTTATAACTTTGTGTGCCAGTGCTTAAGTGTTCGTATTTAAACAGGTTCATAATGAGAATTTTTGTAAAAGTTGAACTTTTCTCAAAGTTCCTCAAGAATATTTTGTACCAGCTAGTACATAAGATATTGACCATGCTTTCTAAATGTTAATGGATATTGGATGATGTTTTGCTATTAATTGTTTACATTAGCACAAGCATATATATTTTGATGTGCCATATATTTTTTTATCATAAGTGCTTAAGAATTTGTGATACAAAAATTGGTTTTAAATGTGAATCTGAGTCATAGACTTGATTGATATTTTTTTGGACGAGAAAATTGTGTTTACCACAATAGTTTTATGCCAAGTTGGCAAAAATATTTCTTTAGATGATAGAACTCATTTTGTCCTTTGGATTTAGATTGTCCATTTCATGTTTACAATATTTTGCAATTTTTCAAAGATATGGAATTTCCTTATAAATAAACACCCAGAGCTATGCATTGTGAAACAAGGTAATGCGTACCCTGTAACGCATCTAATAAAAAACAGCATACATGTAAGTTTTCCATGTATTACTATTCATTGCAAATTCTAACTATACATATACATGTATGTTAAACACCAAACAGCAAAATCTAAACCTTAGAAATATGACAGTATGTCTTCTCTAAAATCATAAATAATTAATTTGAACATCTATTTTACCCAGTAATTAATATGTTTTGTGGGTGTGTAAATGTATTTTTAAGCTTTAGAGAGTTAGGTTGGGGCAGTGTTGACATTTGTCAATAACAGTTTACTCCATAACATAACCTTGGCTGAATTAAAGTATTGCATTGATGATCGAATCAATTAAGGTAAGGGTGAAAGCCCCAAATCACATATAGGTTAAATACAAGGTTTTACTAAAGGAATACATTGATCTCCACTGAGTAATTATTTTCATGATGTTGATATATTTTTATGCCCCCATTCGCAGAAGGGAGGGAATATTGCTTTGCTGCTGTTGGTCCATGCTGCTGTTGGTCCATTTGTCTGTTGGTCCACCAATAGTTTCCGTTCATTTTCTTCGCAGAGGTTGCACGTACTGAAATGAAATTTGGTATACAGATTTATCATAAGAATATCTAGGTCAAATTCTGTTTTGGGTACGAATGAACAATTTTTGACAGAGTTATGCCCCTTGGGCTTAGAAAAATTCAAATTATATGCAGTTTCCATTCATTATCTCTGCAAAGGTTGCACATACTGAAATGAAATTTAGTGTACAGATTTATCGTAAGAATATCTAGGTCAAGTTCTTTTTGGTATCTTTGAACAATTTTTGACAGAGTTATGCCCCTTGGACTTACAAAAATTCCAATTATTTGCAGTTTCCATTCATATCTCTGCAAAGGTTGAACAAATTAAATACTGATATGTATCATGAGAAATGTGTTTTTGCCAAAGGTGTGATGTAGAAGACTATTTCTGGTCTTTGCATCTCAGATAGTACCAGTAGATGACCCCTATTAATTTTAATTTCAAAAGGTCAATTTCAATTCCATGTACAATGCCCATAATGTATACTGCCCATGATAAAGGCTTGTGCACCCTATAATGTATGTCCAAGGGGGGGGGGGGGGGCATAAGTGTTTCACAAACATATCTTTTTATGCCTCGCCATGAATATGGCCGGGGCATATAGTGTTTGTCATGTCCGTCTTCCGTCCTTCTGTCCTTCCGTCTGTCCTTCCATCACACTTTGCGTTTAGCTCTGTTCAAAGCTCAGTTTCAAAGAAACTATCCAAGATATTTTTATCAAACTTCATATGCTGATAGATATTGATGAGAGCTATGCAACTGCATCAACATTTTTTGACCTTGACCTTTCCTTTGACCTGGACCTCACTTTTCTTAAATTAGTGTTTAGCTCAGTTTTAAAGATACCATTCAAGAAAGTGTAATCAATTTCATATGTTGATACATACTGGTGTAAGCTATTCAACTGCATCAACATTTTTATGTCCCCGGATCGAAAGATCCCAGGGGTATATTGTTTTTGTCCTGTCTGTCTGTTTGTCTGTTTGTTTGTCTGTTTGTCCGTTTGTCTGTTTGTCTGTCTGTCTGTTGTCAACTTTAACCTTGCCCATAACTTTTGATTGGTTGGAGCTATGACTTTCGTATTTCACTTGTGTATTGCTTGTGACAAGACCTTTCTTTGGGTACCATCATATTTGATCTTTTGACCTTGACCTTGGAGTTTGACCCACTTTTGCAAAATGTTATGAGACTTTAACCTTGGCAATAACTTCTGAACAGTTGGACCTTGGGGTTTAAAACTTCACATGTGTATTCTTTGTGACAAGGCCTTCTTTTTGATACCAACCACTTTGACCTTTTGACCTTGGACTTTGACCTACTTTTGAAAAACTTTAACCTTGGCCATAACTTTTGAACAGTTGGTGCTTAGGGTTTCAAGCTTCACATGTGTATTCCTTGTGACAAGACCTTCCTCTGGATATCAACCACTTTGACCCTTTTGACCTTGACCTAGGAGTTTGACCTACTTTTGACAAACTTTAACCTTGGCCATAACTTTTGAATGGTTGGTGCTAGGGCTTTCATACTTCACATATGTAATCCTTGTGACGAGATCTTCCTTTGGATACCAACCACTTTGAACTTGACCTTGACATTTGACTTTTATTTAAAAAACTTTAACCTTCACCATAACTTTTGAACAGTTGTATCTAGGTCTTTCAAATTTCACAGGTGTTTTCCTCGAGACAAGATCTTTCTTTGGGTATCAACATTTTTTATCTTTTGGCCTGGATTTTGACTTGCATTTGAGAAACTTTAACCTTCGACATAAGCTGCAATACGAGGGCATAGTGTTTCACAAACACATCTTGTTTGACCTTGACCTTTCTTTTGACCTTGACCTCACTTTTCTTAAATTAGTGTTTAGCTCAGTTTTAAAGATACCATTCAAGATAGTGTAATCAAACTTCATATGTTGATACATACTGATGTAAGTTATTTAACTGCATCAACATTTTTTGACCTTGACCTTTCTTTTGACCTTGACCTCACTTTTCTTAAATTGTGTTTAGCTCAGTTTTAATTAAACCATTCAAGATATTTTTAACAAACTTCATATGCTGATACATACTGATGAGAGCTATTCAACTGCATCAATATTTTTAACCTTGACCTTTCCTTTGACCTTGACCTCACTTTTCTTAAATAGGTTTTTAGCTCAGTTTTAAAGATACCATTCAAGATAATTTTATCAAACTTCATATGCTGATACATTCTAATGAGAGTTATTCAACTGCATCAACATTTTTGACCTTGACCTTTCCTTTGACCTTTGACCTCACTTTTCTTAAATTAGTGTCAAACTTTATATGCTGATACATACTGATGAGAGCTATTCAACTGCATCAATATTTTTTGACTTTGACCTTTCCTTTGACCTTGACCTCACTTTTCTTAAATTAGTGTTTAGCTCAGTTTTAAAACCATATTTTTATCAAATTTCATATGCTAATACTTACTGATGTAACCTTTTCAACTGCATAAACAATTTTTGACCTTGACCTTTCATTTGACCTTGACCTCACTTTTCTTAAATTTGTGTCAAACTTCATATGCTGATACATACTAATGTAAGCTATTCAACTGCATCAATATTTTTTCACCTTGACCTTTCCTTTGACCTTGATCTCACTTTTCTCAATTTGTGTTAAAACGTTGCATTACTAATATACCCTCGGCGGGGCATTCATGTCCTATGGACATATTTCTAGTTTTTTTGTTTTTTTTGTTTTTTTTTTACAAAATGTCCACTGATAGATATGCACAATTATGGCAGGAAGTTGACTATTTAACTACAGACACTGCTCTTTTTTTGGTTGCTAATGGTGATATTGTATGCATTTATATACCTTGCTGTATTTTTGCTATAAATATTGATATTAACCTATATTTATATATTGTGCTATGCTAAATAAAGCACTGACAAATGGGAAACTGGATTTTTAAAATTTCTAGATAGTTTATATAGTACAGTAATTATATTGCTATAGTAGAAACTGGACATATCTTCAATGCAAGGCTCCACATTTCATTTTATATTTCTGAAACATATAAACTTGCTTCTGTCTGGTGTATGTTAAACTTTAATTGTTTAGTGTGAATATATGTTTGTCATTTTCACACTGGAACTGCACACAAACTTTAAAGGTCCTTTTTTTGAAGTGCTTACATTGCAAGAGATTTTTTTAAGTGTAGGCAACAATTTTTACCTTATTTAGACTTACAAGACTTTACAAGCTATTACAAATATTTGTTTAGATTTTGAATGGTAGAAATTTTTCTTGTATTTGAAGACAATAATATTAGGATAGTCCGCATTGTAAGACTAGATTTCAGAAGATAAAAGGAAAAGGTTGATCATAAGCTTGATTGGCAGTGACATGGATAAGTAAATGTAGCAATTCTGATTGATTTACTTTCATTTTTCAAGGGACTAATAATCATTTGCAAGGGGCTGAATAATATACCTTTATTAGACAAAACTATATTTCCACTGTTTTGCATAGATGTCCAAGGGTGGATCCATTTCAGAGAAGGGGGGTATTTCCTGTCAAAAATTTTAAAGAATTCAAATTTTCATGATAAGCTTAAAAGAAAAGTGGAGTGGATTGCCAAACACAAAAAATCTATTTCAGGGTTTTTTTTTTTAAATAAAGATACAGGGGAGTCCAGCACTTTTTAGCTTACTTGAGCTAGAAGCTCTCTAAAGCTTTTCTTATCAACTTTTGTCTATTCTAAATTGTTCAAATGAAGGGCCAAATCCCCTTCCAAAGGGAGATAATCAAGAAAAAGCAGAAATAGGAGACCAAGTTAGTCATACTTGAAGCATCCCCATGTTGTGTAGAATCAGAGAACCTTAAAGTTAGGTGGGAATGTAAAAATCTTTTAAAAGATTGATGAACAATGTCAGGCCTAAAGTAACTTAGGTGAGCATTGTGACCTATATGCATCGTTCTAAGAAGTCCAAAGTCTTTTTCTTACTTTTCTTCTAAGTGAAACTGAAAATTGTAGGGGGTCTGGACCCTCTACCCCAATCCATATTTTTATTCTGGAAACAGCATCTACTTTAGTCATTTGATGTATGTCTTCCCAAAGATCTTTTAATATATTGGTGACTTCAAAAAAAAAAAAATAAAAAAAAATGAAGTATCCACTTTAAATTTTGGGGGAAATTTTATTATTCTCTCATAGTGAGATGAAAGTTTAATGTGCTTTTTGCAGTTTTATGAATTTCAAGTAAATTTGACATCCATATTAGACTTCCTTAAGAAGTGAGAGGGGGGGGGGGCATACACCTGAAAGTTAAAGATGTTGCCCTTCTAACATTTGTTCAATAAATGTCTACGAGAATGAAAACATGATTATGAAGTCAAACAAACGTGAAAAATATTTTTGTTCATCTACTCATCCCAAAACCAAACAAAACTTTTGTGCAAAATTAAACAACTTACGCAAATTTATTAAATGTCCGTCGAGAACTTTGGAGGACGATTGAGAGAGGGAGAGAGATTCATAACGAAATCCAGGTCTATCTAGTGCATGAATTCAAATTAATTTTTCGTGAATATACGACTAGTATCATGCTTAATAGTTTTTACATTCATTTAAATCCAATTAATTCTCGCATAAAAATACATCATAGTTGTGGTAAAATTTGGTTTACCTGGTGAACACAGGACGGGCAATATTCTACAGGGGAAAAAAGCATTCAAACTTGTTTACTATTGCTATGATCATTTATTGATCAAAAGTGATCAATTTTGTTGTGTATTATGAAATATTTTAGGAGCTTTAGGTCTTATTTGCACAAGACGCATCTAAGATCGTGATTGCTAGAAGAATGGATTCGTTTCGTAAGAATTAACTGCGGTGGATACACCCATGGTCTATTTAAAGGACTGCTATTTAAGACGAATTCGCAAAGCCCAATAAGGGTGCCGACCAAGTCACACGTGAGAATCAGGGAACCGTGAATTTTCTGTCAACCTTCTAGCTCAATAACCAAAATCAAAAATCCACGTGGGGTGTGGCACCGCTGCTGTTCAGAAGAGGAGCAAGTACGTTTCGGACCTCGGGAAGATTTGGGGTCCAGCGCTGCAGTCGCAGTTTGAGGGGGGTCCGATAGTGACGATCTCTTGTAGATTAATTAATTTAGTGGTTATGATCCTCTGAGAAGAGTGACTTATAAACACGATGGAATTGGGGCAGTTTTATAGTTTTCTATGGATTTTAATATTGGTTACATTGACAGCATCCCAGGTGAGTGTTACCTGAAAAATCAATCATGGATATTGATGATCGCAATCATTTGCAAATACACACGGCAAACGAGAAGGTGTTTAGTACGAATGCTGTGTAGATTAATCAAAAGTTCATATATAATTAATGCATACATTTGTCTTCACGCACTGTTGATATTTTAGCAGTCAGTAGTTAAAATAGAAGCGTCATCCGTTAATATAAAACCTTTCATTTCATCTATTAAGTGACAATGTCCACTGTATTTCATCTTCACATTTTATTTTGGGTAAAAAGGTCATGACTGTTGGTTCATTGTAATTTCTCAGGAATTTAAAAGCCAAACATTTGAATATGAATAGAAGAGCATTGGTTTGGAACACTATTTTCGGGGCGCTGTCTTGTTCCTGTGCTTTGTTGGGTGCGGTTTCACTCAAAAATTCTGTAAAATTCGAGATGAATTTCCAAGAAACAATCTGAGAGGAAGAATAATGAACAAGATTGTAACAATAAAGCTGGCATAAAATAGAAAAAAAATGTTGAAAAATAAACAAAATGAATTATTTACTAAGAAAATTTACCCCAATAGTTTATATGAAGTGAGAAACATTTAAATAATTCATTAGATAAATTTAAATTCAATGAAAATTAGTAAAGACTGAGGATGGAGGGGTGTTAGAAAAAACTAAATTTATCATGTTGATTTAAAAAAAATTATTAACTTCTACAATTTATTTGTCAACACATGTTTAGTTATGTTAGAGATTTCTCCAAGGTAGGATTGCCAGATTAACCCTTGCTACAAGGAAATAAAAAGCACATAATTGGTTAAATCACAATACAGGGTCGGCTGTTTTTTTTCAATAAAACTTGAACAATTGCCCGTTTTATTTCCTAAATTTGTAAAAATCTGAATGAAAAGTCGCAATTTAAATTGTGTTGGTTCGGAATGTACGTTTTAATATCGAACAAGGATCAGTATTGAATACTAAGATTAAAAATATTTTATGGTAAAGTGGAGGGCTTTATGAAACACAAGTTTTTTTTCAGTCCTGACTCATTTACATGCATGGGTTTACTTTATGTTTTCTCTATACACCTGGCTGAGTCTTGTTTATCAATAAACGTAAAATAATTTTTTTCTTTTAATCAGAAGTATGATATTTAGTTTATATGTTATCACTAGTAGGAGCTTGGGTTTAAGATATAGACACATTTTACATACATTTGAATTCACTCTGAAGACTTCAAAGAGTTTAAAATAGCTTGCAGGTTGACATTTGCATATAAACTTCTTTTTACCAATTTATAAAGTATGATGCAGATGGGGAGGGGGTTGTTCTAAATATTATATTAATATAGACACAATCTAATTAAAAGATCTTTACACCCTTTTGTTATATGTCATTATACAGGGTAAAAGATCTAATTTTAACTAGATTGATCAAGATATTAATGGTTATATATTTGAATTTAATTGCAATGACTATATGTTAATATTACTATATGGATATTTTTAATTATAAATGCACCTATAGATGAAAACATGAATGAATATATCAAATTTTTTAAGTTTTTAAATGTAATTTCAGTAATAATTAAATAATTATACAATATTGCTTGCATAAGTTTTTTCAATGTTGTGTAAAAATACTGCTGAGTTTATCCAACCATGCAAGAAAAGTTCATTGTACGGAAAATTTTCCATCAAAAAGAGACTCGTACACACCCAGGCGCAAATTATTTCATGCATCAGGTTACAAAACCAACGAGTCTTCTAGACATGCAATTTCCAACAATTAATGTTTTCCTATTTTATGTTGCTATAGTTACACAATTATGAACCCAAAACTTTCAGAAGTTAAAAAATTATGATTATCTGTTTTGTATTGAATATATTTACTTAATATTCATGTCTTAATTTTTTTTATAGGGTACAACAATAACACACGTCTGTCCTGATGGTAAGTTCAGGTTACTGTATTTCTGTTTAAGGTAGCATGTCAAAAGAAACTTTTATTGAGTGATGATTGATTGCTGTATGGAACAGCTTTGATTATTGCTTCATATGACAATTTCCGTATTTTTCAAGCCAAACTTATTTTTGACTATTCCTCACTTTATTTCCCATTTAAATTCCAATTAAACTTGTATTAAATAACTTGCTTTCATGTCACAATACAATACCTGCAATAAGTACAATACTGCAATACCTGCAAAAAGAAGTAAGAAATAAACTACTGTTAATAAAGCTTATTTGTGATATTCTTTTTTGTACATTGTCATCACGAATGGAATTTTTTTCTAAATTGAAAGCCACAGTGAAGGTACATAAATTTTATAATAGAGTACTGGTAAATACCTTTAGTCTGCAAGGTATAATGAGGTTAATGTACAGGCAGTTTTTTCTACCTTTAAAAGAAAAATGCAGTTTATTCAATACTAACAATACATTTGCATGTCTTGTCAAATGGAGGCTTCTTTCAATAAATGTATTATGAGGTTTACAAAAGCAAAAGTTTTTATATTGCATGATTTAAAAAAAACCAAAATATTAGTCGATCCATATAGTATGCACTGCAGCTTTAGTATTTATGTGAATGATCTGAATTTTGAATCTTACACCTTTTGTATTTCTTATTTTTAGGCTGGGTTTTATCTAACATAATGTGCTACAAATTATATGGAACGTCATCTGTAACAAAATCAACGTGGGACACTGCCTATCGGGAGTGCAAGGGGTAAGTCATGGCTGCTACATCACCATAAACATATACAGGCACATTGTAAATTGGCCAGTATCATTGGTCTCAATAAAATTACTTACTGTTATCAATAAAGTAGTTAGTGATTCATTTTCAGAAATGATTAATCTTGTCTTGCTTCAGTCATTACTTAAATTTTAAATAATCAGGATTTGTAACATAAAAAATGAATAGAAAGTCAACTAGTGAACAACACTGCATTAATGAAACTGTTTTAAGTTCTAATTGGCTCTTCAGCTGACATCTATGTCATATGCTCCATTAGCATCTTATATTTAGTTAAGCTTCCTAGTAATTCTACTCTGTTTAGGTGTCTTTATTTAAACATATTGTATCTGATGTATCTATGTGAGTACAGGATATGTAATTCAACACCATCCAAAACATTCAAGTGGTCAGATTTCATTTAAGTTTTATTGTTAAGATTCATGACACCTGTAAAAAAGATTATTTTATACCTGTATAAATGAAATACACACCTAGATCATGTTAAAAATCACTTAACTCTGAGTTTTGAAGGGCACATGTTTTTTAAGTTGCAAATATAGAATAATTACTAATACCAAAATAAAAAATATATCATGTATTTTATGCATATATATGTACATTTAACATTTGGTAATTACTTTACTTTTGATATTAGGTAATTAATATGAAGGGAATACCAGTAATAAATTGTGTATCTTATTACAATGCACATGCTCAGAATAAGTTTGATGTTATATATGTACATAAAGGTAAAATTTCTTCACCCTTTATCATTTTTTTACAGTAATGGAGCTGAGTTAGTTACTATTGATGATTATTTCACCAATCTGAATGTCGGCGACTTTGCTTCACAGAGGAATGTCAATATGTTTTGGACGGGTAAGTAGAAACAGTCTGGGTAAACCACTCTATGTTAACCAAGCACATAAAGTTCTACACCCGAGGCTCTGCTATACACCCGAATGTTTTGTGAAAAATCACTCTCGCTTTTAATGGAAGCGTCTACTAATTCTATCGATTAATGGGTGAGGTGACTGGAAGATTTCAGTAAATAAAAAACTGCCTGGGGTGTTAGTGTTTCTTTCCTTATGTCAATGGCCTTGTGTCAAAAAAAAAAAAATCATTGATTATTAAGTTACCAAATAAACTGAACTCTCTAAAATGATCTTTTTTATTTTCAAAAAAGCTTGAACTAATACTCAAGCAGTGGGCTGTAACTTGCCTGCACAGCACTAAATTCATTTAAGAAAAACAATTAAGTGCCTTTATTAATATATAATAATTAATGGAATAAGTACTAACAGATATAATTTAATAAAAGATGTATTTCATATTTGCATAGATATTTCTAAATCTGCTTGAATTTGCTGTTTATTTTTTTTTTTTAATCACACATGGCATTTTATGGGCCATATTTGCATCAACAGTTCTGTGAAGCTGTTGCATTAATCTTTTTTCATTGCTTTCATTTAAACTTGCATTTTTAATGAAAGTTTACACCCACTATATTCATATACTTTGAGATCAAATGATTTTAAACACAAGAAAAATAAGGCATCTGGTAAAACAAGAAATCCTAGAAGATTGATTATTCTTGTATTCAGTGAGTTATATAATCTTTGATTGATTGACTTCTAACAGAAAAAATATTTACTGTAGGTATAAAACAGATTTTTTAACAAAGTACTTTCCTCTTGAAGCATGAAACAATATACTGAGGCCTTAGGTTAAAATGTTTGGCAATTAAGTAAAACCTGGAACAGTTATTCCTGTATTTTGATCTTTTAATGGCTTTTGTCTGCAGATTTTGAAATATAGGATGTTGATCAAGCCATTGAAACCATTGAGTAAGTTAAGTTGGAAGTGTAAAGTCTAGGTGAAGGTTGATTTGATGTTTATTTTGAAGGGGGGGGGGGGGAGACGTTAAAAAGTACTTGATCCTCTTCATACACTTCTCAAAAATTGTACAAAATGCTGGGAGGATACTTTGAGCAATTTAATATAACCAAATTAATTTTTTATCCTTTACCTTTGCATAACGACTTCTCTGACACATTTGAGAAATATGTTTCCTGTTTAGGACAGATTTTTATCGTTTATGAAAATATGTGTATTTGTCATCAGATGCTTTAAAGAATATCTTGTGTACCAAACTGTTTTATAAGATGCCTATCTTTACTTAGTGTTTTTATATCAAAGATGTGTATCTTCTTTATCAGGGATATTAAAAATGCAAGCTGTTTTTTGTGTTGCAAGATATGTTTATTATTTGGCCATTTCTTCAATAATTAGAGAAAAAAATCTGAAATATTCTGGTATGCGTATTCATGAAAAAACTGTAATTTGAATGAAACAATCAAATTTAGAATATTTTTTTTTCAAAGGAATGAGTGAGAAGGGTGTGAATACTCAGAATGGTATTGAAACAACATGGAACATGCACACAGCGGCATCCATTTACCAAGGGCGATGGTCGGTCAGAAATCCAGATACTAGTTATGGAGACTGTGTATATGTAGAGAAAAAGGATGGAAAATATCAGTGGACTATTGGAAACTGTCGGATGAAGATGGCATTTGTGTGTCAGAGAACTCCCTGTTTACCACGTGAGTTTGCTATTTTTTTTTTTCCTCAATAATATCTGATAGTTCTAACTAGATGTCATACTGACTTTCAAGAAGTCATTATCTTCCGAATCATGCAAATGAACTATAGTTACTCTCCCATTCCTAACAATAAAAAAATTCCATTCTTGTATATTCAAATATTCAAGTCAGGTATCTGTTTAAAGAAACTAGGAGTCTTTAATTTCATGTTGAGTCTGTCATTAAAATATTTCCTTTTATGTATGCACTTTTATCAAGAATGATGCTGTAAAATGCTCTGTTGACTTATGTTAATGGAGTATTTCAGACTGACACATAGAGATAATTCTTCTTTTGCAGTGTTTAAATGTATAAATTTGATTGATTTCTGAGATGTATTTTTGTTAAAAACTGCATTTCAATGAGCATTGTGTAATGTTGTATTGCAGGATTAGATAGTACACATATCTGATAAAGAACAGTTAGATTGTGAACCTTTGTAATGGTTTCTTTGTAAATGATCTATAGTAATAAACAGGGTTTCGTGAGAGAGAGAGAGAGAGAGAGAATTTAGAACTTCCTCATGGAAATTTCCAAAAATAAGTCATAAATCTCAGCTTTATCCCATTGTTGTATCAAATAAAAATTATTTTAAGCAAAATATACCTTTCCTAGCTTTTATTGTTTATTTTGGTATATTATAGTTCAGTTCCAGCTTCTATTCAATACATGTAAATTAAGCATTTGTTTTGTGATTATACAGAGAGCTTTCACTGTGACAATGGACGGTGTGTTAACAATAATTGGCGCTGTGATGGAGTTGACGATTGTGGGGATTTCTCGGATGAAGTCAACTGCCCGAGTAGATGTAGTTTTATGTACAACCAGGCCTTGGGTCGAATCCAATCCCCAAATTATCCTCAAAACTATCGTGCTTCCCAAGTATGCACTTGGACAATTATTGGGCCAGAGGGTTCTAATATTTTTCTAGAGGTAAGAACACCTTTTTGTAAAGTTCAACAACCTTTGCCTTCAGTTTACCGGTAGTTTGAAATTTGAGTTGATTTCGAACATGTGATCAAATTGGGGGTAGAAAATTGAAGCCTGTGGGTTACAACAATACATTGATGAAAATAAGAGTTGGGGGTCCATATTTTTTATTGTCTCAAACCAAAGCTTGTATGTGGATACACAGTAATGATTATAAAATATGCTAGTGCCTGTCAAATGTTCAGTGAGTAATAGTAAATAACTTGGAATTTGCACATTCACATTTATAATTGGCTGTACAAATGCATGTCAACTTGTGTTTTTTGATTATTTGTGACAAGTATAAATGCTGGTAGACCAATTCTTTCCCTTTAGTCCATTGAAGGCCTTCATCAGCTCAGCTAATTGTATGGAATTTGGCAAGAGAATTTAAAAGTCAAAAGGTTCATTTACTACAATTTTGAAGATATTATATTAATTTTTAAAGACTCTACAAAAAGGGGGTATTTAAAGTGTACATGAATGTGAAAAAAAAAATCATTATTCCCTTTATGTCTTTCAGATTTTTCAATCAATTAATTACCATCATTACAATTTTTAATCATTTTATCTGTTGGCATTTGCCAGCCATAGATGTTACTCAAATTTTACTAGGAACATAAATTTTTAGTCTATAAAAGGGAATTTAGTAAATATTTTGATTAAATGTATTGAAAGAATATTTTGCAAATTAATTTCCAATAAAATTTTCTCCAGGTAATGTCAAGACTTACCTTTTGTTTGCAATTAAAATTTTGACTCTGCATTATAAAAGGATTATAAGAAGTCTATAGGCTCCCTGCAAGCACCTGTACTAAATTTTGACATTTAATCTCTATCAAAGTTTTCATCATTCAATACTGAGAAAGACACAGACATCGTGGAAATCCTGATTGGTGGCCGGACAGAATCTACAGCCCAGTCCATTGCCCGCTTGTCTGGGCAGCCCAGCCTCCCCACAATCCGATACAGGAGCCACAATAATTACATGATCATCCGCTTCTCCACTGACTCTGCAACAGAGAAAATGGGCTTTGCTGCAAACTTCAGTAGCTGTGAGGAATATTTACTATTTGTGTTAAAAGACTTTCAGCACTTCTCTTCTTAGTTTTTTTTTTATTTGATTTAGACTACTATAATAGAACTTGACATGGACAACTAGATAAAGTGTTTTTTTTCACATTGCTTAACTAATTTGAGGAAAAGAATACATGTAGATGCTATTTCCAAAAAAACAAAAAACAAAACAAAACAAAAAAAAAAACAAATTAAAAAGATTGGAAATGGAGAAAATCTTTTACTGGTAAAATATTTCAAAATGCTAATATTCTTTTAGTTTTTATCTGATATCAATGAAACTTTGAGCACAAGTAAACCACAATTTGGTAACTTTAAGTTCCCCATTTATCATATGTATGGTACTTATTTTACCCTAATTTTTGTGTAATGAAAATGTCAAGGATGTTTGATTTGTAGCACAAGATGGCTATCAAGAGCAAACATATCTGACAGCCAGAAATACAGATACCAGACTGGAGCCTCCACTTTTTAGTTCTCATGGAAGCAATGCTTACCTTGGAAATCAAGACTATGTATGGATAATCACAGCTGAAGAGCACAGGAAAATTATTACTCTTGAGGTAATTATGCATTGAACAGTGCATATTATAGAAATCATGAATTCTCCTTGAAGAGTAAAATAGAGTTTTTGATTTTAACCAATTAACAGTAAAAATCAAAATATATACCTAACTGTCTTATCACTTGTTAAATTTTAGAGAATGAAAATAGATCTGATGGGTAATGATGTAATAGAAATCCGTGATGGGGATTCAGGAAGTGCCCCTCTTCTTGAGAAATACACAGCCAGTAACAATGATAATGTGGCCCTCCCTTTGATGCAGTCTCAGCCAATCAAAGGGAAAAGATTTGTATTCTCCACCAGTCATGTGATGTACATCATTTTTAGGACAGGCAGCTCAACCTCAGGGACTGGTTTCTCATTTCACTATAAACAGGGTATATATGTATATGCATCACTGTACTTCTTTAACATATATACGTATGAATAATTGTTTCTGCACAGAGTTTAATACATTTCTGAATTATTTTATTTTCACTGAAACACATTGTAAACATTGAGAAGTAAAAGAATTTTATTTTAAAAAACTTCAGTTTTTAGTTCCTAAATGAAAAATAACCCATTTGCTCATTAAACAAAGCATAGTAAATTCATTCCTTTAATTAAAATGTTGAACACTGACTGATTATTACAGGATGTAATGCAAGGTACACTGCTGATGCAGGGGAGATCACTAGTCCTGGATTTCCCAATGTTAACTATGCCAATTTCCAGACATGTACTTGGACCATAGATATACCCAGTGGTAAAGGGGTTACACTCTTGTTGGATAGAAACCTTGCATATGAAATTGAAGACAATGTCGATTTTCTACAGGTATCATAGTTTGTCAGGAAGTTCATGTTTCCTTGTCATTTCTACAAGAGAGAAAAATGTCTTTTCATGCTATTTTTTTTTTTTACAAGTATAATAATTTTCAAATGACCTCATGGGAACTAACTTAAAGTTTTATTCAATAAATGCCATAAGTGGGTGTTTATATAAAGTTAGCTGCAATAATGTAGCCCTCTCAGATTTTCTTTTCTTCTAAAGAAAAAAAAGAGAAAAAATTGGAGAGGGCTACATTATTGCAGCTAATGTAAAGTGTCCATCATCAATTATGCATTTGTCTGCAAACATTTTATAATACTACTAAGAAATGTCAGTTGGAGTTGCTAGTCAGTTTTCTTGCAGTATGTTTGTTTATTATTTTGAAATGATACAACTTTTCAAAGCAAATCAACCTCTAAAGAGAAAAGTTTTTTAATGTCAACTTTAAGTAGCATTACATCATAAGACTTCAGGTTCTGAGGGACACACGGGTGTGGTACATGTATATGTGGACATATTCTTTTCTTTTTTAGGGATTGATTAACAAAGAAACAAAACCTATGGTGTCTAAATGCCAATTTTAAATAGAACATGCTTTGTTACTTTAACAAGATTTACACAAATACCACTGATGAAACTGGGGTAGCAGCCCATGGGACAACTAAAGGATTTACAACTACTACATTAGGCAATGCCCAGTCATTTCACAGCTCTAATGGAAAGATGTTTATCAAATTTACATCTACTGCCATTATTAACAAAAAAGGATTTCGTTTTCTGTATTCCATAGGTAGGAACAAAGTCAAAATATACACTGATCGAATGTTGACTTTTGTACATTATTTAAGATTTTTCTTCCACTGGGAAGGAAGTGGAAAAAAAACAGATAATTATACCCCCGCTCCGAAGGAGAGGGGGGTATACTGTTTTACCCTTGTGTGTCTGTCTGTCTGTCTGTCTGTCTGTCCGTAACAAACTTTGGTCGCAGTTTTCTCAGCAACTACTCATCAGAGGTACTTGAAATTTTAACACACTCTTTGTTTAGGCATGCCATATGGTGGGATTCATTTTTGTACGAATTCGATGTCAACTTCCTGTTTATCCGTGCGTTTGTCCGTACCATACATAAAAAAAATTTGGTCGTAGTCTTCTCAGCAACTACTCATCGCAGATGCTTGAAATTTTAGCACAATCTTTGTTTAGGCATGCCATATGGTGGGATTCATTTTTGTACGAATCCGATGTCAACTTCCTGTTTATCCGTGCGTCTGTCCGTATCATACATAACAAATTTTGGTCGTAGTTTTCTCAGCAACTACTCATTGCAGATGCTTGAAATTTTAGCACAATCTTTGTTTAGGCATGCCATATAATAGGATTCATTTTTGGAACAAATCCGATGTCAACTTCCTGTTAATCCGTGCGTCTGTCTGTACCATACATAATAAATTTTGGTCGTAGTTTTCTCAGCAACTACTCATCGCAGATGTTTGAAATTTTTTTCTTTGTTTAGGCATGCCATATGTTGGGATTCAGTTTTTACAAATCCGATGTCAATTTCCTGATTATCACTGTGTTTGTCCATAACTGAACTTGTGTATTCACATCAGAGCGGGGGTATTATTAGTGAGCATTGGCTCACAGACTTCTTGTTTTTTTTAAGTTGAACATTCTTCATAAACTTTGTAAATTTTTATCACATTTAACTTAAAAATTGATCTATTCATTTCTTCAGTGAAAATTGAATTTGTTTTTAGATTGTCCTGATGCTGGTTTAACGACTGCGTCTGTGTTGAACCCCTCTCAGACTCCAGAACAAATCAGACAGTTTGAGAATGAGTTCACAGTTAGCTGCCAAAGTGGATATAATTTTCGTTCAGATGAATTAAATCTATCCACTGCCAAAATGAAGTGCATGTATGGGGGAAAGTGGTTGGTTGAGCAGAAAACTCGAACTATTCCAAAGTGTCAACGTAAGCATGAAACATTTGGAGGGAATTAAAAAGTGTCAAAATTTCATATGAAGTCTCACAAGTAACTCAGATGTCCTATTGTATATATTGTATGTGTGTAAATTTTCAATCAGTTTTTAGCTCACCTGAGCTGAAAGCTCAAGTGAGCTTTTCTGATCACATTTTGTCTGTCGTCCATCTGTCTAGCTGTCTGTCTATCCATCTGTAAACTTTTAACATTTTCGACTTATTCACAAGAACCACTGGGCCAATTTCAACCAAAGCCACAAAGTATTCTTGGGTAAAGGGGATTCAAGTTTGTTCAAATGAAGGGCCACACCTTTTTCCAAGGGGAGATAATTACAAATTATTGAAAAATTAATGGCATCTCATAACAAAAATTAATTAATAGCAACCTCAGGTAGTGTAGATTCAAATTTGTTCAATTTATGACCCCCTGGGGTAGGGTGGGGCGAGGATGATCAAAGATTTACATAGGAATACATAGGAAAAATCTTTAAAAATCTTCTTCTCCAGAACAGCAAAGCCATGATGGTCATTTTTATGTGGAAGCATCCTCAGGTAGTGTAGATTCAAGTTTGTTCAAATCATGACCCCCAGGAGTAGGGTGGGGCCACAATGGATGATCAAAGATTTACATAAGAATACATAGGAAAAATCTTTAAAATCTTCTTTTCAAGAACCACTAAGCCATGATTGGTCATACATGTATTTTTATGGAAGCAAATTCAGGTAGTGTAGATTCAAGTTTGTTCAAATCATGACCTCTGGGGGTAAGATGGGGTAACAATGGATAATCAAAATTTTACGTAGGAATGCATAGGAAAAACTTTCTTCTACAGAACCACTGGGCCATGAAAGATGAAACCTGTGGAAACATCCTCAGGTTGTGTAGTTTCAAATTTGTTGAAATCATTACCCCTGGGGATAGGGTGGGGCCACAATGAATCATCAAAGTTTTCCATAGGAATACATAGGAAAAATCTTTAAAAATCTTCTTCTCCAGAACAACAAAGCCATGATTGGTCATATTTATATGGAAGCATCCTCAGGTAGTGTAAATTCAAGTTCAAATTATGACCCCTGGTGGTAGGGTGGGCGACAATAGAAGATAAAACTTGTAGGAAAAAAATCTTTTTAAAAACTTCTAAAGGCATGATTTCTCAAAGAAATATGGTAGCATCCTCAGTGTAGATTCAAGTTTGTTCAAATCATGCTCCCTTCCTCTTAGGGATAGATTGATACCACTCATAAATACTGAACTCCTAGCCAAAGTGCTTAGGTGAGCAATGTGGCCCATTTGCCTCTTGTTAATTTTTCATTCAAAACCTACCAGCCAGTTTTTGTCACCCACAAAACGTTCATGGGTAAATGGTGTGTGATGTCCTTGAGTATTTAGATAAAATAGCAAGGTCACAACAAGTTTCTTTTTAAAAAGTGTTTTTCTGTGTTTTTTCTTTCTCCTTAGCCAAGTCTAGATCATCCTTCACCCAGAGTGCTCTTGGGGTAAAGGAGGATTTATTAAGTGTTTTTGGTCAGTTATTACATTGAAGGTCAAGGAAAAAAGGGGTCAGTAGAACTCTTGTCCTGGAGTATATTTTCTTGTTCTTAGATCCATTCTGGCTAATACATCACCTAGCAAGGGTCCTTATTTGGGAAAGGGTATGTAGTAACCTAGAACCCATATACAGTCAAACCTCATTATCTCGAACTAGATGGGACAGAGGAAAAACTTTGAGATATCTGAGGATTCAAGATATTGAGGGTAGAATACTTATAAGAATAAGTGATTAGGGACTCCCAAATCACTTTGATATATCCATGGTAATTGAGATATTGGTGTTTAGGATATTGAAGTTCAACTGTATGTGGGTCAAGGTTGAGGCAGGCCTTTTTTTTAAAATCTTGACCCCAGGGGCTAGGATGGGGTCATGAATTTTCACAGTAATCAGAATTTCCACAATCATTATTACTACAAGGCTACATTTCGTAAATTGACATACATAATTTCTCTTCTTACTATAAATGAAAACTGATTTTGAATTCAGTGGTCACAAGAAGGGGTTTTATCTACCCAAACATTTATCAGGAAGAGAAGGGAGTCCAAGGTGAGCCTTGTCATCCACGGGCCTCTTGTTTTATTTTTAGCTGAATATTGTGGAGAACCTGTTGCTGTTGACAATGGTTACATCTCACAATCCAATGGTGTTGTTTATGGTTCCTATGTGACCTTCACCTGTTTCCCAGGATTCACTCTGGGTGGTTCAGCCAACATCACATGTCAAGCTGGTGGAACATGGTCAGAAAAGCCAACTTGTAGCTGTAAGTTTTGTATGATTATTAAAGGAAAAAATAAAGAGGAAACCTGCATATTTTACCAAATGAGATTCAACACCCAATTTAAAAAAAAAAAGCAAAGCCTTTAAGTAAATACTTAATGATACTTAATTTAAATGCAACTCAGTCTCCTCTCAAATTAGCAAGTGATTTAAAAGGATTTTATTCTGCTATCTCTTCACATACATTTAAATAGACATTTAAATACTGATGACAATTTGTTTTTATGTACAGCTGCAAGTTGCCCAACACCTGCAGTTATAAACAATGGTCAGCGCTCAAGCAGTGATACCCAGTATGCAGCCGTTGTTAATTATACCTGTGATCCTGGGTACCAGATAATGGGGGCACCAATCTTATTCTGTCAGTCCACAGGCCAGTGGACAGCATCAGAGCCACAGTGTATAAGTATGATTTGTTTTTTTTTCCTTGCATATATTTTGATATTACCGTATTAGGTTTTATCTTTGTTTTGAAACAGGACTTAGTTGAAATAGCCTTTAATGTTTCATCAATAACCAATGTTTATTATGTCTTTGGATGCAGTTGAGGTGGATTAAGTTAAGGTGAACTTGAATTAGTGAAGTTAGTTCACCCATTTCTTGATAAAAAGCTATCTGACATTTTCCATGACTGATTCACAATTTTAAATTCTGACAAAAGTTGTAGGGATATTGAAATATGATTTTTTTTATACCTGCAGAAATCAAATGTCCCATTCCCAATATACCAAATGGCCAAGTGTCCTCTCAGACCCTGCCCGATTATCAGGAGACATTAACTGTCTCCTGTAATACTGGGTACAAAGTGAATGGATCTGCCACCATTACTTGTCAAGATGACAGAAGCTTTGGAACACTGCCAACCTGTATCAGTAAGTCTGAACTTGTATCAGTAGGTCAGTCTGTATCAGTAGGTCAATCTATATCAGTTGTTTTATATCAGCTGTAAGTTTTAGTAAGTCAGTTTTTATCAGTAAGTCAAATTGTATTAGTAAGTCTAAGTAAGACTTATAAAGTCAGCAGTATCATTGAATAAGTCAACCTGTATCAGTACGACAATCTGTTATCAGTAAGTCAGTCTGTATCAGTACATCAGCCTGTATCTATCAGTTAATCTGTTATTAGTAAGTTGATCTGTACCAGTAAGTCAACTGTATCCATCAGTTAATCTGTTATTAGTAAGTTGATCTGTACCAGTAAGTCAATCTGTATCAGTAGATCAGTCTCCAGTGGTCATTTTGGTGGGCTTGTATTTTGATTCATCAGCACATTGCAACTAACATAAAAACAAATTATTAAAAATCAAATCATAGGAGGATTTTTTTTTTTACATGGAATTAAATTACTTATATTAAACCAATATTAATTCACTTAATGGTGAACAAGAATGGATGAAGGTGAACACAGTAATGCCATAGCAAGAGATGATTCTTGTCATTAGGGGCAAGTTGTGTTTGATATTCTTCTAGGAAATCCTAATATACATGTATTATCTCTTGATGTGTCCTGTATTTTCAGCATTTAAAAGAATATGTCATGTCTTGTAGATAACAATGAATGTGAAACAAGTAATGGAGGATGTGCACAGAACTGTACAGACACTGAGGGGTCATACTATTGTACCTGTAGAGAGGGCTACACACTTAATGCTGACCAGAGACAGTGTGATGGTACGTAACACACTCAGACTTGTATTACTACATAAAAACATTCTTTATAGGGCAAACCATTGCATGAAGATGATGAAGTAAACATTGTTTTCTTGTAATTTTGAAATGGCTCTTGGACTTGATATTGAATGATTTTGATTTTATTGAATTTTTATAATTGTACATGAATTGATGAGGCATTTTTTTTCTCTCTTTGTAGATGTTGATGAATGTTTGGTAAATAATGGAGGCTGTTCTCAAGTCTGTAATAACTCTCCCGGCTCCTATAGCTGTTCATGCAACATGACAGGATATGTCCTCTTTGATGTGAATGGCAGATCTGGGTATACCATACAGTCACCTGATACCGGCTCCAGGTCTGGGGATGTGTATCATTTAGGACATACCTGTGTCCGTGAGTACCTGTCTTTACTGTAAAATGTAAACTAGGACGTACCTGTGTCCGTGAGTACCTGTCTTTACTGTAAAATGTAAACTAGGACATACCTGTGTCCGTGAGTACCTGTCTTTACTGTAAAACATAAACTGAGATTCTTAATTTCAGGTCAGCTAGTGTTTAAAACTACCTTTTATGACATTTTGAAAATTCTAGTGTCTAATTGTGTGGACAAAAGTTTCTACAAAATATTTTCAATAGATTTACTGCATGAATACTGAATATTTGAAATTTAAATTATGGATACTTATGACCCTGTACATGTAAATCCATTTAGAGAAACTTATTTTTTTAAGTTCAGGCATGCCTTATGTTTTCTTTTGATATCCTGAATTTAAAATGTAAATTTTTTTGGAAATAAATCCACTTGTAGGGCTTAAAAAATAGATCTTGACTAATTTCACATCTATTGCCATGGAAAACAATTCTTTAAAAAAATTACTTTTGTTTGTAGGAAGAAATTGCTCAGAACCTGCTGTGGTCAATAATGCCATGCTGATGACTAAGCGTGCTATGCATAGATACATGGACAAGATCTCCTACATGTGTGACCTAGGTTATGTAAAGACTGCTGGGGAAGAAATGTTCACCTGTGGAGCAAATGGGGAATGGACCCCCTCTCAGACAACATCTTTATTACAATGTTCAGGTCTGTCAATTTCTAAATACAGCTTAACACTGGTATCTTGAACATCAATATCTTGAAAGCCATAGATATGTTAAAGTCATTTTGAAGTCCCAACTTTCTTTTCTTTATGCATTTCAATCTTATAATCTTGAATCTTTAAGTTTTTTTGTATAAGTCCCATCAAATTTGAGATAATGAGGTTTCATTGTATGTAATTCATTGTACATGTACTGTTTATTTGTTACATGCATAGAGGTTTCCCAATTTGTTATTCTACAGTTCTGAAAGAATTTCAGAGTTTTCTTCATTCATTCTGATTTCTCTGATTTCCAGTTGCATCATGTCCAGTAGCTGACCTGAATTCACTGAACTTAAGAAATGCCCCAACTCTTAGTACAACAAACCCTGTTAACTACCTAGACTATTTGAATATGACATGTACTGTACCAGGGAAGGGTGTGTTTGTCAATCAGCAACAGTGCCTTTACAACAAGCAGACAAACACATATGGCCTGTATGGTGCTCCATATGAATGTGGTGGTGAGTTGATTCTTGAGGAAAATTGAGATTTTTTTTTGATTCTGTAAAATTAAAGAAAATACTAAGATTGATAAAGAACACTAATTTATTTTATGCAGCAGGAACATGATAAACAAATACACTAAATACTAAATTGTGCATTGCATTGGAAAACCTGGGGACATACCTCTTTTTATGTTTTTTGAGTGAAAATTAATAAAAAACTTCTTAAACTAAGAGGATGATAGTTTTTTTTTTTTATGTTTTTTTTGTGTGAAAATTCATACAAAACTTCTTAAACGAAGAGGATGATAGGTTTTGTTGTTGTTGAAAATTTGAAATTTGTAATGAAAATTTATTCAATGAATTGTAGTGATTGACTGTGGGACCCCACCACAAGTAACAGGATCTTCATACACAAACTATAACCCAGCTTCAACAACCTATGGAAATACATTTACTTTTGGTTGTGAAAGGCTCCAAACAAGGAAAGGGTCTTCTAACACTACAAATGATGCCACTGTCACATGTATGGCTGACGGTAACTGGGACTTTGGAACTCTGCGATGTGAAGGTGAGATTTTAGAGAATTGTACAGCATATTACAGACATGATTTAAAAATACAGTGAGTTTTTATTAATGTACTTAATATCAAGGAAATCATTGAATATGGATTTGCTGTAAATACTTAGAATTCAAATTGTTGATGGATATCTGGTAAAATCTTCTTCAAAAATAGATTGATTTGATCATGCAGTGTACATGTGAACATTTGGCTTTATAAAATGATCATAGCAATTCAAAAATGATCTTCAGGAACCAAATGCCCTGATCCTGGTTATCCAAGAGGAGGTTACCTTTCTGCGGATGTGAAGGGATTCCAACTGGATCAGGTTGTCACATTTGGCTGTAACAGGGCAGGATTCAGTATCCCATCAGGGAATGCATTGAAGTGTCAGCTTAGTGTTGGTGGGAATAGTCTGGAATGGAACGCTACCACACCTGCTGAGTGCCAAGGTAATTGGAGTCTGATGTTTAAATAGTTTGACATGCTATCTTAAATATTGCAAATTGACAAGTAAAATATAATTTCAGGCCAAAAATTGTTTAGTTTCTCAGACACCACTGCATCAGGTCAAACACTGCCAAATTGAACAATTTTATTGGCATTTTAAAGGGAAATAACTCAATTTTCTGAGTTATTTCCCTTTATAACAAGGGAATTTTCTGTTTTTAGCATCTAAAATTATTCCTTATTTGACTGTTATCAAAATTACTTCCATTACAAAGTTAAAGTTTTTAATTTTTGTCAAAAAAAAAAAATCTTAATAAAACAGATATGATTTTAGTAAAATTTTAATATTAAGTTTTCACTAAATCTATACTCTTAAAATAAAAAAAAAAACTTCTGTTTTCCCATTTTACTATTTCTTTGGAAATTTTTTTTACATTTTTGATTATTTTTGATTGATTTTCTTGACAAAAAATTTGAAATGTGCATTTGGCAGAAGTGATGTTTTACAATTATTAGCTAAGGTCTGTGGTTCTGTGCAAAATTAAGTCCTGAATGTTTTGATGATTGTTGTGGGAAAACACGAAGGAAATAATTAAGATTCAAATATATTCAAAACTTTTGATATCCAAATGGAATTTTTTCACTTAATTATCTCAGTAGATTTTTCAAATAGCATATGTGTACCCCAATGGATTTCTATTTTAATGGTGTTGGATCTGCAGAATCTGTTAAATTTTTTTTTTTTATTTTTGTGTATTTTACAGATACTGAAAATCCCACAATCAGAGGATGTCCAGGAAATTTGACTCTAAACCAGTATACTCTGATCAGTCACAATCGGCCCTCTGTGAATGACAATAGTGGAATTAAGACTTTCGAGGTCACACCTGTAAATGCCAATACAACCCTAGTGTTGGAGACAACTCCAATCACCATAAGTTACACTGCCACTGATTTCAATGGGAACACCGATAGGTGCAGTTTTACTGTGACTGTAACAGGTTTGTAATGCTTAGTCTATATGGTACAGTTTTACAGCGTATGTGGTTTGATACAGTTATGCTTTGCTCTATAGATAACTCTCCAGTATGATTTAGTATGAAATCTTCAAATTTTATGGTTGCATTTCTATGACATTCCCAGTATAAAATGAACAAAATGAAAAATAAAAAGATGTAAAATTCTGTATTGGACAAATTGACCATGCAAAGCCTTAGAAAAGCATTCGTTTTATTAATGAAATAGGTGTAATGCAAAAGAATGCCTCTTCTGGAAAGAGAGGAAATTTTTGCTTTGTAGGTAAAAAGAAATAGGCATTGTATATAATGTTTATAATGCTTTGTCTTGTCAGACCTTTGAATACAAAATTTCAATTTAACTGATGTTATCTGCTACACTCTAAATAGTCAGGATTATTATATGTACAGTTAGAAAATAGACATAATTTGAAAGTCCATACTAGCTTTCATTGTTCTTGTAGAATTTATTCAATTCAATTCAATTTATTGACAACACCATCATACATTGGCATATAGTCATTAATACAATAGACAATAACATACATTTATATGCTTGATGATTACGTTTTGCCTTACAATATTTTTACACAGATGAGGAGCCTCCAAAAGTAACATGTCCATCAGCAAAAACAGTGACAGTTATTGATTCAGAGGTCACCAATTTCACAGTTAATCCTGCAGAGGTAGTGAGAAGTGACAATGTTGGGATTAGATCCACCACCTACAATCCTCCCTATCTTACTGTGAGCCGGAGCTATATTGGTACAACCAGACCAGTGACTGTAACAGTGACTGATACAACAGGAAGGACAGATCAGTGTCAAGTCCAAGTGTACACCACAGGTAAGAAATTCTCAATATTTCATGCTGTTAAATCACTTATTTTCATGGGGGTAAATTTTAAGATGTCAGGGCATGTTTGTCCTGAAGAAAATTGGATACCTTCCCTTCCCTAAATTTTTGATCTTTGATATTATTGCCTGTAATGTCAGCTGCTGCATGTTCACCATACTCCCTGGAAACCCCTGTGAATGGACAGAAAAACTGCAGTGCCACCTCCAATGGGTTCCAGTGTGACTTAAAGTGTGCTCAGACCTACACATTTTATGATGATCCTGGAGTAACAGTGAAGACTTTGACCTGTACCACAGGAAATCCATGGGCTTCACGCATCCCAGCATGCACTCCTGGTAAGTCATGTTTTGTTTTCTTTATTTCTTGGTTGATTCCTTTATTGATGAAAAAAGATTCCTTTATTGATGAAAAAAGAGGTTTTTTTTCAGTTTTTGGCTGGTCTTAGGCAATCTGTCATAGTTCTTGTATGTTCAAAAACACAGTATGAATTCTTCAAATCAAAATTTGAAGAAAAAGCTAGGACATGGTACAAGATTAGGGCCAGAATTAGCCCCTCAGTTGAAACAAACAAATTTTGGTAATTCTTCATAAAGTATTGGTTTATGCTTAGACCCAATTCACAAAGGAAGAACTGAGGGATATGTTTTATTCTAACAATTGTATGAAAATATTTCAGTTTCTTATATTGCCTATTTTTTATAATACACTAAAGAATTTTTTTTATCTTGATATGTAAATTTTAATATAGTCATTGAGCATTTCATCATTTATAAAAACTGTATCATTTTTAACATTTCAGAAAATCAGCAAGCCCTATACACTTCCTTGGTTACTATCACTTACCAAGTAGAAACACAAGGTCAGACTATTGGTTCCACTTGTTTTGACAATGCTTACAAGTCAGCAATTTCCACGCAAACACCACTTACTGAACAGGCTCTGAAGGGTGGATGTTCTGGAGGACTCTTCCCCAATGATAATATTGAGATTAATATCAATGAAGACTCATCATTTGCCACTGCATCAATAAGTGTAGACACGGTAATACATGTACCTCAGTAAATATAGACACAGAAAAACATCAAAGGACACAGTAAGACATCAATATGAATAGACACTGTAAGACATAAATAAATAAAGACATCTTACTGTGTCTATAATAATTGATGTTTTACTTGTGTATATTCACGTAAACTTTGCAAATGTTTTCCCTTATAACACTATTTGAACAAAGCGTATTTAAGACATATAAACAGGTTCATCACATGGCCATCAATTCATTGTTAAGTCATAAACCATTGACATAATTAAACAGTGTCATCATAGGTGGTTGACATGTTGAACACATTCAGTTTATACCATTGAGGTTTGATAAACTAAACAATTTCATGGGTTTAAAACTATAGACACAAATATTTGTTATACATGTAAATCAGTCACAGATGTAAATATAAGTACTAAGGTATCATTTTAAAATATTTATTGTAAATATGGGTTGGTACATGATCAATCTACCATAAAGCTCTTTGATCACATGATCAACCTGTATTTACATCCTGATAAATGTTTAAAAATGATACCTTATTTCTTAAATATTAATTGATGTCTTACAGTGTATATATTTATTGCTGTCTTACTCACAGTCTATACTCGGTAAGACATCAATGAATAAAGACATGAACATCAGTATCGATATGGACACAATAAGACATCAGTAGATGCAGTAATACCAATAAATGTAAACACTACAAGACCTTGAAATTTTTTGATGAACAGTAGTATTTTTGTTACTCAGCATATGTTCTCTTTTGTTCTTTTGAAAAACAGTCAAACCTCGTTATCTCGAACTCAATATGGGACCGAGAAAAAACTTCGAGATACCCGAGGATTCGAGATGTCCGGGGTAAAATACTTTTAAAAAGAATGGGGGTTGGGACTTCCCAAATCACTTCAACATATCCATGGTATTCGAGATATCAGTGTTCAAGATACCAAAGTTTTAATTGTATATACATGTATATGGAAGTTTTTAAATCTAATTTTTAAGCAAAATAATTTGAGATTTATACTGTACATTTACTTTTTATCAGACTCTTTGTATGTAGAGAAAGGTGATACAATGGAAAAAGATTGAAGTAGATTGATATCAGCATGTTCTTTATGTTAGGTAAACATAACCTACACTGTGGAGCAGAAGCCTTTTGGATACGAGGAATCAAAGTATTCTGCGTGTGCAACAAACATTTTGAGCAGAATGCAGTCTTTTGACATCAGTATTAAAACCATATCATCCCAGGTACCAGGCTGTCCTAATCTTATTCGCACAAATGCTGTCGAGAATTCCAAGGGATTCATTTGCTCCACTGATAAAAAGAAGGTGACAGTTGGTGGTAAAGACTATTGCTGTAAGTAAAGATAATTACTTTGTACAGGAAAACTCGGTTATAGCGAAGTTCTTGGGACCTGCGAAATCACTTCACTGTATCCATAATTCGTTATATCCGTATAACGAATTTGTAAAAGTATACATAGTGAATTTGCAATATGGATTTTTTCCTTCAAGTATGACTAGCAAATGTATTTAGGGAAGTATAAAAAACAACATTTACCTTGGAGTTCAAAAGTTTCTAGACGAATTGAGTTTCAAAGAAGAAAACTTACAAAATTAATATCAGTTCAATATTTTATAAATTGAGATCTTTGAAAATTTGCTATGAAAGATGTACAATTGTCATTTCGTTATTTTTAACTTCTAAGGGACATAAAATTAGTTCGCTATAACCGTAAATTTGCTATATCCAAGTTGGTTATAGCTGTAAAATTTTACAAGGAATTATTAGGAATTTTGCCAGGGATTACAAAAAAACTTCACTATATCTGTTAATTCGCTGTATCCGTCTTCGTACTAAACGAGTTTTACTGCATATACAAAACTTAAAGATTTTTTTTAAAAAACGTCTATTTAAAGCTGTTTCATTTGATAGAATTTATCCAGAAAATGCTGAAGGGTAAGAGTAAAAATAAATTTCTTAGAATTCTTACAATATTTTTCAGTGAATTGTCCAGCTGGAACATATCTGAGTGCCCCAAACACCTGTACTCTGTGTCCATTGAATACCTACAAAAGTTTTAGCGGAGCCACAGCTTGCACACCCTGTGGATCTGGACGAGGCACCCACATCACTGGGGCTACATCATCTGGGCAGTGTTTCAGTAAGAGTGTTGATTTTTCGTTCTGTTAAATAACCTATACTTTGATATTTGATAAAATAAGATGATACTTTATTTGTATACTTGAACATTATCAGAGCAAGCATGGGTTGAAGATGTAAATCATTTGGCATAATAAAACAAAAGTCATGGGAGTTACACATTTTAGCATTAAAAAAAAAACTGTTTCAAAGTAATTATATAGGGTTTTGTTGTATTTTTTTATTTGGAGGAGAAAATCGCATTACTATTATATTAGTTTAAAGGGTTTTGAAAATATTTGATTTATTGTGCTAATAGTCTCCATTATCAAATATCTTCTCAGTGCTGATTGGATTCTTTCATAATTTTATTTAAGGTTTTTGTGCAGTGGGTACATACTCCACCAGTGGAATGCCCCCTTGTAACCAGTGTCCGAAAAACACTTACTGGGTTAACAGCACGTACTGTCAGGCTTGTCCTGATGGAGGGAAGACAGTCAGTGTCGGTTCTTTCAGTATAGGGAATTGTATCTGTAAGTGATAATGCAGAAAATGTACAACAAAAGTCGGGATCAAAAGTAAACCAAAAATTTGACAATGTTTGTATATGTATGATAATTTTGGAATCATCATATTGTGTGGGTTCAAATTTTTGTGTAGCCCTTATCTAAGAATTTACATGTACATGTATTTGTAAAAATATTTAAATATAGCTTTTGCGATTTTTAGCTCACCTGAGCTGAAAGCTCAAGTGAGCTTTTCTGATCACATTTTGTCTGTAGTCCGTCTGTCTTTAAACTTTTCACATTTTCGACTTCTTCTCCAGAACCACTGGGCCAATTTCAACCAAAATTGCCATAAAGCATCCTTGGGTGAAGGGGATTCAAGTATATTGAAATGAATGGCCACGTCTTATTTCAAGGGGAGATAATAAAGAATTACCGGTAGTGAAAAATTAATAGCATCTTTTAAAAATCTTCTTCTCAAGAACCACAGGGCCAGGAAAGATGAAACTCATGTGGAAGCATCCTCAGGTAGTGTAGATTCAAGTTTGTTCAAATCATGACCCCTGGGGATAGGGCGGAGCCACAATGGAGGATCAAAATTTTACATAGAAATATATAGGAAAAACCTTTAAAAATTTTCTTCTCAAGAACAGCAAAGCCATGATAAGTCATATTTATATGGAAGCATCCTCAGGTACTGTAGATTCAAGTTGTTCAAATCATGACCCCTGTGGGTAGGGCAGGGTCATAATGGAGGATCAAAGTTTTACATAGAAATATATTGGAAAAATCTTTAAAAATCTTCTTCTCAAAAACAGCAAAGCCATGATAAGTTATATTTATGTGGAAGCATCCTCAGGTAGTGTAGATTCAAGTTTGTTCAAATCATGACCCCTGTGGGTTGGGCGGGGCCACAATGGAGGATCAAAGTTTTACATAGAAATATATAGGAAAAACCTTTAAAAATTTTCTTCTCAAAAACAGCAAAGCCATGGTAAGTCATATTTATATGGAAGCATCCTCAGGTAGTGTAGATTCAAGTTTGTTCAAATCATGACCCCCGTGGGTAGGGCGGGGCCATAATGGAGGATCAAAGTTTTACATAGAAATATATTGGAAAAATCTTTAAAAATCTTCTTCTCAAGAACCACAGGGCCAGGAAAGATTAAACTCATGTGGAAGCATCCTCAGGTAGTGTAGATTCAAATTTGTTAAAATCATGACCCCTGGGGATAGGGCGGAGCCACAATGGAGGATCAAAGTTTTACATAGAAATATATAGGAAAAACCTTTAAAAATTTCCTTCTCAAGAACAGCAAAGCCATGATAAGTCATATTTATATGGAAGCATCCTCAGGTAGTGTAGATTTAAGTTGTTCAAATCATGACCCCTGTGGGTAGGGCGGGGCCATAATGGAGGATCAAAGTTTTACATAGAAATATATTGGAAAAATCTTTAAAAATCTTCTTCTCAAGAACAGCAAAGCCATGATAAATCATATTTATATGGAAGCATCCTCAGGTAGTGTAGATTCAAGTTTGTTCAAATCATGACCCCCGTGGGTAGGGCGGGACCACAATGGAGGATCAAAGTTTTACATAGAAATATATAGGAACAATCTTTAAAAATCTTTTCAAGAATAGCAAAGCCATGATGAGTCATATTTATATGGAAACATCCTCAGGTAATGTAGGTAGATTCAAGTTTGTTCAAATCATGACCCCCGGGGGTATGGCGGGGCCATAATGGAGGATCAAAGTTTTACATAGAAATATATAGGAAAAATTTTCAAAATCATCTTCTCAGGAATAGCAGAGCCCTGATTGATCATATTTATGTGGAAGCATCCTCAAGTAGTGTAGATTCTAATTTTTTTTTAAATGATGACCCCACCCCCTGGGGGGGAGGGGGAAGGGTGGAGCCACAATGAAGGATCAAAGTCTTAAATAGAAATATATAGGAAAAATTCTTCTGAAGAACTGCAAAGCCATGATAAGTCATTTTGATATGGAAGCATCCTCAGGTAGTGTAGATTCAAGTTTGTTAAATTATGACCCCGGGGATAGGGTTGGGCCACAATGGGGGATTGAAAATTTTACATAGGAACATATAAGAAAATTTCTTCTTCTTCTCAAGAACTGAAAATCATGTTTAGTCATTTTGATATGAAAGCATCCTCAGGTAGTGTAAATTTAATTTTGTTCAAATGATGACCCCCGGGGGTAGGATGGGGCCCCAATGGGGGATCGAAAGTTTTACATAAGAACATAGAGAAAAAATATTTCTTCTCAAGAACAGAAAACTATGTTTAGTCATATTGATATGGAAGCATCCTCAGGTAGTGTAGATTCAAGTTTTTTCAAATGATAACCCCTGGGATAGGGAGGAGCCACAATGGGGGATCAAATTTTTACAAAGGAATGTATGTAAAACTTTTTGTAAAATCTTCTCAAGTACAACAAAGCCATTTGTTTTATTGACATGGAAGCATCATCAGGTAGTTTAAAATTCAAGCCCCCCCCCACCCCCCCCTTAATCTTTTCAATACCAAACTGATTTGTGCTTTTGCCTAGCCAATGTGTTCAGGTGAGTGATGTGGCCCATGGGCCTCTTGTTTTTAATGTGACATTTAATTGTTATAAAATTACATCCCCAAAGAACCTGGAATTTTTATCAGTTCTTGAAACTAGCCCCCAAGAATTGATCAAAATTCCATCATGTAAATATGTCCTCTGTTGTTGACAAACTTTTATGATTCCAGCAAAATGCAGTGTAGGTACATCTTCCTATGATGGTTATGCTCCCTGCAGATCCTGTCCACTGCATTACTACCAAGACCAGATGGGGGCTACATCCTGTGTCAGGTGCTCTGATGATAAATACACATCATCTGTAGGAAGTTCAAGTCCTTCAGACTGTAAAGATGCCTCAGGTAGAAAATAAGCAATTCAGTTTTGGAAATTTTTTTACCAAAGACAATTTGTAAATCCATTAATTACTAACATTAAATCATCAGATAAAATTGTTGTTGTTAGTAACGGTGGTCAATTGTTTCAGGACTACATAATATGTAGGTCTCTTTCTCTTTGCTCTTTTTGGTAATATTATAAGAGATTTTGTATTACTCTTCAATGGCAATGGCTCTCCTTGTACAGAATTTTTAAAAAGAATGGATGGACTTGAGTACCCTGAAAATAGCTGTAAATTGAAGTTTTATATAAAAAAAAATTTCTTTCTATAAACAAGATCACCTATATATTTACTGTGTATTATTTCTATAGATATGAATTTAAAACACTCTTTTCAGTGAAAACCAAATAAATATCAAAGGCATAGATCCTGAAGATTTCTTGAATATCAATAGACAATCAGCGCTACACTTCTTTAATTATCTGAATACACAATCAGTGCATGATTGTTGGTTATTCTTAAGAAAACTGTGGTTGTATATTGAACAAAATAATGTCATGTTAAAAGGAAGTGAACCGACAAAAGTGCGCTTAGATTAATATTACAAAAACTTATTCATAACAAACTTGTCGCTTTCATTTTTATTACTGTTTTAACTTTGATTTGTCGAATCCATTGACCTGTTGAATTTTAGAATTTATCCCATGTTGTCCAGCAGTGAGTGTACTTGTGAAAACAATTACACTGTATTCTTAAATGTGACCTTAATCTATATCTGATTTAGAGTGTGTTTGGTTGGTCTAACATTTGAGGAATTTAGCAAATTTTTTTAGTATGTCCTCCCAACATTTACCAGAAAAATCTCTTAATTTCATATTGACATAGCTGTAATATAGCATACACAGATTTGAATATCTAGAGAGAGAGAAGGAGAGAGAGAGATGTCTACACTGATGCCATTAGATAATCCTGTCTCTTATTTATATTGATTATGTGACCTAAAAACCACTCCAGGTACACATCAAATCCGGGACAGCAACACTGATGTATTATTTTTTCAATTTTGATTCGTGGCACCAAGGCATTGCTTTTGCACAAATGTTCTACATAATATATGTGTATGTAGATCTTTCTATTGCCTGTAAAATATTTTGGATTCACTTCAATTACAGTTGGGTAGAAGAATCGCATAAACACCCAAAATAGGGCATTAAGTCCACTCATTCTTTCTGAATAATTCTTTTAAAATCCTTTTTACTCATTTCTCTCAAAATGCTTGAAAGGAATTGATTTTGACTAAAATTGAAAATCAAATCTTTGAACATTTTTTGTTTGTCCCCTGTAGACTTGTGTCCTGCCCTTAGTTGTCAGAATGGTGCCACTTGTGTTGCTCGACATAACTCAGCCATTTGTGAGTGCCCTGTTGGTTACTATGGTACCAGATGTGAGATGCAGGTCAACAACTGTATTTCACAACCTTGTTACAATGGTGGAACTTGTGTCAGTGGCATTAACAGTTACACCTGTAGCTGTCCAGCAGGTAAATAGTTTTATTATACTTTCATGTTAAATACTAAAATGTGATTGGTTTAGATGCATTTAACAATATGTATTATATTACTTTCCTGTGAAATACTAAAATCTGATTGGTTTAGACACATTTAGCAATTTGTAATGTTACTATCAGCATAAGCGACATATTTGACAATGGGTAACACAATGTCACATGTGTGTAAATTATGCACGTACGGTTCGCTGTAGAATTCTCAAAACGTCAGTTGTGCATTTGAAAGAAGCCGAGTAAACTTGACGTCAATCAGAGTTTGGGTCCGATGTAGCTTGATCGAAAAATGCTTGTGAGTGCAGAAATAACAAAACTTTCGACGATAAAGGACTCTCTGGGTATCAAATAAACAATAAAGAGGTCGGTAAATCTTTTTTGAAGTTTTCTTATTGAGAAAAACAGAAGCAGAGAGTTTGAAAGGTTTCCAAACATTAACTTAATAAATAAATAGTGCATGTTTTTTAGAGTAACAGTTGAAAATGACACCCCTCTGAAAACCATTGTCAACATCTGCTGATGTGTCAGTTGAAATAGTTTTCCGAGGGGTGTAAATTTCAACTGTTACCTTCAAAAATTTGCACTATTTATGTAATACCACACGTCCAACAGTTAACATTTTCTGATGAAGCATTGAAAATCGTACAGTGATAAATGATAGAACTGTAGATTCCATAGCTATTAAAAATGTAGCACAAATTTCTGTAGATTCATGTTTAATTCAATTTATGTGAATTTTACAAGGTTAGGTAATTTAGTGTCATTTTAATGAGGATGGCTTTCCCAGCTAAGATTATGAATTGTTAATGTGTAGATTACATGTATAAGAGGTATCTGATAATTATATAAAAACTCACAAAATATGATCTTTTAAGGTCCCTTACTTCACAAATGGATCCATTATTTTCTTGCTTTTAAATGTTTTTAAGTGAATTTTGTTATAAAGCATAATGTGAGTAATTTTAAATTTCCTTTTCACCAGATTATATGTTGTTTTTTTTCAGGTACAACAGGAAATAGGTGTGAAACGGATACAACGGATGAATGTAGTTCTTCTCCGTGTAAAAATGGTGGCATGTGCGTGAATCTGTTGAATAGCTTCCGGTGCCTATGTTTGGATGGATTTTCTGGAACAACGTATGTATATTATTAGAAGTACATGTATGAATAATTTTTCATTTTTGTCATTAGAGTAAAAAGAAATTTGGGTGATGAAAAGAGAATTTGAAGAAAAATGATTTCTATTTAAAAAAAATACAAAAAGTCCAATGAACTTTATAACAGGGTTGATCAAATACAGTAGAATCACTTTTCTAATGGATTAGAGTATTTAAGATTTATTTGATTTTATTAAAACATTTGTTTTTAATCCAAAGGAATTGAAATGAACTTACCTTAGGCATAACAAAAAAGAGAAATATTTTGTTTCTCAAAATAATTGGGAACCTGGAAAAAGGCAGTTTTTATATGAAAAGCAAAAAATGCATGGTCAAAATTTCCATTATTATCATATTTGTTTCTGTTGTTATCAGTAACAACTCCAGGTAAGACTGTAGTAGCCCCATACATTCCAACATACATATGCACTCAATAAATGTTTAGAAATGAAGTGAATATAAGAAAATCTAACAAATTTTATACACAGGGTTTGAGTTCTCTTTTAAATCTTTAATCCTTTTTGGGTAAAAGATTTAAACATTGGCTTAAATCTTTGTAACGTGTTAATGTAGAATTACTGGGTATGTGTTATATCCATAATAAAAAAAATTCACAATGTATTGTATTGCACAACCTGTATCTTAATTCAGAATCATATTCAGTAGTACTTGCACAGGTGTAAAGTGAGGGTTACTTAAAATGTAAATGGTAAAATTCATATTTGTTTTGTTAAAGATAAAATATGCACATTTTTTCCAGATGACATCATTTATTCTTCAGAAAGTTTCAAACAACAATAATAATGATAAAAGAATGTGGACAACTACCTGAGCCCCCCTCCCCCTTCCTCCTCCTAAATCAATAATTATGTGCTTGTCTTATGTATGTTCATTTGCAGGTGTGCCAGTCAGTCTAATATATGCAACACTCAGCCGTGCAATACTGTCGGCACTCAGGAATGTTTGAATTATGACAACATACGCCACATCTGTAAATGTAAATCTGGATACATGGGAAATGATTGCCAAACAAATATTGGTAAATATCCTTAGCTTTGTACTCATTTAATTACTATATGTGAAAGTCAGTTTGATGGATGTACAATTTTCCAGTATCTGAGCTGTCGAATCTTTCTCTTTTTATTGAATGGATAGAATTAGGGGGGAGGGGTGGGCATTAATTAAATGTTAATTATAAGTTGAAATAGTGAAAGTTAGTTCATTCCATAGCAGTTTGAATAGTGGAAGGGTTTAAGAATTTTTTCTATTTGATTTCTCTAATTCTGTCGTGGCTTTAAGTTTAGATAATTTTTTAATACCCCCACTTGAAAAACAGGGCGGGGGGGGGGGGGGGGGGGGTATAGTGATGGAGTGTCAGTCCATCTGTCTTAATGTCCATCCATCCGTTACGCTTTGGGGTACCCATCTCTTATCCACAACTCCTCTTGTACCACTGAATGAAATTTAATGAGATTTTCACAGAATCTTTGTTACATAGTGCCATTGTGCACCTTCTATTTTACTTTTTGATTGGACACAAATTTCGGGTTTCCAGTAGCAAACTATAGACACTGCCATTCTTTCTCTAATATTGAGGGGTATCCATCTCTTATCCGCAACTCCTCCTATACCACTAAATAAAATTTAATGATACTTTATTACGTACTGCTATTACGCACCTCCTATTTTACTTTTTGATCTGACACTTATTTCGGGTCTCCCATAGCAAAACATGGACTTTGCCATTATAATCATATGGGAGGTGGGAGATATCATTTTGTGAGCTCAGTGCTCACAGTACCTCTTGTTTTTAGTTTAGTTTTTATTAATTACAAGATTTTACCTGCATCTGAAATTTCAAATTACATCAATGTATTTTCTGCATTTATGTCCAACTTCATATTGTATATGTTAATTTTTTGTAGATGACTGTGCGTCCAATCCTTGTCTGTATGGTGGAAACTGTACAGATTACGTGAACACGTACACATGTAACTGCCCTGTAGGGTATGGAGGCCTACGCTGCCAGAATCGGGTCAATCCCTGCAGTCTCAATCGGTGTAATAATGGCCAATGTGTGGATGCCTATCCTCTGGACAGTTACAGATGTATCTGTAATCCAGGCTATTCTTATGGTAGGTACCAGGAATAAAACAGAACGCCCACTGTACATGTATCTGCTCACGAATTGATTAGATTTATGGAAATCTGCAAGCTAAAACATACACCCTAAGGTAAATTCTAGAAAATGGGCAGTTCTGGTAACATTTTCTTATTATTTTTATTGGTAGAATATTGATAGAATGGTGTATGGTAAAATTGTTTGTTAGTGAGTTTCTGACAGAAAAATATATATATTAATATATATAAAAAATATATCTATATTTTTTTAATGATTGAAAAGACATACTGGTAGAAAAATAAACATTTCATGTTGAGGACAATGCATGAAAGTCATATGGACCCCTGGACCAGTAAATTTGAGATTTCCTAATTGGTCTGCATGACAGATGGGAATCCTAGCTTTTGGGTCTGTTGGGTGAATTCTCTTAAAAAGGCCTTTAACTTAAATTTTTATTTCTGAAGGTCAAATTTGTCCATATGAAATGTATCTGAACAATGGAACCAGCCTAAGCAGTTATAGTCAGCAATCGGGTGTGACTATCAACTTCTGTCGACAACTGTGTGACAATGAGGTACGATGTCAGGCCCTTACATTTGGAGCTGGAAGTTGCTTATTGTATCAAACTTCTCCAGTAACCTCAACCTTCACCAGTGCACCAGGTTCTGTTCTCAACATAAAGAAATGTAACAGTCCCGATGGTAAGTTATTTATTAAGTAAATTTTGGATCTGAGATCTGTATAAGTTATACATCCTACTAGTTTATTGATTAAAGCTATAGAATAAGCAGGAACAATTGAGAACTTGACAAAAGTGAAGAACTGATATTGACCTTTGACCTTGAAATTGGAAAATTGTTTGTGAGCCTTATAACCTCTAGAACCCCTATCAAGGTGAGCCAGTGGCCAGGATAGAGTCATGATAGAAAATTAAGGGTTCTTTTTTATTTAAAGAATAAATCTTTTCAAGAATATCAAACCCAGAATTATAATCATAACAATATGCAAACATACCCACGCAGGATAGAATTATATTTGATGAAATCGTGACTTTATGGAAATACAGCAAGGTGAACAGTTTAACAAAACTGTTTGTTGGAAATTTCTAGAAATTTCAAAAGTGAACAAAAAATTTTTGATTTCTGATATTAATTTGCAATCATCGCTGTGTAATGCAAATTCAAATTTGTTTAAGTCAAAGCCCCAGTAGGAATGTGCCTATAAGGGACATACTGTATTTCACCAAAGTTTTGACTAGAAATATGAAAGTATGGATAGTTTCATTTGTCAGGAAGAGAAATTTGACTGATGAGTATTGTGATTTTTAAAACTCTTGTTTTCATATGTATATTCTATTTTCATTTGCTCACTGCATACCTTACTTTATTGGAACAATAAGAGGAAAATTAATATGGAAAACTAAATGTATCTTTTTAGAGAAGAAACTAAAATTCTTAGATGTTGACATTTGATCTTTAACAATCAGAAAGAATTGAAACCGTTTTTACTAAGGGTATGTTTTTTTTTCAGTTTAAATGATATGCTGTTGTGGTTTGTTGTAGATGATTACTGGAGCCCCTGGTATGACATGGGTCCTCCAAGTGCAGGAACAGAATCAGAAAAGAGAGCACAGCTGTCCACTGTAAGTAACACATGTACATGTTGTATTGGGTATGATTGAAAGAGTATGGAAATGATAGAAAATTAAGAAAGTATGGAAGGTTAATGAATTTGTCTGTTCAAATAGACTTTAATAATCAAAGCAAATGAACCATTATTATAATTTATTATACCTCTACTGTAATTACTCTATATAAAATTAATACCATAAAACTGTCTATTTCCACGAGAAGAGACTATTTCCCTCATCTGAGGACTACTCCCTGGAAAATCAGAGCTACTCCCTGGGACTACTTCCTCATGAATATTTATTAGTAATTTTAACCAATCAAAGTGTTCAGTGGGCGGAGCGTTTAAGAAATCTCGAGTCTGTGACGTCATGTTATTAGCAATGTAACTATGACGTCAAAACATTTCGACATGCGATGTCAAAATCATACTTGGATTCTAGCAAAATGAAGACAATGATAATTCTTTGAAATGTCAGTGAAAATACTTTTTAAAAATAATTTAATTGTTTTAGGACATGATGCATTACTTATAACAATGTGTTAAACCGCATGTATTTGTGATTTTGCCTCTACATTGTTTTTTTTTAAATGTCGGAATGTCTGGTAAAAAAATTAAATCGTCTACGATTGTTTCGGTATAATAAAACAGTTATGGAATGGGAACTTGGGAAATAGCAAATTTATGGTTCCCCTCGGCAGGAAACTATTTCTCTCGGCGGCTTCGCCGCCTCGGGAAATAGTTTCCTCCCTCGGGGAACCCTTAAATTTGCTATTTCCCTCGTACCCATTCCATAACTGTATAATAGAGAGATAAACAAAAAATACTAAAATTGATCACTCCCACTTATCCATCTGTGAATGTGTTGTTTCATCCAGTGAAAATGGAAGAGGACAGTACATAAAAGGGCTGAAATATCCTAAGCCTTTTGTTGTAGCTTTAATATTAATTCCATTAAAATATACTGCAGTCATACTGTTATCCTTTTCAGTATGGCGTAAATGTCTGCAATGGAACAGTTCCAATTGCTGCGGAATGTCGTGTTGTTGGTTCTGGGGTATCATCATCACAGACTGGGAATGTGTTTTCTATGGCGTGTGGAGTAGAAGGAATTGAGTGTACAGACCAACAAAATAATCCCTGTGATGACTATGAAGTACGCTACAAGTGTTCTGTTTACAAAGGTATGAACCTCCCTCCATGGGTGTGCCAGTAGGAGGAGTCTAACAGAGAAACACATGCCCTTTATTCAGTAAACTATATCCTGTTAAGGCCGGGACTTAATTATTAGTGAAAATAATATTTCAGCACCTTTCACACTGCTGCTTATCTGCTAAGTCAAGTAAATACTATATATAAACAAAATAAATTCATATAGAAGCTAGGCTTCAAATGCACTTATTTATGATAACACTAATCAGTTTTTGAGGACAATTGCACTAAATTTTGAGTGTTAATACAGTTCTCCACAAAATGTTAAGTCATATACAACTCAATACTTTTTTATTTCACCACAAAATCAAATCCCCTTGAACCAATTTTTTTTGGTCAACCCACAAAATTTTGACAGATTTAGAAAGTAAATGATTTTACAGTATTTGTCTGTGATTAATAGACCTAGTATTTAAATAACTACACCATCACAATTTCTCAACGTATCCATACATACTTGACAGGGATTGACATTCCTTCTCTATGGATGTGGAGTTAGATAAAACAATAGTTTGACTACATTTGCATGATATAATTGTATATATCGATCAGCTTTTATCTGTCCACAAAAATCTTGTATATTGATGCTAGGACAGTAAAACTCGTTTAGTACGAACACGGATATAGCGAATTCACACTTCTTGTTTTTAATTACCATGAGGTAACTTAATGTGTTTGAACCCTAAGTGCCAGTGTTTTGCCAGTTTAATGCAGTCTTCTCAAATGATTTTTTTTACAGTGTTTCCAGGTGGTACCTGTAATGTAAAGAACTACTGTTCATCAAACCCGTGCAAAAATGGAGGATTCTGTAATTCCAGATTTAATGACTTTACATGTAGTTGTCCATCTGGGTACACTGGCAAGCTTTGTCAGCATGACATTGATTCTTGTGGCCCATCTTCCTGTCAGAATGGTGGCACCTGCTATGATAAAACAGGTAGCCAGGGATATGGATGTACCTGTCCTGCAGGTTATTCAGGTAAATATAGTGATTTGTATACTTGGTTTCTATTGTAATTTCAATGATTTTGCATATTTAGCTATGGCAGGGGAATTTTCAATAAAATGTAAGATAATTTTTTTTAAATTTATAAAAAAAAAAAACAATTTTTAAAAGATCAGTGTAACATGCTTTACTGCTGAAAGATACAGTCCTTCTGATAATTGTGAATTCTTAGGACTGTATGGATTACAGTCCTTCTGATGACTGTATGGATTTCAGTCCTTCTTATGACTGTATGGATTACAGTTCTTCTGAGGACTGTATGGATTTCAGTCCTTCTGATGACTGTATGGATTACAGTCCATCTGATAACTGTATGGATTTTAGTCCTTCTGATGACGTATGGATTACAGTCCTTCTGATGACTGTATGGATTACAGTCCTTCTGAGGACTGTTGTTGTCGTAAACTTTTCATGTTTTTATCTTCTCCTCCAGAACCACTGGGCCAATTTCAACCAAACTGGGCAAAAAGTGTCCTTGGGTAAAGGGGATTCAAGTTTTTACAAATGAATGGCTCTCCCTCTTCATAGGGGAGATAATTAAGAAATAATGAAAATTTGGTGGTATCTTTTACAAATCTTCTCCTCAAGAACCACTGGGTAAAAAAGGTTGAAACTTATATGAAACCTTCTTTACATAGTGTAGATTCAAATTTGTTCAAATCTTGACCTCTGGGGGTAAGATGGGTCCACAATGGGGGATCAAAGTTTTACATAGGAATATATAGGAAAAAGCTGAGAAAATTTTCTTCTCAAGAACAGCAAAGCCATGTTTAGTCAAATTTTATGGAAACATCCTTAGGTAGAATAGATTTCAGTTTGTTCAAATCATGACCCTTGGTGGGTAGGGTGGGGCCAAAATGGGGGAAGTTTTACATAGGAATATAAAGGGAAAAAAATCTTGAAATATTTTCTTCTCAAGAATAAAACATCTTATTGAGTCATATTAATATGGAATCATACTGAGGTATTGTAGATTTAGGTTGGTTTAAATCATGACCCCCGGGGGGTAGGATGGGGCTACAATGGGAGATCAAAGCTTTACATAGGAATATACAGCAGAAAAAATCTTGAAAATTTTTCTTCCTAAGAACAACAAAGCCATAAATAGTCATATTATTGTGGAAGCATTCACAGGTAGTGAAGATAAAGATTTATTCAAATAATGACCCCTGGGTATTGGGTGGGGCCACAATAGGGGATTAAAATTTTACATAGGAATATATTATAGGCAAAACCTTTAAAAATCTTCTTTTCAAGGATAGGAAAGTCTTATTTAGTCATATATTTAGTCATGTGAGTGATTGTACTGTATATATTTTGCAAGTTGTGATATTCATGTCCTTTTGGAAATTGGAATTTAATGTTGGTTATTATTTCAGGGGATGTATGCCAGAGCAATATTAATGAATGTGCCTCAAATCCCTGTAGTCCTGAGGGAAGTCTTGGCTGTGTGGACAAAGTCAATGATTTCTTCTGTAATTGTAGACCAGGATTTACAGGAAAGAACTGTTCTGTGAGTATAAAGAGAGGAAATTTTTAAGCTAATGTCATTATGTTGGGTAAATTCAAATTTATTCAGACAATGGTATCTTGGGCTGGGTGAATAAATTTGAAGTTGAAAGAGGATTATATCAAAAGAGGGAAAAATGTTAAGAAAATGTTCCAAAAAATGAAGCTGTTGTCAATCCACTGTTGAGGCCATTAGGCTTTTGTTTTATATTTTAATTAAGCTCACCTGGGCCAAAGGGTCAAGTGAGTTTTTAGGTCACCTGAGTCACTCAGGTGACCTATTGCTATCCGTTTTTGTCCGTCGTCGTCAGTCGTCCGTCGTGCGTTAACATTTAATCATTTTCAGCTTCTTCTCTGAAACTGCTCAACCAATTTCAACCAATTTTGACATATAGCATCTATGGGTGAAGGGGGACAAAAATTGTGAATTTCATGGTCCCTGCCCCCTGTGGCCTGAGGGGTGGGGCTAAAACCACCAAAATTAATGCAATCTTTAAAAATCTTCTTCTTTACTCCTGGACATCAAGCAGTCAAACTGTTGGCATGATTGTAATAAGCATTGAGCCCTCTACCAAAATTGTGAAATTCATAGCCCCAGGGTCAGGGGTACTGGTGCTAGGGTGGGGCTATATAGATCATATAGTGAAAGTGCATTATTTTTTTGAAAATCTTCTTCTCTGCTCCTGGGTATTAGATAAACTAACTAAGTACATAGTTATAATGAGCAAGACTGCCTCTTCCAAAATTTTGAATTTCATGGCCCCTGGGTCAGGGGTTCTAGTGTTTAGGGCGGGGCTCTATTGATTATATAGTGAAAATGCATTATATCTTTGAAAATCTTCTCCTCTGCTCCTGGGTATGAAATAAAGTAACTTAGTACATAGTTATAATGAGCATGGCTGCCTCTTCCAAAATTGTGAATTTCATGGCCCCTGGGTTAGGGGTTCTAGTGTTAGGGCGGGGCTCTATTGATTATATAGTGAAAATGCATTATATCTTTGAAAATCCTCTTCTCTGCTCATGGGTATTAAATAAAGTAACTAAGTACATAGTGATAATGAGCATGGCTGCCTCTTCGAAAATTGTGAATTTCATGACCCCTGGGTCAGGGGTTCTAGATTTAGGGTGGGGCTCTATTGATTATATAGTGAAAATGCATTATATCTTTGAAAATCTTCTCCTCTGCTCACGAGTATTAAATAAATTAACAAATTACATTGTTATGATGAACATAGGTGCTTCTTTCAAAATTTTGAATTTCATGGCCCCAGGGTCAGGGGTTCTGGTGTTAGGGTGAGGCTCTATTGATTATATAGTGAAAATGCATTAAATCTTTGAAAATCTTCTCCTCTGCTCCTGGGTATGAAATAAAGTAACTTAGTATATAGTTATAATGAGCATGGCTGCCTCTTCCAAAATTTTGAATTTCATGGCCCCTGGGTCAGGGGTTCTAGTGTTAGGGTGGGGCTCTATTGATTATATAGTGAAAATGCATTATATCTTTGAAAATCCTCTTCTCTGCTCATGGGTATTAAATAAATAAACTAAGTACATAGTTTCATGGCCCCTGGGTCAGGGGTTCTGGTGTTAGGGCGGGGCTCTATTGATTACATAGCGAAAATGCATTATATCTTTGAAAATCTTCTTCTCTGCTCATGGGTATGAAATAAATTAACTAAGTACATAGTTATGATGAGCATAGCTGCCTCTTTCAAAATTATGAATTTCATGGCCCCTGGGTCAGGGGTTCTGGTGTGAGGGCGGGCTCTATTGTTTATGTAGTGAAAATGCATTAAATCTTTGAAAATCTTCTTCTCTGCTCCTGGGAATGAAATAAACTAATTAAGTACATTGTTATGATGAGCATGGCTGCCTCTTCTAAAATTGTGAATTTCATGGCCCCTGGATCAGGGGTTCTGGTGAAGGGGGGGAGGGGGGGGGACTCTATTGATTTTATAGTGAAAATTCATAATTTCTTTCAAAATATTTTTTTCTACTCCTAGTTATAAAGCAAAGAAACAATTGTATAGTTATGATGAGCAAGGATGCTTTTACAATTTTTTTTTAAACTTATGGCCCCAGGGGTTCTGTTGTTTCTCTGAAGGGGGAGGGGGGGGGGGCTCTATTTGTTAATATAGTTAAAATGTGTGAATTCTTTGAAAATCTTCAACTAATTGCATAGTTATGATGATGAGGGTACCTCTTCCAAATTTGTAAATTTTCAACATCTGGACCATTTAGTCAAGTGTTCTGGTCCTGGCCAGGGCTCTATTAATTTGTATTCTATTGAGTGAAGTTATTCCCCTTTGCCATTCACTTTTGATAATTAATCACTGTAGATAATGTATTTGAAAGGTTAATAGAATAAGAGAATTGTGCAAGAACATTTATTGTATAATATAAAAAGTACTTTCATAGTTTTAATCATCAGGTAGACTTGGAAATCATAGATGAATAAAAATGAAACAAAAATAACTTGTCTTCTTAAATGTTCTTCAAAGGCCAAATGAGGCCAATGTGAGAGGTAATAATTAGGGATGTCAACGAATATTCGAGTACTCGACTATCGTTCGATCATACTGACTATCGACTAAAATTTCTTTAGTCGGTTATTCGTTAAAAATGTGTTACCTGAAAGTAATTTTTAATTCAAGGTAATAAACTTGGATTCGCCCATTTCATTTATATACAGATCAATGTTCTCGTAAGTAAAACTCTGGGTATGGTTTAACTTTTCAAAGGAAATTATTTGTATGTTGATTTATGTTCGGCAAATATGCCTCCAAAATCTACAGTTTTTGGAATACTTTAAAGGATTTCAGGATGAAAAACAACTTGTACTTGTATTCTGCAGTGGAGCATATGATGTATCATATGCCGAATCCGTCAAACATACATGTAGTAAACACAGTCTTCAAGTGAAACTTTTCTTAAGTAAGTTCTCTACAAAAAAGCCAAAAAAAAAAAAAAAGGCAGAGCCAGAAAGAAAAATGTTGCTATCACAAACATGATTATCAAGGATTGTCTACCAATTATCGTTGTAAATGGAGAGGACGTTCAAGAATTGCTTGGTTTTGTAGATTCAAATTATAAAGTTTCAACCTGCAATTCTATAAGATCTGACGTAATGCAACTATTCATAAAGAATAATTAAACAGCTAGCGGTTACAAAATTGTAAATACATGTAAATTGGGGGACAGTTATGAGCGTAATTAAATGATGTTTCTTTCCAATATTAATATCATGCAGTCTTTTTAAGATTGTATTGATTATTTGCACGAAATCTCATAATTAAAATTTATCGCAAGCTCTCTTTGTTTTTATAAGAGACACGCTTTAATTGTTTAACAGTCAAAGGTCACTGACACGACATGCACAAATGGCTTTAATTAACGAATACATATACTATCTTTATGAAAAGAAAGGACAAATGCAAGTATTTGATATCCTGCATTTGGATAAAATGTGCATTAAATATTATATTAATTTTGAAATCAAATGCATTGGATAAATGTAAATGTACAGTATTTATTGTACTATGTAAATGTGTATGTTGTATAATGGTGATAGCGTAGGTTAAATATTGTACAACTAGTCTATAAAAGACAAATAGTGAAAATGACATGAAAAATTAATTTAAATTTCAATGAATATTCGACTATCGTTCGACTAAAGCCTCCGACTATTCGACTAAGCTGTCCGAATAAAATTGACATCCCTAGTAATAATATAGACATTTGGATAAAAGTTTGCATGGTAATAGTGATAAATGGGGGACAGATAGAAAGATACTAGACCAATTATTTTGTTGATCTTAATCGTACAAATCTTCTTGTTATTGGGCAACAATTAAAGCTTCATTTATCAGTTTATGGATCCTCTAAATTGTTGTACTCAGGTGACCGTTAAGACCCTTGGGCCTCTTGTTCTGATTAAATTTTGTCTTGTTCTAAACTTTTCACATTTTAATCTCCTTGTCCAGAACCATTGGGTCAATTCTAGGGATGTAAAAATATTTATTTTCCGTAGTCAATTGCATTATTCAAATGGTAGTGGAATATTCGGAACATTTTCTGAAATTGAATTTTATTTCAAACTTCACTGGTGTATGACATATTTATAACTCTATTGATCTATAAATCTATTGAAAAAGTAACATCAAAATATTAATGCAAGGTGTGGATAGCACGATGATATGAAATAAATGTATACATCTTCTCCAAAATGTATGATTTTCCCATCAATCAAATTCATAAATCGGTCTGTACAATCAGTTTTTATTTTTGAAAGCATTAAAAATTGCCAGCCAATATTTTTTAAAGCTAATTATGAAATAAATTGTGTTTGGGGGTGGGGTGGGGGGAGATCTCGCACTATGCACACATCAGATGCCTGTGATATTGCTAAACAGTTATGTCCTCTACAAAAATTTAGAATTTTTCAATATAAAAAAATTGTATATGACAATTTCATAACAACTAAGTTTATTTTTAAATATAATTTTTGGAAAGACATTGGATACTGCTTAATTAATTTAATTATTGATTGCTTCGGCTATCAAAATGTCCTTAAAATGTAAGCTAATTGTTTTAATAATTATCAAAGTGTCAAAACATGTCATGGCTATGATGTGTTCCTTGCATTTGAACAGTCTAAAAATAACAAAATATAATTGGTACATGGTATAAGATCAAGTCCAATTAAGAACTTTACAAACACAGCCCAGTATATTGATAGATAATTTATTACAAAAACAGCACAGACAGTAACTGACAAATAATTCTGGTGGTAGTGAAGCACTTCCTATAAGTAAAATGGTAAGTAAACCGTTTTATGTTGTGGAAAATTATCTTATCGACTGTCTCTGGGGAAAGACGTTTTTCCAATTTTGAGATGAGAATTCCTTCTCATTATCACTCCTTTATTACATTAATTTAATAATAAAATTCAAATATTGCTTCATTATTTGATCGTTGGTCCATTTCATTAAAAGTTGAATAGTCAACTATTTGTTAACATCCCTAGTCAATTTCAATAAAACTTGACAAGTATCGAGTATCCGATCAAATTTATTCAATGCAAGTGTCCTTTGGTAATGCAGATTCATATTTGTTAAAACCTAAAATCTTTAAAAATCTTCTTCTCAAGAACCACTGAGAAATGATTACCTGGTATAGTCATATTACGGTTCAAGCATCATATTTGTTCAGATCAGGGTAAATCATATTGATATACAAAAATTTCCACATTCTGTTGATTCAAGTTTTATCCCAGATTGAATTTTATATGTTACATGTGCATGTGGAGAAAAAAATCTCTCTCAGAACAGCAGGGCCACATATTTGGTGGATTCAAGTTAAAGTAGAACATGAATTGTTGGGGCTAAGATGGGGCCTTTACATGGGGTAAAATTTTCTTAGGAATATATGAAGGGGGGGGGGCTTTCAAAATATTCTATTAAAGCTTTGCTGTTAAGGAATAATGGAGCCAAGGTGACTAGTTGAGCATTGTGACCCATAGGCCTCTTTCTTTCTGTAATCTATCATACAAATAATTTGGATAGTACATGCATACCTTACCAGATTGTTTAAATTGGGAGCAGGGGTGGGTCCATTTTTTTTTCATGATATTTATCAATGCAAAATATGAAATTTAGAATTACCAAAAAGGAGTAGCAACACTAAGGGTATTAACTTTTTAGGTGCCGATTGATGAGTGTGCGTCTGCACCCTGTATGCATGGTGGGAACTGTACAGACCTTGTGGCAGATTTTCAATGCACATGTCCTGAGGGCTGGGTCGGTAAACGATGCCAGATGATTTATGATGAATGCCAGTCTAATAATAGATGTCCCAGCACAGCTCCGTGTATCAACATTTTCAAGAAGTCTTTCTGCAGGTAAAGTAAAGAATTCAGGATTTGGTATAATGTATAATTCAGTTATTTGTCAACTTCACATATGTATTAGTTTAAATGTTGATGAGGACTGACATATAACAAAATGATTTTTCTGGATGCCCCCCCCCCCCCCCCTCTTCCCAAAATAATCTTTCATATACTCTGGCAAAATTAAAGAACTTGAAAACTTGCATATTTAATAAAATAAAATAGTAATCATTTAATTATTTTCTTAAGTTTTTCAAAAAGTGAAAAAAAAAAAAAAATAAAATAAAATAATTACTTTTTTAATATCTTTTTATTTACAATATCTTAATTTCATTGATATGTAGAAGTTATCTGTCAGTTAGGAATTGTCTGGAGATTACTATCTTGTCCACCATTATATTTTTTGTATCACTCAGTAAAACATTGCAAATATTGGATGTTTTTAGTATAAATCTCTATAGAAAATAATTTTTAAAAGGTAACACCTCTCTCTCTGTAACAGCTGCCCTAAAAATACATATGGAGATGTGTGTCAGAACAAACCAGACATTTGTCGTGATGTGAGACCTTGTTTGAATGGAGCTACATGTAAAGAAGGAATCTCTACTTCCACATGTACCTGCCCAAATAATGGTAAGATTTTGTAATGAGGAGTAAAAAAAAGACGGAAAAATTTCTATTCCAAATTCATTTTCGACAAGGGGTTGTAATCACATGGTTTGTTTAACATGATATTGATCCTTAAAAGCTGTGTTTTTTTTATTGTTTTTAACAGACTACAGAGGATTGGGTTGTCAGACTATGATTAGCCATTGTGCTGATCCCAGTAAGTGTCAGAATGGAGGAACCTGTGTTAACCTGGCCCCAGGTTTTAGATGTGACTGCCAACCAGGTAGGAAGCTTTATACAGCTAAACTTGGGTATCTAAAACATGGATACTGTAAATCACTTTTTATTCCCAAGAACTTTATTTTCACGTAATTACCCGAGAGGGTTTGATCTCGAAAATTTCATTCTTGCTTATATTTCTAATAGTAAAGATTATATACGACAAAACCTAGATATTGTGAAAATTTTGTCTTGCTATTATATACCAATCTCGCAAAAATAAGGTGTTGCGAAAATTTGGTGATCTACAGTATATTAAAAACAGTGGATATAGCAAATTGAATTTGGAAGTCCCAATCACTTTTTAAGTATTTTACCCTTAATAATTGAACCCTCCAACATTTATTGCTTTGAATTACAGGCTATGCTGGTGTTAACTGTGAAGTAAATGTAAATGACTGTGCTGGGGTTTCCTGCACTGGCGGCAGTACATGTATTGATATGGTGAATGCCCACTACTGCAGGTGTCCGCTAGGAAAAACTGGAGAGGGATGTCAAAGAAGTGAGCAAGTTTTTAAGTAATAAATGAGAAAAAGAACAAAAAAAAATGCAATTCTAAAACTCAGGTGAATGCTGAAGCTCACTAGTCTCTTGTAGCACTTTTCTCAGGGAGAGTGATTTTTTTTAATGAAAAAAGTGTAATAATTTTATCCTTTTTTTTTTTTTAGATCTGGATGTGAATTATGATATGTACTTCTACCTGACAAAGCAAGATGGATATGCAGCACTGCCCTACCCCATCTCTATGAATGCCGACTCATTCTCTATCAGTGTTTGGGTTCGCTTTTATCATTCCTCCATCACTGGAACCTTCCTCACTATTTTCATTGCAAAGTAAGAATTTGTATTATAGAAGATCTAGGAAATGTGTCATGAACATGTTCAACATTCAGCAAATGTACATAAAATATAAACTGATTTGTTTTCATATAAACTTTTTCTGAAATATTTCAAAACAAGGAAATTGGCATTCAAGTAGCAGGATTTAAAAGGAAAGATTTGAATTTAAGTAGAGTTGATTACCTACACTATGAAAAATTTCCTTCATTTACGATACAGTAAAACATGCTTATAACGAACAAGCTTTTTACAAATTGATGCTTACAGTGAAGTAATTTTCATTCCCCATGGCTTTAAAATATATTATGAGCTTAACAGCTATAACGAATTATGTTTATAAGGAAGCAAAATCATCCATCCCTAGTACTTCATTATAAGGATGTTTTACTGTAATATAATCCCACTATGCTGTTACCTATAATTTTTATTCAATGAAACTAAGCAATTTAATTTTTAAAAGAAATACCATATTTTAAACATGACCAAACTAAAATAACAGACATATGAAATATTCATGTACCAGAATAAATATGACAGCAAAACCTGGAACCAAAATTGATTTCTGTAGGTCAGCCAACAGTTTGACAGGTGTGACAAAGTTCCTTACCCTTGACCACAGTGGATTAACAGTGTATGACAGGGATGGTCAGAATCCACGAACAGCCAAGTATCAGCTGGAGAAGGTGGCTGATGGAAGGTGGAACTACGTTGTGGTGACGTGGAAGAAGGATGGTAGTTTTGATTTAGTGGTAAACAGCTTACGACAGGCTGAGATTACTGCCACCAAATACAATTCTACTTTTGCCAAAAAGTAAGATATTTGAAGGATCTCATATGAACTGTTTAACTTCTGTAGCTCAAACACTGATATGTCAAATAGGGTTTACAGTAATGCGTCAGTGGTCTCATCATGATTATAGAAATAAATTTCGACATGTGTTGATTTCTCGAATATCTTAAAGGTATCTGGCATTTCCAATTTGCTGAAATCTTGGAGTTTGACTGTATACAGCAAATATCCTTGGATCATAATGATAATGATAACTGTTGATATGCCATAATCATTTGCTATTTTCCTAACCAGGGTAATTGTAAGACATATTTTTATTGAACAGTATTTGGGTGACTCTTGGTGGAGACTTTGATAGTTCCATAACTCCAACAGTTGGAGCAGGTTTCCGTGGATATGTAAGCCAGTTGAATATTTACAACAGAGCTCTAAGCTTTGAAAATGAGATGCCTCAACTAATTACTGATCCAAGAAAGGTATTTGATGGAACCATACTACGCTGGAATGAATTCATCTATCATCGAGGTGTACAACCAGTGTATCCATCAAGTGCACAGAAACAGTGTACAGGCAACAACTGTGTAACTTACAGTAAGTGATTAGATTGGGGGAAAGGGGAAATTAGAATTCAAGTAATTTTAGAAAATAAGATGGAGGAGAACTTAACAGAATGCAAGATGAGTAGCTTTCATCATCTCTGCTTCCCTTCTAAATTCACTAAGAGTTCATTTGCATTTTGGTTGAATATGTAGCTTAATTGCTACATTGGCAAAGATATCTAGAACATGTATTTTTTATTTTGGTCATGTTTTATGAATCCCTCTGTATACAAGCTGAAGATAACATAGTTAACTTTGTGACCAATTTAATGTTGCATTTCAGACAAGGTCTACCCCATATTTAAGACTCCCTGTCCTCCCAATGTGTACAAAGTGTCGACAGACAGACTGACTACAGTCACATGGACAGAGCCTATTCCAGAGAGGGCAACATCTCAAGAGAGTACCTATAAATCAGGTATGGAAGAACAAAGCCAGTCCTGTATTATTACATTCACAATAATTAAAATGCTGTGAATTTGTATAGGAGGTTGGATATGACAGTTCATTAGGCAAAGTGCTAAATTGTCAAGGAAATTTTGATTGAAATATTTTTGTACAAATCAAACAAGATATGAATAACTGTATTGTGATTTCCTGTTGCCATCAGTAGAACATAATGTGCAGACCTTAATGTAGCTTGTCTGATTTTGCTTTATTTCCTCAGGAGATACATTTTTATGGGGCAAATACACCAACACTTATGCCATACGTGATGCTACTGGCAGCTCGGTCTCTTGTTCCTTCAACATATATGTTATGCGTAAGTAAACACTTAACGAGAATGGATTTTTTTGTTTTTGTTTTTTCATATAGATAAAGTCCTATCAGATTTTTGTTTTAAAGTTCAAAATATTTTTGAAGAAAGCACGAGGAGTTCTCAAATTATTATAGATGTAATTTCAAAATAGCCAAAAAAAGGTGAAGTAACAAGTAGTAGTAACAATATAAAATCTGCTATCATAAAACAGGAGACAATAATGGTTAAAGTAGAAACAGTAAGTTCCAAAGTAACTGTATTCAGATAAGATTTGTTCACAGTTCTATTGAATATTCTATTTAAAGCTGAGAGATGCGTAGATCCCACACCCCCACATTTAGGAACAAGGACCTGTGAGAGGAGTTATAGCCCTTACATTGGCTGTAGAATTGCATGCTCTGATTCTACTAGAAGAATTGACCGATACACCCCTAAAGTTTACACTTGTGGACCTACAGGGGCATGGAATCCGTCCAACAGAAACATTCCAATTCGCTTCCCATCTTGTGGATGTAAGTTTTTTTTGGAAAAATTAACTGAAGAAAGCATAGACTGTCATACAGACAGAAATTAAATCAAAATTAAAGTACAAACTCCCTATTATACTTTTGTCTATAGTTTACAACATAAATCCATTTTAAGCATTTTATAGATTAAAATTCCAGTTTCTTCAGTAAATGATAAATATTTTTTCTCTCTTTGTGATATTAGTACACTTAATTGAAATTAATACTAAAATAATGATGCATTCTCAAAAAACTATTTTTGTTTTAGTGCTCCAGAACCCGGCAAAAAAGAAGCTAAAAATAAGACTGGCATATCCAAGTATTTCTACTGCATACTGTACAGGAATAAGAAACACACTTCCTACAAAAATACAAGAAATCATTGCCTCCATTAACCAGAAGTGGGGAAACAAAATCTGTGGACAGACCGACTGTGGTGATGTGACCATTGTTATCAACTGTCAGACATCCAGTGGAAGGAGGAAACGTCAGACAACACAGAGCCCAACATCAGTAGATATCACCATTCCAGAGTCATTGTAAGTTGACGTCCATGTAAATGTAAAGTCATTGGCACCTCATAGAATGTTCTTGTAAGTCGTTGTAATTCAGTGGCACTTAATGTAATTATGGCACTTAATGTAATTATAAGTCCCCTACTGGTGAAACCCCAAGAGGACTAAAAGATTCCTCCTGCTCAATCTGTTCCACTTGATATTCCACTTTTTATGGCATTGAGCTCTTGAGCTCGAATGCCATATAGTGGGCAACCAAACTTTACGTGACTGAATGTGTCAGTCCATGCATCCGCAAAAGAAAATAGCAATAACAATGTATCGATTTCTTTGAAAATATTCACAGTGAATAATAGCTTGAAAATAAAATTGCATCAATTATATCTACAAATGATTTGTCACATAATAAAGATACCCTGTTTTAATTTTTATTTTCACAAAAGAAAAATGTGACAGTTCTTGCGGATGAATTTCTAAAGAAAGGCTGTGTTGAATGACATGAATAACATTTACGAAGGAGAACCATGTAAACACGAACAACTTGTATTAATACAATTTAATAGGCAGTAAAATAACCACAATATTAAATTAACACGAATGCTAGAAGACTAAAAGGATAGAATTTCCAAATGTAAAAAAAAATGATTTTACAATCTTATGACCAATTTTATCATAAAAACTGAAGTTATTACTGTATTTCTTCCATATCAGATTTTACCGTGTAGGCCTACCACGCCCGATCATATCTCGATCATAGTCGCAACAAAGCGAGTTACGGTCATTGTTTAGATGCACTAAAACAATGCTTAGACATTGAAAATAGAATAATATTCATATAAATTCCTTAAATCCTTGATATTTCTTTAACTGACTGAAAAAGATGACTTTGATATCCAGCATGAACATGTTCGACGGTGTGTAGTCAATTCGAACCCTGCTCTATTCGGACCATGGGATAATGACTCAGACTGTAAATTTGACATTTTGTTTAAAACTTAAAATTTTTATAAGTCAATTATTTGACCTACTCCTATCTTTAAATTAAAAAAAAATGTTTTGAAACTGTTTTTCGTGTTCGATGCCATTGAAGCCTTTCAGGCTTTTGATTTTTTCTAAACGCTTCCAGATATTGAGCTGTATTTTGGTACGTGATTTTTTTTTTTACATAATTATGGCATTTTTAACTTTTAAGGGGAATCAGATTACATTTGCCGGTAGGGGAGTAGTACAAATATTGCTTATACTTTTCAAAAGTCATTGTAAGTTGACAGATCTACTATTGTAAGTCCGTGGCACCTGACACAGTTGTTATTTAGTCTATTTTTCCTTATAGAGCCTCACTCACAAGGAGTAATCCCCAAGAAACACTCACCATTGAGGAGATTCTGACTAGAAATATCCTGGAGTCACAGCTTTTTGATTTTTCGGTAAGACATATCTGGTAATTAAAACCATTTTTATAAATATGCATCAATATTTTAGCTCACCGTTAGTTTAGTGTCGACACTATACCCCTGCATTCAAATTTTGAGTGGAAAATCATAATGATGTAAGCTTGGAAATTTGTGAAAGTTTGTTATAATTTACTTGCCTCTGTGTTGTGAGGGACAATGAACAAGGAAAACTGTACAAAAGTGTTTCCTATAAATGGAGGTCTTAATGAGAAAATAATGGAAGAGGGGTATAATTACTCTCTTTTGGTTGCTTTCAGTTGAAAGTAAACATTCCCTAGTTTTTTGTTCCTTGCACCTCCTAAGTATCTGAGGTTTTGATAAGATATAAAGAGAAACTTTATTTTGTGTGTACATCAGATGAAATTTAATAATTTCAGGGAACAATTCCCAAAGGCTCACCAGATCTGAATCAGTTCACTTTAGACTCGACTGACAGCTGTCCCAGTGGAGAGTCGGTGGTGGATGGCTACTGTGGTAGGTATATGTAGATAGGTATACATAGTGTGGAAAATATCAGGGGTCACAAATCATGCTTAACCTATAGATCGATTTCCAGAAGAATCACTGAATGGTTTTGTAGAGATTGAAATTTGGACATTTGTATTGGGTCTATCTGTTTGTCTGTCTACAACTTTAACATTTGAGGTCAAGAAATCAAAATCTGTGGCAGGTCATTGTCGTACCTCATGGTCAAGAAGAATTTTGTCAAAGCCAGGAATATTGTATTTCAATAGTATATCATAAATCAAGGCTTCTCACTTATTTAATCTATACATGGCAATGTATATATACACTTCTGCAAAAGTTATTTGATGGGTCAATGTTTTCTCAGTCTAATTCTTTCCTTTTTAAGTCAAATGTGGACCAGGAAATTTCTTCAACAATGTCACCAGTATCTGTGACGACTGCCCTGTTGGAACTTACCAAGATCTGGATGACCAGGCCTCTTGTAAGCCATGTACTCAGGGATCTAATACACAGACTGTAGCCAGTACCAGGTCAACAGATTGTAAAAGTAAGTTCTCAAAACAGGAACTATAGCTAGCCTAAATAGAGGCATGTTAAGTTAGTTTAAGATAAGTTTTTACTTTTATCAGAAGTAAAGGATATAGGTTGCAGATTAAAAAAAAAATGAGGCTGAAGTCCCTGAATTAAGTCTACATCACATATTAAAATTAATGTTTTGTTAAGCAGCATTTGCCGAAAAAATGTAAATCAAGTTGAGCTATATTGCCCAGCACTGACAATATCTCTTTTTCGTTCAGCAATCTGTGACCCTGGACATTACCAGACAGGAAGTAGGTGTGAGCCTTGTCAGGTAGGCTTCTACCAGAACCAGTCAGGAATGTTCTATTGTGACCCGTGCCCTGTAGGTCAAACAACTCGAGCGGTTAAATCCACCTCCAGAAGTGAATGTTACAGTAAGTAATAGCATTAGAATGTTTCAAGGATTTCAAAACCTTTTCTTAAGATTTATTGGTTTTTTTTAACGAATAAGAAAAACAACTTCATAATTTTACAAATTGCAGATGACTGTAATCCTGGTTTTGAGCTGGCCCCCAATGGTACATGTGTACGTTGTCCTTTGGGTAAATATAGAACCCTGGGAACCACAGCAGTATGTGTTGCTTGTCCTTCTGACAAGACAACTCCAGCAACTGGTTCCACCTCAGTAGCTGACTGCTCACTCAGTAAGTAGCCAATTGAATGTTTTACTCATGTGTTATCATTGACAAATAGGAATATGATTGTGTTTGTGTTCATGCAACATGTAAAAATCCTATTGATATGGATGCCAAAGTTCATTATCCTCAAAGTCCATTTTTTTGATCTCTTAAAAAAGGTAAAAATACAAGTTATTTTTGTAAAGATAAAAAAGGTAATTAATATGCTAATAAGTACAGATTCATGTAAAAGGTCACTGTAATCATTAAGATTATGGTTGACCTTTAGTTTATGTTCATCATGTAGACCCAATGATTTGTGGAATACGAGGTATATGTTATAGAGAGTTTGTATTCCTGATTTTGCTATGATAAGAGTCTCATCTTTGATAACTTGAATCCATATGTTAAGCTCAAAGTTTGCCAAGATCCTGAGGTTTGACAAATCCGAACAATAAGGTAATTTCTCACTAGATATTGATATCTTTTATTCCAGTTTCTTGCCTCCAAGGAACTTATAGAGATGGAGAACCAGGACAGTGTGTACAGTGTGCGAAGGGAGAGTATCAAGATGAAAAATGGCAGACATCCTGTAAATCGTGTGGTGGTGTACGATACATGACCCTCAATAAAGGCTCCACACAAAAGTCTGACTGTATCTGTAAGTATAAGCCCTGCTCCAATTTCCATGATTTATAGGTAGTTTGAAACTGATATTTTTAAGTTTCTTTCAGAGATACATATAATAGAGTCTGATTGAGTCTTCTTGTTTGACCATTTCTAATTTTTAATTTTTATGCCCCGCCATGAATATGGCCAGGGCATATAGTGTTTGTCATGTCTGTCTTCCATCCATCTGTCCTTCCATCCTTCTGTCCTTCTGTCTGTCCTTCCATTGCACTTTGCGTTTAGCTCAGCTCAAAGCTCAGTTTCAAAGAAACTATCCAAGATATTTTCATCAAACTTCATATGCTGATAGATATTGATGAGAGCTCTGCAACTGCACCAACATTTTTTTGGCCTTGACCTTTCCTTTGACCTTGACCTCACTTTTCCTAAATAAGTGTTTAGCTCAGTTTTAAAGATACTATTCAATATAGTGTAATCAAACTTCATATGTTGATACAAACTTACAAGAGCTATGCAACTGCATCAACATTTTTGACCTTGACCTTTCCTTTGACCTTGACCTCACTTTTCTTAAATAAGTGTTTAGCTCAGTTTTTTCAAGAATCCATTCAAGATATTTTTATCAAACTTCATATGCTGATACACACTGATGAGAGCTATTCAACTGCATCAACATTTTTGACTTTGACCTTTCCTTTGACCTTGACCTCACTTTTCTTAAATTAGTGTTTAGCTCAATTTTAAAGAAACCATTCAAGATATTTTTTATCAAACTTCATATGCTGATACATACTGATGAGAGCTGTTCAACTGCATCAACATTTTTTTGGCCTTGACCTCACTTTTCTTAAGTTAGTGTTTAGCTCAGTTTTAAAGAAACCATTCAGGATAGTATTATCAAACTTCATATGCTGATACATACTGATGAGAGCTATTTAACTTCATCAACATTTTTGACCTTGACCTTTCCTTTGGAGAGTTATGGCTGAAAAACAAGTCCTGACAGACAAACACACAGACAAAACTGGTGGAAAAATCAACAGGAATAAATTTCATTACATCTCCTTACTTTCCATCCACCACATAACATTTTTAATTAGTATAATTACTTATAAAAGATTGAGTCTACATGTATTGTGTTGTCTTCTCTTCAAAAATTCACTTGACCTCACTTTTCTTAAATTAGTGTCAAACTTCATATGCTGATACATACTGATTTAAGTAATTCAACTGCATCAACATTTTTGACCTTGCCCTTTCATTTGACCTTGACCTCACTTTTATCAATTTGTATTTAACTCAGTTTTAAATAAACCATTCAAAATATTTTTATCAAACTTCATATGCTGATACGTATTTGTGAGAACTATTCAACTGCATTAAAAAAAATGTTTGACCTTGAACTTTCCTGTGACCTTGACCTCACTTTTCTTTAATTTGCATTTTACTTAATTTTAAAGAAACCATTTAAGATGTATTTATGTAAGCTTATGCACTTGTACATAATTTGGTGAGAATTTATCATCTATATCCAACTTTTTAGATTTCAATTTTAAAGAAAATATTCAAGATATTCTTATTAAATTTCACACACTAATACAAAGTTTCATGTTGCATTACTAATATACCCTCGGCGGGGCACTCACATCCTATGGACATATTTCTAGTTTGGTTTTTTTTTGCAGTCTTCTGTGAGAGTGGACAAGAAGTGGACAATAGCACCAGTTCACTGACCTGTGTCAACTGCCCCGTAGGAACTTACAAGGATAACTCAGTAGACCCAACAAGCAAATGTGTAACATGTCCAGGAGGCAAATTAACTGCCACAACAGGATCTGATTCCATTGATGACTGCTCTATTTGTAAGTGCTGGTAGGAGTCTGATGCAACATTTGGTTGTATACAGGCATTAGCCAAACATTGGATATACCTGAATTGATGTTGTGTATACAATTTTTATGTGACTTAAGGACCTGATACTCTTGTTTTAATGGGGTTGGATGTAGTTCCCATGTAATATATGCATCCCCTACTTTTGAACAATTTTCTGACCAAAAAAGTGCTTGTAATATGTGTGACTTTATGGTAATCGTGTAATTTGTGATAATGTTTCCACAGTAATGAATTCAAAATGAATAGTTCTGGATGGATTTCAAACATATGAATCAGGAATTAAAGTTGTCATGAATAATGGTTGGTTTACTCTCTTACAGTCAGATGTGCTGCTGGTTACCGGCCCAATGCCACTGCCAATGGCTGTGACCCCTGTCCTTATGGTACTTATCAGAGTCAAGCAGACCAGGAAAACTGTACCATGTGTCCTGCTGGTTACAGTACTTATCAAATGGCTTCCACTCAGCAGTCCGACTGTAAAGGTACAAAACTGGATCCATATTCCTTAGACATGTGTAGAACTTTATAAACACAATCTGGATATCAAGTCATAACTCCCCAAAATGTTCATTTTGAATATCTCCATTATATGTACATTTGCATTAATGTCTACCAACATTCTGATGGGTGTTCATCTTTAAAACTTTGAGTAAAATTGGTTGAAAAGTCTTTACAATTGCTGATTCATTAAATGGTAAGACAATAAATTGAGCTTTAGTATATTTATTTTTTATTTCCAGTGTTCTGTGAGTCTGGGAAGGTTCGTAATGAACAGCTTCAGAGATGTGATGACTGTCCTGTCGGTTACTACAAGACAAACACGGATTTCAAGTTCAGTAATTGTACTAAGTGTCCCATGGACTACGTCACTCCTGCTACCGGATCAGATTCTGTTGCGGACTGCACTGTCAGTAAGTCATATCTGCTTGGGTTGAGTTTATTGTAACAAATTCACGTGAATGAAACTCTTTTGTCACAACCATACATCATAAAAGAGAAGTATTTCACAGTGAATTACTGAGTTAAAGGCCAAGTAACACAAAATAAGCCTCAAACACTGTGCCTATTCTACTCTGATGTACTGTTGTTATCAAGAATCCAATCTCCTAAGAGATCTTTGTTAAGCAAATTCTGTAATTTTTTTTGACAGCTTGATAATGCTCTCAACCTTCTAATTTTATCTTCAGGGGATTGCCCAGCAGGAACAAAGAGACAGACAGGTGATACAGGATGTGACGGATGTCTGAGAGGACAGTATCAACCAAATCCACACCAGGCAACATGTTTAGACTGTCCACCCAACACATACACCCGCAGTGTCAACTCCACCAAACTGAGTGACTGTGAAAGTAAGATTCCTTTGAAAGATAAATATTGTGGTCTTGCTGAGTTAAATGATGGATTTTAATATTTCCTAAGTTTTAACCTGAAAATAAATATATCTCATGTTCAGTTATACAGCATCTGATAAACTGACATCCATCTTTGGTCGAAGTTGTGTATTTAACTTCATATAAATAATCATAAAAACTTACATTTGTCATTTTCTGGTCATCTCGATTATCCAGTTGTCTCGGCATACATTCACAGCCCTTAGAGCATTTTAATCCTTGTATATTGATACCGGTCAATTCTCTGTTCTGCCTTAACTGGTTTACACCTTCCAACCCTGATATTTTGACTGAAGACAATCTAATTGATTATATAATCTGAATGTAATATTATATCTACTAAATAAACCACCAATATATTTTTCAGCATTCTGTCCATCTGGCCAGGAGAAGACAGGGGGAGTCTGTGTTACTTGTACAGTTGGGTACTACAAAGATAACAATGTAGATAAGTTCTCCATGTGTACTCTATGTCCTGCCCAATTCATCACTGCCAACAATGGATCTACTGCAGAAACAGACTGTACAATAGGTAGACTTTTTTCTGTGTATGTTTTGTTGTGTGTACAATTTTCGAGGGGAATTCAAGTAAAATCTTTCATAGATTCATTTTATTCATATTCGACAATGAGTGCTAGCTTGTCCTTTCATTAATGTTGAAATATTTTTTACAGTATTCTCTTTCTTTTTTTTTTTGAATTTTTTAATATTTCTTTTGTGATTTGTTATGTTGATGCACATATTTACAGATATCAGTGATCATATATCACTACTTGAGTATTATTGATATTGTCAAGCTCTATTTATCATCTGACATTTTCTTCAAATTGCTGTGGAGAGGATAGGAAAAAATGGACTTTAGTTGTATACATGTTCTGGCAGGCATTTCTTTGTGAAGACTTGTGTTTTTCACTCAGTGTTCAATATGTTCAATTTTCAGCCAATTGTTCTGCGGGACATTATCGAGATGGTAACAACCAGTGTCAGCCATGTGCCAAAGGTTACTATCAGCCGGACCGATGGCAGACATCTTGTGTTCAGTGTCCCACAGACAAAACCACAGAATCAACGGGATCTACCTCCCTGAGCATGTGTCAATGTAAGATTGTAGTACAGGGCCACTATTAATGTGTCAATGTAATATTGCAGTACAGGGCAACTATTAACAGTTCTGCAGGGCACAGTACAAGTTCAGTTCCTAATAGTTATTTTAGAGTTCTATCATTTTCCATCTCAGATCTTGATTCTTTACCATTGCTTCATCAACTTTAATTGACAAGAACATTTATCTTTCTAAGATTGGTTTGTATAACCACAGAGATTTTATGAATGGTTAGCATACAATATATTTATGATCAATAAACAAACTTTGAGACAGAGATTTTAAACTGTGTAAGTCTTCTGTTATTGTATTTTATTCTTATGACGTGTGTAATTGTTGCTGTTTTGATTACAGTACAGTGTAGTCCTGGTTATGAAGACATCAATGGAACTTGTATGAAGTGTAAGGTTGGAAAATATAAATCCGAGTATGCTGCTGCCCTGTGTAAACCATGTCCTGAAGGATTTATAACACAAGCTGAGGGAGCCACTCATGAGACCAATTGCTCTGTCCGTGAGTATTTCTGGAAATTTCTTGAACTCAGCTGTCTCTGAAATTCATCCAATTTTTGGTCACTTGAGTCACTTAGGTGACTTATTGCTCTCCGTTTGTGACCATCAACATGCGTCATGTGTTAACATTTAAACATTTTTAGCTTCTTGTCTGGAACTGCTGAACCAATTTCAGCCAATTTTAGCATATGGCATCTGAGGGTGAAGGGGAACAAAAATTGTGAAATTCATGGCCCTATCTCCCTGGGACTTAAGGGTGGGGCTGAAAAAAATAAAAATTCATGTAATCTTTAAAAACTGTGTTCTTTACTCCTGGACATCAAGTAGTCAAACTGTTGGCATGATTGTAATAAGCATTAAACCCTCTATCAAAATTGTTAAATTCATGGCCCCAGTATTAGGGGTTCCAGTCTTCTCTCCCCCTGTATATTTAGCAGATGAACTAGGTCATGGTAATGATGAGCAAGGGTGCCTCTTCCAAAATAGTGCAATTTGTGACCCCAGGGTCAGGAACTCTTAAGTTGGAGGGAAGAGGGAGGCTGTATTGATTATCTGTGAAAATGCATTATTTCTTTGAAAATCTTCTCTGCTACTGGGTATTAATCAAACAAAGTATGTTCATAGTTATGATGAGCAAGGGTACCTCTTTTGAAATTGTGAATTTCATGGTTCCTGGATTAGGGTTTCTAGTTTTAGGGCAGGGCCAGCTCTATTGATTATATAGTGAAAATGCATAAATTCTTTGAAAATTATCTTCTCTGCTCCTGAGTATTTAGCAGATAAATGAAGTGCATGGTTATGATTAGCAGGGTGCCTCTTCAAAAATTGTGAATTTCTTGACCCCTGGGTCTAGGGCCTCTGTGCTAGAGTGGAATTCCATTGATTATATAGTAAAAATACACTAATTCTTAGAAAATCTTCTCTGCTCCTGGGTATTGAGCAAACAAACTAAGTGTATGGTTATGATGAGCAAGTGTGCCTCTTCCAAAATTTTGAATTTCATGGCCCCTGAGTAAGGGGTTCTGGTGTTATGGTGAGGCTGTGTTGAATTTATAGTGAAAATGCATTTTTCCTTGAAAATCTTCTCTGCTCCTGGGCATCTAGGAATCAAACAGGACACAAAGTTGAATAAGCGTGGGTATTTTTACCAATTTTTTTTTAACCACTTGGTAAAGTGTTCTGGTGCTGGGCAGGCCTCTTTTAATTTGTAGTCTACTGAGAGAAGTTGTTTGCCTTTTATATTCACCTGTGATAATTAAATACTGTGAATAATGTAATTGAAGGGTTAATTGAATAAGAGAATACAAGATTTTTTAATAATATATATAATGCAAAAAGTACTATCATAGTTTTTAACGCTCAAGTAGAGTTGTAAATAATAGAAAGATAAAGAGACAACAATACCTTATCTTTGTATATTAAATGTTCTTAAAGAACAAGAGAGGTGAGGCCAGCATGAGAGGGAATGAGATTGGTTTTCTGATAGTGCTTAAGCACTGTTGCCTTGTTTAGTCAGAACGTGATAATGACAAATGGGGGCAAGTAGACTAATTGTTTTGGTGATCCATGATCATCGTATTTCTCTTGCTTTTGGGCATTATAGCTTCATCTATCGGTTTATTGTGTTTTAATTTATACTTCTATGTATTCTTTACACAGTTGTATTATACTCAAGTGACCATTGAGGCCCTTGTACCTCTTTTTGAATTTGCCTAGTAATGACCAGGATTAAAGGAGCAACAATAATTTCCCTGTGTACTGTATTTCAGCATCCTCGCAATGTCAAGGCTTTGTGATTTCAGAACTCCACACAAACCCTTGACATAAGTTGCTATCTAAAAGTTGGGATTGTAGTTACGCATGACGTAATTGGTATTTATAAACTAACCAATGAGAATATATTTTTCAAATCTGTTGTTATCAAATTGCCCATCTTTTGTGATTATAAGAAGGACGATCTTCAAAAAATTAACCCCCGATGTTTCATTTAAAGTAACTAGTTACAAATCCCACAGTATTGACACTTTCCATTTTAAAGATGAGTCATATTTTTTTGCAAAAATTACCTACAATAAAACTGTTTTGTGATTGGTTCCAGTCCTAGACCAGGAACAAATGAAATAGTAGCTTTCTAGCCCCACTTTCAAATAACGACTTATGTCAAGGGTTTGTGTGGAGTTCCGAAATCACAAAACCTTGACATTGTGAGGATGGTATTTCAGTAGTGTATAATTATCCAGGGATTTATCAGTACCTTCTCAGGGGCCGAAATTCAGCCCCATTCCCAATCGAAAATTAGTTCAGTTTTTCCCAATTTGGCAGTATTTTTTCCCAATTGGTGAACAATGCTTTTATATTTAATTATCTTGGAAAAAACTAAGTAAAATTTTCAGATTGTCTGTAATTTTCCTCTATTTATCTCATTTAGAAAAGCTACTTAGTCACAACACATTTAAAAACACTGTAAACATCACCGACTTTTAATCCAAATTTCCTCCGTTTTTCTGAAAATGGTGTAATATTGTGTAATAATATAGATTTATTAAGTTATTTCCACCTACTCAGTTGATCTATGAGTGAATGGTAAGAACTGTAGGCATTATTTCAGATGGGAAAATTTATCTGCAATACATTTTTAGCTCACCTCAACGAAGTTGGGGGAGCTTATGTAATACCCTTGGTGTCGGTGTCGGCGTCCCAGGTTAAGGTTTTTGGAGCAGTTTTCTTTTCAAGTACTTCTATGGCCTATATTAGTCAGAGATGCATGGAGGATGCTTCTAGTGTGTTTCATTGTACCAGTCAAGGTTTCAGATGCTGCAATTTCAGCTAAAGAATGACCAGGTTAATGTTTTTGGAGCAGGTTAAAGTTTTTGGAGCAGGTTAAAGTTTTTGGAGCAGGTCTCATTTCTAAGTAACTATAAGCCCTATATTGACCAAACTTGCATGGATGATACATCTAAGGATGCACGCTACTGAACTTGCTTCGGATGCTAATTCTGACCTATATTTTCTGGATGAGTGACCAAGTTAAAAGTTTTTGAAGCAGATGTCATATCCAAGTAACTATAAACCCTATATTGACCAAACTTGCATGGATGATACATCTAAGGATTCACACTACTGGACTTGCTTTGGATGCTGGATCTGTACTACATTTTCCGGATGAGTGACCAGATTAAAGTTTTTGGAGCAGATCTCATTTCCAAGTAAGGCCTATCTGAACCAAACTTGCATGGATGATGCATCAAGGGATGAACAATCTCAAAACTTGCTTCGGATGCTGGATTTGACTTACATTTTCTGAATAAGTGACTAGTTTTAAGTTTTCAGATAAGTCCATTCCCAAGTAACTGCAAGCCCTATCAGACCAAAATTGCATAAATGTTGCATCTAGGGACGCACACTCCTAGATTATTAGTTTAGTGTGGGACTTTGCCTTACTTAAAGACAACATTCGTTGAGGTGAGCTCTGTAATCTTTGATTACCTATGTTTACATATTAAAAGGGGACTTTGAGAAAATAATGTACTTAGTATAATTTTTTGCAGGATGTTTATAATCTCCAGAAAGATGTTCTAATGACCTAAAATGGAATCTCATACACACATGTACTACCCTAGTTGTATAATTTAAAATACTTAATACTCATTTGAGTCAAATTTAGTTTTATTAGTCTATTGTTCATAATTGATCTTGTATGATGAAGTTGGATCATATTTAATTGTCTGTTAAAAATTACCGGTAACTTGGTTGCCCAATTAGAGTTCATGCTGAATTGTTAAATGAATTACACCTGAATACATGATGAATTACACCTGAATACATGATGTAAGCAAGATTTTTTATTTTTCCCAATTTCATCAAAAAGCCGATCATTTTTCCCAATTCCCTAAAAATGGCTTTTCCCAAAATAGGCTGATAAATCCCTGTTATCAAATGCAAGGTTATGATGACTGCTGCAAAATTTTAGAACACTAATAAAAAACTTTCATACACTCTCTCCTACTTAATATGTAGCTGCCTGCAATGCTGGATCTTACCTTGAAAACAACAAGTGTGAGCTTTGCCCTTATGATACATACCAACCAAAGAAATGGCAGACAAGCTGTGAAAACTGTCTTTCACCTACATCTGTGACACAAAAAATGGGTGCCAGCAATGCTGACGAGTGTGTGGGTGAGTTCAAATGTCACATCCCTTCTTTTGTAAAGGCATGAAAAATAATGTAAATTCAATTTTCCTCTGCAATAGTAAGATATCAAGACTGTAAATTGCATTGGAAGTAAATTAAGAAATATTTTATTGAAAGAATTGCAGTTGAACAATGTCTTCATGATAATAGTATTAAACTAACAGCAAATAAGTAATGGGTAGAGGAAATCTATGAAAAGTTTACGTTTTGTGAAATATATAAAGTTGCAAATGAAAAGTTTTAATAAATGTTGCAATTTTTGAAAGTCAAAATTTAAATAATAATGTTTTCATAAATTTCTTTTCTCTTAGTGGATTGTGACTCTGGTGACCAGTATGATCCTATAACTAAAGGCTGTATTGGTTGTCTGCGTGGCTACTACAGAAACAAAACTGTTCGACAACAGCTAACATGCCAGATGTGTCCAATAGAATTCATCACTGTTGGTGACCGTGCCAAAAGTGCCAATGACTGTACCATCAGTAAGTCAGATGCAATAACTTCGTATGAATTTTTTCATATAGACAGTGTATATCATTAAAATTATAGTTGTCACCCCAAAAAAGCCCCTTTTAAATAAGTATGATTTAAATATGATAATTAAGTTTATTGATAAAATTTAAATACATTTCTAACTCATGCATAAGATCACAGTGTTTCTTTGTTTTGGCACGAACAATGTTCCAGTGAAGTGTAAAATTTTCAATACATCATGTACTTGGACATAGCTCCATAAGTAAATTATCTCAATTGAATATACTTATTTAAAATATCAATACAAATTTTCGTCAAAGCTAGCAGAATAGAAATACATACATGAACTTCAGGATTCCTCTTTAAAAAAAAATTGAAAATTAAAAATCTTGCCCTTGAACTTGGATTACTTTTCCAAAACTTATCTTGATATTGATCAATATATAATAATAAAGAAACTCTTAAGTTCAAATACTTGTTTCTTAAATCAACCCTTTATGGTGTAATAAACATACAGTTACTTGACTTAAGACAGATCTATTTTGAGCCCCTTTTCCCATTGCTTTAAGCACTCCAAGAATATGATAACTTCAAGAAGATGATAACTTCAAGAATATGATAACTTTAAATCTCTCCTCAGTCTGCATTATATGATTGTAAAGTTCATGGTAGTATCATTCGTAAAATTTTCAAGAAATATGGTATCTGCATGGAAATAAAACAATTTTATCAATTTTGAACTTATTTAGATATTTCTCTTTTTGCTGTATACAATATTGAATTTATGAATTTCTTATTTTTCTTCATGTTTCTTCCATTTTTTAGAAAACTGCACCTCCCCAGGTCAGTACAGGAATCCAGCAGATAATCAGTGTACAGATTGTCCAGTGGGAACGTACAATGACTATAAATGGCAGGACAGTTGTACCAACTGTCCACAAGGCTACACAACCAAAACAAGAGGAATGACCAGCAGGGAAAACTGCACCAGTAAGTCATATACCTTATTTATCAAATAAATATTTTACAGAGTGTAAAGAGGTACAGCAGCACATTTTGATAATGTTAAAGTTATGTCCCTGTACCAGTAAGTGCTGTCCATTCCTCAGAAACCTTTAGCACTTTTATACCTGAGATTTTCTTGGATGATACAAAATATATTTGCCTAATACATGTAACTGTTTTGGGTAGGATTCTGTATATAAAACATCTCATCTTCGCTAGCCAAGGGTTTCTGATCCGCTACTCTCCTCACAAACCCTTGGCATACGGTGCAGTCAAAAGTTGGAATTGTTTACGACACGTGATCTCGTATCTTCCAACATACGCACAAATTGCGTCATCGACAAATATGATAGGCCTATTTGAAAATTTAAGTTTTTTAAAGAATAATTAACAAGAAGATATTGAGCAGTGTTTATTTGTTATTTATCGTGCAAATCTACATCTACAATAAGATTCTTGATCACAATATTTGTACATCAGATTAAGATTGGATGACACAATTTCTATTTATAGAGTGGCATGTTATCTTACAAATCGTTGTTTACTTGTGTTTTTCATTCCCGAGACTAAAGAATCAAGATATATCCCGAAGGCAAATATCATCATTTACAAAAGCAATTGCTGATTGGTCGAACGATGTCCATCAACTCAAATCACAACTCGAGAAAAAAAACCCAACTTTTAATAGCACCGTATGCCAAGGGTTTGTGAGGAGAGTAGCGGATCAAAAACCCTTGGCTAGCGAAGATGAAAACATCTTTGTATATGCAATTTTTTTTAACTACAATGGATATTTACTACATTGGTGCAGGACCATACTTTTATTCTACAGATTCATTATGTAATAGCAGAAAAAACATGACAAACTTAAAAACCAATAGATTTTGTGTTTGTGATGTTTATGGTATGACCAACTTGCACTCTAACTCACAGAAAAGTGTAAAAAAAAAAAAAAAGAAAAAAGAAAAAGAAAAGAAAAAAAAAGCTATATAGTGGTATATTATATTCACCCCTTTCTTAGCAAAATATGGTAGTAACCCAGTCTTAAGCAAGTCAGTCACAGCAAAATAATTTTTAGCATTAACATGCGATTTCAACACCCCACAACAATTGGATTTTATGACTTTACATTCTATTTATATTTTTTAGGGGATTGTCCATCTGGACAGTATGAGTTACAAGGTGTCTGTCAAGTTTGTCAGCAGGGTACCTACAGAGACAAAACTGAAGGGTTTGAATGTAAGCCGTGCCCTGCTGGATACACCACACAAGGCACTGGAGCCACCTCTCGTTCTGACTGCAGCATAAGTATGGGCTTTAGAGTACTTTCTGTGCAAACAATCATGTTATTTTTTTTACGATTTTTTAGTATGGAGGCAAATATAACCTTACGTGTTGGCACTGCAAAAGCAGAATATTCATTTTTGTGCTAAATTTTGTTGATATCATTTATCAAGGAAATTTAATCTGGAGTGAAAATTTTACATAGATATATTTTAATATACAGTTGAACTTTGGTATCTCAAACACCAATATCCTGAATACCATGGATATGTCAAAGTGATTTTGAAGTCCCAATCACATATTCTTTAAGTATTTACTCTCGATATCTTAAATCCTCGGATATCTCGAAGTTTTTTCTCGGTTCCATCGAGTTCGGGATAACGAGGTTTGACTGTATTTATTTGTGAAACAATGAAATTTTAAAAGTCTTCAAAAAATCAATATAGATTACAAATCAACAAAATTTTATCCCCACAAAAATATTTGCTTCTACAGTATCTCTTCCTTTTCCTCTGATAAAAGTTTATTTTTTGTTCTGTTTTAGCTAACTGCAATGCAGGAGAGTTCTTTAATGACCAGCTTCAGAGGTGTGAGCTCTGTGGTAATGGAACATACCAGGATCAGCCAAGGTCAAGTAGCTGCAAGTCCTGTGGAACAGAGGGATATTTCACTGTCAACATGGGCAGCACATCTATTTCAGACTGTAAAAGTACGTCTATGCTGATGTTAAAATTAGCTCGTGATTTTTATTATAAAAATTACTGAATAGAATCTAGAATCTACCAGATTCTATCTTGCGTTAATATGGAAGTCTCTTTGCATAAACCTAAATTTTACTTTGAGCTTCATATTATCATTTTATTTTGTGTCTTTGGGCACTTGGTTTTGTTGATTTAGCTCCACCAGAGTAAGAATAGCAACCTATAAAAATGAGATTTCTTACCTTCTCATGTGGTTTTTCAAGAATTATTGATTATTTTCATTGATTTGAAAATCTGTAATGTGCACTGATATTGATTGAAATTTTCACCATTTTCATGGTGTGTTGAAATTTCCACTTATACTTGGAATGCTATATTTTCCTGACTGTTGGTTTAGCTTGAGCTGATACATTTATCAGTAAAATATCCTTTTTTTATCCACAGGGTTCTGCGATTCTGGAAACAACAATTGTCACCTGGCTGCCTCCTGTACCCCCACTGCCAACAGCTTCACCTGTCAGTGTAACCAAGACTTTGAGGGGGATGGCACCAACTGTACTCGTAAGTTTCCCTTCTATACTGGTGATTAAAATTTAAAAGGTTTCAACTTTATTTAAAAAGTTCCTGCCCAATTGTGGATATAGGAACTACAACTCATTCTAAAAGTCAATTTTGTTTGACTAGCTAAAGAGAGCATCAAATAATAGTAATTTTGTTGACATACTATCCCACAGAATGTCTTTCAATACAATTGTACTGCATTATTTTGAATTAATTTAGTATTTTCTAGAACAGCTTTTGTTTATCAAGTTGTATCCTACAAGATATTGTTTGAAAAAATAGTCATAATTTTTCAAATTTGCTTTAATTATTATATGGGGCCAGGAGATATTGGGGGTGTAATATGTAAAGAAAAGGAATTGCCAAAAATTCAGATTTTTATAAATTTTCCTAATGTACATTCTATTTTAATTTATTTTAGATAAGTGTGATTTAGGCTATTGTGTACATGGAACATGCATCAAGTCACCTATGCTTGTATGTCAGTGTGGTACAGCCTATCTAGGAGACAGGTGTCAAATTCGTAAAGGTATGTAATGTATTGGGTCAGCCTCTGAATTAAATAAAGAAGAGCTGGAAGAGTCCATTATCATGACAAATATTTTGCTTTGTAAATATATATTTTTTTCAATCATATGTAAAGAATGGGACTCAAAGAAGATTATTTTATATAACTGTAAGGGGCACAAACGAAGTTGTTGCCAATATCATTCAAAGGCATGAAAAAGAGCCTATTTTTATCCTACTGGAAATAATATTTGTCTCACATTTTCATTGGTAGATTTCAGTAAAGAATCGCAGCAACAGAATGAGACAGTGATTATTGCGTCTGTGACGGCAGGAGCTGCTCTTATGATTCTAGCCATTCTGGTTGTCTGCTGTGTTGCTAGGGCACGCAAGTAAGTTATATTACCTATAATTGTTGTTTCACTTCATGTTCATTAGAATACAAAATTATTTCAAGTCTAAGAATCAACAGCAACATTTTATTTTATATATATATATATATACGTGTATATATATATATATATATATATATATATATATATATATATATATATATATATATATATATACATATACATACATATATACTGTTAGATCTAGAAGTTGTAAAAAATATCATTTGTGAAAAGAACAAAGAATAGTTATTACTGGCATATGATTTTATATTCAAACTGTATATGATTTTATACTCGATTAAAATATATACACTGTATAGAAGAATTTGGAAAAGGCATAATTACATGTATATACTGACTGAAAATGATCAACTGTTTTTGTTTCTTTGATTTTACAAATTTTTTTCAGAATATTCTGTGTTATTTGAAAATGGGGACAAAACAAAAATATTGAATTGATTTTTGGAATTCATAGAGAATCAGTATAGACATTACATGAAAAGAGGAAGTCTTAGCAGACCTGCACTTAATGTTTCCTATTCAAAAAAATGACAAAATATGTATTTTCTCATGAAATTATTGAAATTGGGATTTAAAAAAATAAAAAATAATTTTTATTTTTTTTTTACATCAGAATTGATTTGGATTTGAAATGATTTGATGATGATTATAGATTTTATGTTAAGATTTGATTTTTTTGTGGTCAGGAAATGGCCTTTTTTTGTAGGGGGGTGCATTGACATAAACCAAGCAAATTGTGATTACAGATTTTTGATTTCTATTATACCATGTTAGTTACAAGAATTGGGGATTTACTTTCAGAAGACCAGAGAAGTACAGTCATCATACAGATTACACAGGTGGACCACCAATGGATAAAGCTGCGTTGTATGGTCCACCATTTCCCACGAGTCCATATGATAATTACAGTATGAGGTCATATTCTGCTGGTGGATCCTTTAGGAACGTAACCACATTGCCAGAAATTTCATATCATAATCCAGGTTTTCAAGGTGAGTGACATTTTTTTCAAATGTTTACTTGATCAAGTGCCGTTTATGTACCTTTCTATTAACGAAATATACTGAATATGTGCACCCTTATATGATATATTTTTCTCAAATTCCAAAAAGCATTTTTCAATAGTGTTGAGATCTTCCTTAAAAATGTTTTAACAATTACCGGTAGATAAGTAAATTAACTTAACAAAATTTCCTGTTCAGTTTTGGCAAAGCAGTGTCAACAACAAGGGCTAACTTTAAGTATGAAGTCAGGACTTGGAACTTGAACTCAATAATGCAAAATGTCATTTCAGATGACCCGGCAGTTTACCAGGCCTGAGAAAGAAAGAGTTTAAAAGTTAAAGAAATCAACATTTTCATGACAATATGAGCCAGCGAGTGACTGTGCCACTTTGATAATATCACTGTGTGATGACCTTGCCATATTATTATTCATCATACTCATTATACTGTATACCTATACTCCTGCATCTTATGTTTTGTCTTCATTTATTTATGTCTTGTGTTCTTCATTTAATCAAAGTGATAATATTATAAGCATCAAATATTGCATTTTCAGATTTTTAATGACTTTTTTTGTTTTCGCATTTTATTGTTTATTTTTTTGAATGTCTTATTTTTTTACCGAGTGTTAATAGTTTACAAATGTTTATGTACAGAAAGTTGAAGAAAATGCACACTCTATTGTTGACATTTATATGTCGAGATATTTTACCCCTAGATCTCTCAATATAGTCCCTAATAATAATAATAGCAATAATGTGCCAGCTGGGATCTGCAATAATGCTGTGAATATATAGATCATACACAGTTGAGATATAGACCAGGGTACACAAAATATCAGTAGAAGAAAAATCTGAAAATGTTATACGAAGTACTTAAATTGTAAATAGCTGAGATAATTAACTCTTTTTATATGTAACTAGGTCAGGGTCACACAAGGGGTAGAATATCTTTATTTATATCTGACTGCTGATTGGTATGTTAAATGATGTATTCTTAGCTTGGTATATTCCATATAGAGTGACTGGAGAAGAGCATTTGTTCACTTGGAGTTAGGTATTTTTAAAAATACTCTGAAAAAAATGTGTATGGTTGACAAAATAGCCTCACTACAGCAATCAAATATGATGTTATTAGCTTATATACTCATTTTTTTCTGTCATAATAAAAATTTATATACATGTACGTATTAAATATATTTAACTGGATTTATGTATAATCAATATTATGCAAGTTTACAAACATTATTATGTTGATGATTTACTTCTATGTGTTGTGTTATTTTTATGCCCATTGCAAGGCAAGAGAGCACATCAAGTTATGGTGCTGTGCTTGGTGTTGTACATTGATTGCAGGGACCATCTAAATCTGAAATCAGCTTTTTCAGTATATTTACATGTAGTTTTATGATATTGTATGCTGCCTTTTAAAAAAAAAAATGGTGGTAAAATTCTAAATGTAATGGTATTGGGAAAGCTTATGACTTGAACCAACATGAAGTTTTGAGTCTTCATTGAGGTCAAATCAGAATCTTTTTATGGTACGATTCTTCTGCAGCTTCTTGCTGACTTTTAGTTTCTAGACTTTTGATATAGATCGTCTGCTTTGTTGCCCTGTGTGACACAATCTTTTGAAACTGATTTCAATGTAATTTCAACATAACCATTGGAGGTTATTAAAAACCAAATTCTTTTTAATGTCACCTTCAGTAATTGCATATCATAGGCATCAAATACTGCAGGCACATGTATGTTCCAATATTGTCATCAAAGAACACCAACGTGCATTCTGATTGGCTGAAACACCTTTTACATTTCCAGATAAGGCTAAGTCACCAAGCTGCAGGATCAGATTGAGGCTGCATGTGATAAAATAACACATTGGGATTGAAAGTGATTCAAAAATGTCCAACATTTTGACTTGCAGCAAGACTGACTTGACAATGAAAGAAAGAAAAACCTCTATTAAACTTGGTGGCTAAACCAAACCCTCAAAATCTATGAAAGAAACGATCAAGCTTCTAGGAAATGAATAACTAGAAATGTGTTAAGAACATATAAGGAGTACTTATCTACAAGCCAACCTCTGCATAAAGTACAATGGCTATCAACTTCATGGTTCTTAATATGTTGACTGGACAATATTTGACTTAGTGACCTTTGAATATGTTACCTGGTGATTGACAGAGGGTCTATTTTTTTTAAAATGGTAATCCAGTAAGTTAGAAACCATTGCCATCTGGCAAATTTATGTTGTAACTAAAGCAGTCTTTCTATCACTTCAGGTAATCTGGGGCATACGGTAATATCATTTAAAAAGCTGGAGTGTTCCGAGGAACGCTAGTTTGTGTCGCCTGCTTTATAGCATCGTTAAAGATGTAAATATATCTAAGAATGGTCAGCTCTTTATTTTGCAACTAGTTATAAATGTAGTTCATACATTTGCCTGCAAAGAAAAAAACATCCAGGAACAGTAAGATTGTGATAGAATAGCATGTATGAAATACAAAGATAACGAACAGAGTCCAAACAATAGATTTGGAGCAGATCAAACACCGACCTCTTAAAACATCAGAGGTGGGATCAGGTGCTATGGATGAGTAAGCATCCCCTGTCGACCGGTCACACCGGCTGCATGCTGGCAAGTTTTATGGAAATATCTGTAGACAATTCAGTGTGAAAATAATGGCCTAACAATTTGTATGAAAACGTCAGTCAACATTAGACTTAATTGATAAATTGTATTCGCTGACAAGGTCATTGTATCAACCATAGAATTTGCGAAATGTCGACTTTAAATGAGCTTAATTGTTGATATTCTTGTTTCATCAACTTATTTGTCAATAGCTTGTCTCACTTTAACTCATTGCTTTATCATGAAGTTTTGTGGTTGAGTTATAATATGTACCATATAAAATGTGACAAAGAAATATGAATCCCCAACTCTTAAATCTAAAATGAACAAGCATTCTGAGAGTATTGCATAAGCAATACTAGTCCCCTACCGGCAAGTGTAATCTGGTTCCCGTTAAAAATTGAAAATGCTATAATTCTGTCAAAAATCAATGAAACGGAACGAAATGCAAACTTGAGATCTATAACTAATCAAGGAAAAGTCACAAACCAAAAATCAGCTCGATATCTACAAGCGTTTCGGAAAGAAGTGCGGAAAACCAAGTGGGACAGACTGACAGACAGACGGACGGACAGACTACAAGTACATGTATCTGTACATACACTCATAGTACTGCAAATGCAACCTGTGCACCAAACCTCCTTTATCAAATTTTGAAGTTTCACAAATTGATATTTTCCTTTCTTCAAACTAATGTGTTACTTGTATAAATAAGAGATGTGATTGGGCTAATTGTCTAGGATCAAAATAGTTTGAAGCAAACTTATTCTTTTCCATGTTTGATAATTTATTTTTTGTAGGAATAAGGTAAAGTGCAAAGGTGTGAGAGAAAAATTTCACATGCTCAGTGCAGTTAAAAACGAGACACACAAAAAAATGTTCTCAATTTCTTTCTGTTGTGAAGAATTTAATACACGGTCGTTGTTGCAGTCTTTGAAAAGTAACTGTTTTGTGAGCTGAACTCTAGTCAACACGTGACCAGAAACCGTTCACCGCTATCAATCGAAAGTTTAGGAACACTTACCGACTCTTTCGACTTCTGTTGCTAAATGATTTTTCAATAGTCAACTTCCATATTATTTTTCACTAGTTTGAAGATCATATTTATCATTGAAAATAACCTCTGACTAAAAGTATCGTAAAACGTAGTTTTAAAAATAATTCTGTTTACTTTTACTAACAATGTACTACATGGAAAAATTGAAATACATGAACAGTAAATCTCTAACAGAATTGATTGATTTCTTACCGAGGAACAAAGTACCCTTTTCTCTACCTGTTATGAAGGGTTTAATTCAAAGTAATTTTTGCAGTCTTTAAGGTAGTCCGATCATCAGGTTCTGAAAGTCAGGCATTGAATAATTGAAAATGCTCACAAAAATGTCTCTGAATTCTCAAAGTAATGTGAATTTACCCACGGTGATTGTTCAAACTTCATTATTGAAGTTAATCATATTATATAGGAAAAATTAGTAAATCTCACATAAATTTTCAGGAAATGCGAATAAAGACACCTACTATGCATTTTCTAATTGGAAATTTATCAATAAAAACATTTTAGGATAAAGAAACTATAGGTATCCAGGCATTTGAAGAAAATTGCATGATTTTTATACTTATACAATACTTTAGTTTCTTCTGTGTAATTCAATTATTTTATAATGCATTGTTTGTAAAGTGTCTCCTATCATTGCAAAATACCATAAATCATTTCAAATTTCATATCATGCTAATTAGCAATGGTATATAAGGCTAACTTGAAGGAAAAGTCCATTTCTTTAAATCTGTATTTTTAACATACCTTTATAGGGTAAAAATATCAATGTTTTAAAAAACTGTTTCTAAAACTTCAAAGATTGAGATGCATAAAATGAAAATTGTTGCATGGAAAGATTTCATATTAAAGCTTGATTTTGAGACTTCTTGATTTAAATAATAAATTAAAGAGTTAACCTTCCTGGCTGAGGATCGAATGTCCTTCAGAATATGTGTTTTCTCGTAATCTCGTCACTGAGCCCTTGCATTCATATTAGTTTCATTCCAATGATCGTTGTACTTACGTCGTTCAAAGGGAGATCATTTGAGTACATCAAGAGTTACCTTATGCAAATTTTACAAGAATACAGCTAAGCATTTGAGAGATAAGTATAAATTGGAGATTTCTAGAGGGTGGTGGTGGGATACTATATATATAGCTTATTTACAAGCAAAAATCTTCTGCTTGTTTTAGGCAATAAATCTTCTGCTTGTTTTAGGCAATAAAAGCAACCGTACATACATGCATAGTACTGCAAATGCAACCTGTGCACCAATCCTCCTTTATCAAATTTTGAAGTTTCCCAAATTGATACAATTTATTTATTTAGACCTCAGATACTTCAATCTTCAGATATTTTCCTTTCTTCGATTAATGTGTTACATGTATAAATCAGAGATGTGATTGGTTAATTGTCTAGGATCAAATCAGAGATGTGATTGGTTAATTGTCTAGGATCAAAATAATTTTAAGAAAACTTAATCTTCCCCATGTTTGACAATGTATTTTTGTAGGAATAAGGTAAAGCAATTGCAAAGGTGTGAGAGAAAAATTGCACATGCTCAGTGCAGTTAAAAACTAGACACACAAAAAGTGTTCCGGATTTCTTTCTGTTGTGAAGAATTTACTACACATTACACGGTCGTTGTTGCAATCTTTGAAAAGTAACTGTTTTGTGAGCTGAACTCTAGTCAACACGTGACCACATGGCATTCACCGCTATCAATCAAAGTTAAGGAACGCTTACCGACTCCTTCGACTTATGTTGCTAAATGACTTTTCAATAGTCAACTTCCATATTATTTTTCACTAGTTTGATGATCATATTTATCATTGAAAATAACTTTTCTGACTAAAAGTATTGTAAAATGAATTTTCAAAAATCATTCTGTTTCCTTTTACTGACAATGTACTACTTGAAAAAATTGAAATGCATTAACAGTAAATCTCTAACAGAATTGATTAATTTCTTCACGAAGAACAAAGTAACTTTTCTCTACCTGTTATGAAGGGTTGAATTCAAAGTAATTTTTGCAGTCTTTATTAAGAATATACGATTCGTAATCCCGTCACTGAGCCTTGCATTTATATAAGTGTCATCCCAATGATCGTTGTACTTACGTCGTTCAAAGGGAGATCATTTGATTACATGTAGAGGTACCTTATGCAAATTTTACAAGAATACAGCTAAGCATTTGAGAGATAAGTATAAATTGGAGTTATCTAGAGGGTGGTGGTGGGATACTATATATATAGCTTATTTACAAGCAAATCTTCTGCTTGTTTTAGACAATAAAGGCAACTTCACGTACATGTATCAGCACATATATGCATCGTACTGCATATGCAACCTGTGCACCAAATTCTTTTATCAAATTTTGAAATTTCACAAATTGATACAATTTATTTATTTTGACCTCTGATACTTCAATCTTCAGATATTTTCCTTTGTTCATACTAATGTGTTACATGTATAAATCAGAGTTGTGACTGGGTTAATTGTCTAAGGATCAAAATACTATGAAGAAAGCATTCTTTTCCATGTTTAACAATGTATTTTTGTAGGAATAAGGTAAGTAATGCAAAGGTGTGA